CATCACAACAAACACCAAACGAGATTCTCAGTCTTCAGGCTCAATTCTCACACGTCATCAAGTTACAAACATCCTCACCGTTCAACGGACACGACTTCTTTACCTGGAGCTTCGAGTTCGAGCTGCTGATGGAGGCCGCGCATCTTCTGGGATACTTCAACGGGTCCCTGCCATTCCCAAGCAACGGCACTGGAAAAGAACAAGAGATCTTCACGTATCAGTCGCTACTGGCGTATACAGTCCTCCTGCGGAACCTGTCACCACAAGAGCAGCAGAGCATCAGAACATATCGGAGCTATGGGAACTCCGCGGAACTCGCATGGCATCATCTCAAGTGCCTTTATCAAGCAAACGACAGCGTGACGCAAAGCAGACTCATGCAACAACTGACAACAATACAGATGAAGACCGGGGAAAAGGCAATGCAATATATGAGTCGCTGCCAGACTCTCCGCGACCGCCTGCTTCGGTGCGGAGGAACAATCACTGAAGAAAGCTTCGTGACACTTGTCCTCGCCGGGCTCGGGCCAGAATGGAGAACCACACGATCGCTTCTTCGAGCCTACGGAAGAATTTCGGAGATGCACCTCTGCGCCGAGCTCCATGCTGAACAACAGGAGATGGATCTGTTCGAGGAAAGACAACCAAGGAAGCAACAGCAGTTAGTCTTCTACACTCAACGAAGAAATGACAACAACCACAACCGACGCGGCAAGCAAGAGCACGACAACAGAGGGACTACCTTCGTGCCGCCGTTCTGCCACAACTGTCAGACTTCCGGGCACTCCAAGGTCAACTGCAACCGCCCTCGCGTTTACCGTCCAGCAGACCCACAAGTCGCCTCAACCCAAGCAAGTCCCCCAAGGCGCTCTTCAACATCTGCACAACAAACACCAAATATTATTAACTGCATGGTACACATCGACGACTGCGCACCCGGATCACCACCCACTTACGCACCAGACGAAGAGGAATTCCCGCCGCCGCGCTCACAAGGACTTCAGGTCAACCCGACATACGCTGCAGTCGCCAACGCCGAACCCACCGGGCGGAACACCTGGTTCTTGGACAGTTGCTGCGGTCAACACATGTGCTCCTCGGGACGCTTCGTGCAACAGGAGAAACGACTCAACCGCGACGTCGTCATCACCGTCGCCAACAACGAAAACCTGAAGACAAACAGACAGGGCGTGGTTCAGTTACAATCAATGGAGACGAATGTCATACTTCAACTCAACAAGGTGCTCATTGTCGACAATCTGGGATACAACCTACTAAGCGTAAGCCAACTAATGGCCAAGGGGATTCACCTGGAGTGCGATTCTTACTCCAACGAGTTCCGGCTTTACCACGGGAAGGGCGGCCTCTTCATCGGTCGTGCCCTCCTGAAGTCCGGCGTCTTCGTGTTGGACTTCGTCCCGGACCGCGGAACTGCCGACAGCGATGGCATCGTATCATTCGCCGCCTGGACTCACCCGCCGGATCTTGATCCCGACTTCGACAGTGATGGCTTCTGGCACTCCAACACCATACCTGCAGCAGAGAGAACACGAGCATTAGCAGTCATCAAACAAGAAAGACAAGTACCCGCAAGCGTCCCAACAAAACCATCACCTGCAGTATCGGCAGCAGGACCCAGCCGAGTCCCACCACCAGCGATCCGAGGACCGCCAACCGAAGCAGACCAGCTTATGCCCGTCACACGAGAAGTTTGTCGAAGTCCCGCCTCAGTCGTCGCGTTCTTCTCCAACGCCGACATATACCACCACTCACCCGGCCATCGCGCTCCCGACGACATCTGGCACCAACGCCTCGGGCACCCTGCAAATAGTACAATACTACAAACCATCCAAGCCGAAGTGTTAGAACGCAACGCCCTTCTAACAACGAGCGGCCAAGAACTTCGACGACCTCGCGCACGGTGCTTCACGTGCCCCGAAGCAGATCTTCCTCATCAACCCTTCCCATCACATCATAATTCAAGCGCGCCTGCATATGCAACGATGGAAAAAGTCTACAGCGACATCTTGAACATGCCTCGAGACGACACAGAAGCCGACTTCAACTACGTCATCACCTTCGTCGATGCAGCAACAAGATACACTTGGCATTACAACCTCAAGACGCGCGACCAAGCCTTCGACGCCTTCACAACATGGCTCCCCATCGCCGAACGGGAATCAGGAACCAAGCTCAAAAGCTTCCAGTCAGACGGTGCACTGGAATACCAGTCACAACGCTTCAGGACCTATCTGGCGGAAAGAGGAATCAAGCGCCTGGTGTCCCTACCATACGCTCACCAACAGCAGGGGGTCGCAGAACGCATGAACCGGACCTTGCAGACGACGATGCGAAAGCTGCTCCTGGGGATGAAACTGCCCAACACACTGTGGCCAGACGCGATGACACATGCAGTCCACCTGCACAACCTGTTGTCCTCGTCATCGCTCCCCAACAACGCATCACCGCACCTGCTGTGGACGGGAAAAAGGGGCAGCACAAAATTACTTCGAGTTTTCGGCTGCATGGTACAATACAGACCCCACACAGCTCGAGCAGGACGCTTCACTCAAAGAGCTCGGTGGGGACTACACCTCGGCATCGCCAAACATTTTTACGCGTGGAAGATTCTCGACGTACAAGACAAAAATACGGTGGCATCACGTGATGTTATCTTCTACGAGCGACTGACGCTGCAGCATTACCTGGACAACATTGCCAACTCAGACGACCCCACCGACGGCTTCGCGGGCCTTCGCTCCTTCGCTGACCATGCTGCCGAGGCTGACGCAGCAGAAGAAGACGTCCCTGGAGCCTCGGAGGCTGCCGGACCACTCCCCTACTGCTCCGTACCTGTTCCACTCGATGAAGATAATCCCCTCGATAGCAACAACCTCGACACCTTTTACCACTTCGCTGACCAAGGCTACGCTACACCACACCCCGTCGACTCGAACATTTCCGAACGCATCGGGCCAAACTTCTTACCCGATCCTGAAGACGGTGATGAAGCAGCTTATCCCGAGAATGAAAATTCCCCTCGACACACAGCCACGGGACTGCAGATCCTAGGACTATGGGTCTCCGTCCAGCACCCGCCGCCACCTTCTCCGCGCGAGCCGTCGACCCTGTCGCAGGCTCTGGGGGGGGAACATAAGGCGAAATGGAAGGAAGCAATGGAAAAAGAGTTAAAAGCCCTCCAAGACCGGAATACATGGAAGTTAGTACCGACAACCAACACCAACGGGAGGAACATTCTCTCGGGGAAATGGGTGTACCGCATTAAGACCAACGCGGACGGCTCCATCGAACGTTTTAAAGCGCGATGGGTCGTACGAGGCTTCGACCAACGATACGGAACCGACTACACAGAAACCTTCGCCCCAGTCTCCCGTCACACCTCCCTGCGCATCCTACTCGCCGTCGCGGCCACGAAGAAACTACCACTACGGCAAATCGACGTCGCAAACGCCTTCTTGTACGCACCTGTGGACGCCGAAATCTTCGTCGAACAACCCCACGGATTCATCGACGACCCTTCAAAAGTATGCCAGCTGGAAAAATCCCTTTACGGGATCAAGCAAGCCCCACGGCTCTGGCAGCAGCACCTTCACGGCCGGCTCGCAAAAATCGGATTCCTACAACTGCCGCATGACCAAGGGATGTACCGACTGCAGAAGGGAAGAGAGTACGTCCTACTCATCGTCTACGTCGACGACCTGCTCTACATCGGCTCCACTACCGACATCGCTACCTGGTTCGAAGGGGAGCTGAAAGGGGACCTGACGCTCACGGTGTCCGACTCAGTGACCCAGTACTTGGGACTAAATATCATCGAAGACAACTCGGCGTTCTACCTACACGCTGGAAAGTACGCAGGCACTGTCGCGAAGAAATTCGGACTAACACCGGCTACCGCCCCAACTCCCTACCACTACGGAAACAACAACAACGCCTCCGCAAAACTCCCCGCGAAGCAAATCCAGGAGTATCAACAGAAGCTCGGCTGCCTACTATTTGCAGCAGTAACCTGTCGACCTGACCTGTCCTATAGTGCAAGTCAACTGGCGACGCATCTGAAGCAACCGGAACAGGAGGATCTCGAGGAGCTCAACCGGGCACTACTCTACTTCGTCTCCACGCCGACGATCGGACTTACCTACAGCAAAGCGACAACACCGTCCGTACAACTACTCGGATACGTCGACGCCGACCACGCGGGAGATAGGGAAAATCGACGATCTAGGACGGGCTATATCTACCGACTAGAACCCATCGGAACTATCTCCTGGCAGTCGAGCAAGCAGGAGTTAATCGCACTATCCTCGGCTGAAGCAGAGTATATCGCCCTTTGTACTGCGACCAAGGAAGGACTCTACCTACGGGAGTTACTCGAAGAAGCGAAGATCGCGACCCTGCCCGCCTTCTCACTCCTCTGCGACAACCAATCTGCGATCAAAATCGCGAACAAGGACGGCTTCGCCAACCGAACCAAGCACATCGCCCTGCGATACTTCTTCGTCAAGGATGAAATCGCGAAGGGGAGACTTCAACTCAGTTACTGCCCGACGACAGAAATGGCCGCAGACTATCTGACGAAGAAATTGGCGAAAGCAAAATTCGACTACTGCATGCTCCTAACCGGGCAAACAAACGTCACCCGATCTGAACACTCCAGCACTCCAGAAACGAAGGGGAGTGTTGGAAATATCTCAAGGACTTAAGCGTTTCTGAAGTGTAACACTGTACTCGAGGAAGATTACAGGGGAGCACGCGAGTCAACGGAGGTTACACGAGGGGGCGGACAAAGAATGCGAAAGGACTCGAAAGGTCGAAACTGGAGGTTGCGACTGACCGTTACAACATCACGGATGGTAACCGAAGCGGCAATCGAGTCGCTGTGCGACTCGATAAACCGTTCCTGTAACTGTATTCTACAACTGCTTTCTTATCTTCTATATATTGCTGTATGCTTGTTTCTTTAATCAATCACTTGTTCTCACATACTAGTACAAGGGTTCAACTGCCTCAACTTCCGCTGCACTACTCCAAGTCTCAAGTCTCTACAGCTGGGACTTAGTCTCTGTAAAAGATCCTAAGGGCTTTTTCTCAGCCCAACAAGTACCACCTGCAATTGCAGGAGCGCTAGCTGGCATTGGTGGCAGCACGACTGCTTGATCGGTACTGGCAGTAACTGTATCAGCTGCAGCAGCTGCACCGACTGTAGCAGGAGCAACACTTGTCACAACAGCACCACTCGAAGCAGGAACACCGGATGTAGCAGCAATGTTAGGTGTGGCTTGTGACGAAACAGCAGGGCCACTGGCGATAATGCACTCAGAGGAGCTGTAAGCGGCAACAGCGGCCCCCGCAGCAGCAGCAGCAGCCGCAGCAGTCGCAGCAGGTGCAGCAGCATGACTACTTACAGCGGCAGTGGTGGACGCGGAAGCTGCTGTGGGAGCAGCTCTGCTGCCGGTAAGGGAGAGTGTGCTGGCCGTGCCTGCTGCACGAGGTAGTGTGAGCAACGGGAAAGCCATCTCAGCTGTTGCCCTGGCAGCAGCAGTCACAGCAGGCGCAGCCGCATCAATGCTTGCTGCGGTTACAGGGGAAGCGGCAGACACAGTAGAAGGAGCACTGTTGTCGGTAAGGGAGGGTCTAGTACAGGCTGTGGCCGGTGCAGGTGGTGGTGTGAGAAACGGGGGAGGCATGTGAACGGGTAACACCCGAGGAAGCCTGATTGCAGAGATGGGCTGGGGTTGTGTGAGTGAAGGGATGGGTGGAGATGCCACTGAAAGGGGAGGCTGAGTCTGTGTGAGTACAGGCAGACCAGCTGCAAGAGGCAGTGCCGCCACAGGCTGCATGGCTGGCAGCAGGGGAGAGCGCGCAGACTAGCCCTGAGGGCCCTCCAAGTTTTGAGACGTCTCAAAGCCAGATGGGCCCTGAGGGACCTCTGCAACTACCCTGAGAGCCGAGGCTGCAGGCGCCTCAACGCAGGGCCGTAGAGCCGAGGGGTGGACGGGAGGGGCTACAGACGCAGTGAGGTTTGGCACCCAGAGTGTGGGCTTGAGCCTTGGAAGTTGGTGGGTAAAGCTCGGCTGCTGCTGCTGCTGCTGCTGCCGGGTGGGAGTGATGCTGGTGCTAGCAGTGGTGCTGGTAGTGGTGGCAGCAAGAGCAGGTGCTGAGAGTGGGATCAAGGGCTGGCCAGGGGCAGCATATGAGCGAGTCTGTTGCGAGGTGGAAGGGGGAAGAGAGGCTCGGGTGACAGTTAGGGCAGGATATGTGCGAGTCTGTAGCAGAGCAGCAGAGGGGGGAATGGAGCTCCAGATGGTGGCAGAGCGAAGAGCAGAGGGGGGAGAAGAAGGGGGAGGAGCAGAGGAGAGGAGGGAAGGAGGTTGAGAGGGACGTGGCTGGAAGGGGATGGAGGGTTGGTAAAACGGATCAGTGGGGGTGGCTGGCAGGCGGGGTGATGCGATAGACGCAGGCGGGGGCTGGGCTGGGATCGAGTTGACTGGGGTACGATGGAATGGTGCAGGGTCACCTGGTGTATGGTTAACTGGGGCAGTATTTCTTTGAAATGAGCTGACTGGCTGGGAAGGGTTGACTGGAGCAGGGTTGCATGGAGGAGGGTTCACCAGATTGGGTTTGCCTGGAGGAGGGTTGACTGGTGAAGGGTTGACTGGTGAAGGGTTGACTGGTGCAGGGTTGACTGGTGAAGGGTTGACTGGTGAAGGGTTGACTGGTGAAGGGTTGACTGGTGAAGGGTTGACTGGTGCAGGGTTGACTGGTGAAGGGTTGACTGGTGAAGGGTTGACTGGTGAAGGGTTGACTCGTGCAGGGTTGACTGGTGCAGGGTTGACTGGTGAAGGGTTGACTGGTAAAGGGTTGACTAGTGAAGGGTTGACTGGTGCAGGGTTGACTGGTGAAGGAACATCGACTGGAGGAATGGGGGTGCGTGGCTGTGATGTGGGGAGTGCTGGGGTAAATGAGGAGGAAACACGAGGCGAAGGGGTTAGGCTGGCATGTGGTATGGTGGCGCGAGGTGAGATAGTATGAGGTACGGTGGTATGAGGTAAGGTGGTATGAGGTAAGGTGGTATGAGGTACTGCTGCTGGTGTGCTTGCGTATGCTGCATGCGAGGCCGAGGGTACATTCGACGATGGCAGGTGTGTTGAGGCTGGTGCAGCTGGTGCTACAGATGGGGCAGCTGGTGCTACAGATGGGGCAGCTGGTCCTACAGATGGGGCAGCTGGTGCTACAGATGGGGCAGCTGGTACTACAGATGGGGCAGCTGGTCCTACAGATGGGGCAGCTGGTTCTACAGATGGGGCAGCTGGTGCTACAGATGGGGCAGCTGGTGCTACAGATGGGGCAGATTGCGCTACAGATGGGGCGGATTGTGCAGATGGTGCATGGGTAAGTCTTGATGGTACAGACAGTGCATGCGTATGTGTTGATTCTGTGGTTGGAGGCGCTTGGAGTGATGGTGTGTCTCCTGCTTGTCGTGTTTCAATACTGCCCACTGCAGCTTGCACAGCTGTTTCATGTGGTGGTGCGGCATGTGATGGTGCAGCATGTGATGGCACAGCATGTGATGGTGCGGCATGTGATGGTGCGGCATGTGCAGACAACGATGCATAGTGAGCAGTTCTCATGTGTCTAGATGATGCAGCATGCATGTGGGTGCGATGCCCACGTGCATGTGGTGAAAGCACCCCCCCTGGTGCCCCCACTCCAGCATCCCCTGCCATGCCTCCAGCAAGTGGCGATTGCACCGCTGCAGCACGTGGCGATGGCATGGCTGCGGCAGAAGGAGGAGCAGCAGGAGGAGCAGGAGCAGCAGGAGGAGGAGCAGCAGGAGGAGCAGGAGCAGCAGGAGGAGGAGCAGCAGGCGCTCCATGCCTTATTGCGCCTTGGCGACGCGGGGAGACAGGGGAGCGGGCAGAGAGGCGAGCATGAGGGGCAGTATCTGGGGCAGCAGCAGCAGCAGCAGCAGCAGCTGGAAGGGGAGCAGCAGGAGGAGGAGCAGGAGAAGAAGGAGCAGGAAGAGAGACAGCAGGAGGAGGAGGAGCACGGGCAGAAGTCACGACAGCAGCAGCAGCGGATGCAGGGGCGTCAATAGCAGCAAGAGCCAGCATCTTCTGCTGCAGCCTCACGCTCATCCGAGTTCCTGCCACCACCGCTGCCTCTGCTCCAGGCAAAGCACTGGTGGTCCTTGCAGCAGCAGGAGCAGCAGCAGCAGGGGCGCTAGGAGAAGGCAGTGGGGGTGGGGTGTCGAGAGGTGCGCCTGCTGTTGGAGTGGTGGCAGTAGCAGCCAGCAGGTTGCTGAGTCGGGTGGTGGGGCGAGTGGCGAGGCGAGAGCGAGTGTGGGAGGGGCGGCGGGGCGGTACTGGAGGGGTGGAAGCAGCAGATGTGAGAGAGGCGGCAGCAGCAGCAGCAGCAGCAGATGCAACAGGTGCGACAAAGGCAGTTGAGGCAGCAACAGGGGCAGTGGCAGCGGTAAGAGAAGCAGTAGCATGGGAACTCAGCTCACGAATGCGGCCAGAGGCAGTTGAAGCAGGAGCAGCGGCAGCAGCGGAAGCAGAACTGGCAGCAGCAGCAGCAGCAGCAGCTGTTGCTGCTGTTGCAGCCATATCTTGGTCTTGACCACGCCGAGGGGAGAAGAATGACTTGTGAGCCGCCACCAAAATCTCTTCCACAGGACCCAGAGCGGACAAAGGGGCAGCGGGAGGAAGGGAGAAAGGGGGAGGCGGACCGAGTGGGGAACGAGGGGGAGGTGACGGACGTAGAGGGAGGGAGTGTGGTGGTGGGATGTGGTTGGAAGCAGGAAGAGAGGCCGGAGTGGAGAAGAAGGCATGCGCCAGAGCCAAGGTTTGTGTGATGGCTGGACGGATGGAGGTGGGGGGGGGGGGGAAGGGAGAGACGTGTGAGACGGGGAGGAGCAGAGAGAAAGGTTGAAAAAGAGAGAGGAGACACGTGATAGGAGACGGGCAGAAGACAACAGGACCAGATGAAAAATAAAATAAAATCAAGGAAGCCAGGTGAGGTCTTACCCAGGGGAAGCATCTTCTGTAGCAAGACGGCCTCAGCAGCAACCAGCCGAACGGGGGTGTACTGGTGAGTAGCTGGGTCTCCCTTGAGAGCCTCATACAGGGCTGCACTCTCCCTTGGAGTGGGAAGGGCAGTCGAGGCATCGTCGTCAGCAAGCAGCCAGTCAGCCTCGTGGGGAAACAGATCCACTTCCCTCCAGCTTTCCCCTGTGCCTGTGGCCGTGTGCATGCGACCTTTGGCTTCCAGCCCCTTGCCTCCACCCCCGCCGCTTCCTGTGTCCTTCCCATCCTGCTCTTCAACACGCAGCCCCATGCCTCTACCCATGCCCATGCCACTCTCCATGCCCATGCCATTGCCAGTGCCTTCCATCCCTCTGGCATCCATGCCTGCTCGCATGGCATCATCGTCTGTCCCCTCATAATTTTCCGCTGAATCTGGAACCTCAACTCCATAGCTGCTCAACTTTGTGCGCAGATACCCTCTGCCGCCTCCTGCTGCTGCTTCTGCTGCTGCTTCTGCTGCTTCTGCTGCTTCTGCTGCTACTGCTGCTGCTGCTTCTTCTGTTTCCCCTCTCCCACGCTTCTCGCCACGTATCCTCCCTTCTTCCATCCCACCTTCTCTCCTTTCGTCCACCACACACACACCCTCCACCATCCCTTCCCTTATCTCTCCTCCAACGGTTTTCACATCCAAGCCTCGTTCCCACGCCATCTTATCTTCCATATAAGCTTCTGCAACTGCAGGTAACGGGCTCGATGCAGCAGCTGCTTCCTGCTCTCCCTTTCCTGCCTCTTGCCCTACCCTCTGTGTATCCTCATCGATTATGCTTGGCCCTAGGCCCCCGCGCTGCCCTGCTACAGGAATGCTGCTGGCAGCACCCCTCCCACCCGCAGCAAGCGCATTAGCCGCAGCAGTAACATCAGCTGCCACTTTTGCCGCCTCTTTTGCCACATTCATCACTCCCTCTTCGTTCACCCCTCCAACCCCAAAAGGTGGTGCGTTTCCTGTTGCTGCTGCTGACGGAGCTGCTGCTGAGGCCGGCGGTGGCACAACGCGTGTAACTGAAGGGGAAACGCTTCGGGTTGCAGCTGATGGTATTGCTGCAGCTGATGGTGGTGCTGCAGCTGATGGTGCTGCTGCTGCTGATGGTGGTGCTGCTGCTGATGGTGCTGCTGCTGCTGATGGTGCTGCTGCTGCTGATGGTGGCGGTGGCACTGATCCAGTTACTGCTTCTGGAACAGCTGTGACTGACAGCAATTCGTCATCCGCTGCCACCCCTCTCACGAACACAGCCTTTCTCCCTTGCCACCCTGCTGCCCTAGACTCTGCTGCCCTAGACTCTGCTGCCCTAGACTCTGCTGCCCTAGACTCTGCTGCCCTAGACTCTGCTTCCCTAGACTCTGCTTCCCTAGACTCTGCTTCCCTAGACTCTGCTTCCCCCTCTATCTTCTGCTCTTGCACCATCCTTGCTGCCCCCACCTCCGTTTTCCCTCCCATCTCTGACATTTCCCCCACACCCCTCACTTCCTGTACCACCCTAACCTCCTCCACCTCTGTAATCGCCTCCCCATGTGTTACTCCTTCCACCTCCGGTTTCTCCCCCACGCCCCTCACTTCCTGTACCGCCCTAACCTCCTCCACCTCTGAGTCCTCTTCTCCCTTCACCACATCTACCTTCTCGTCGATCCCTGATCCGTTTCTCACCTCTCTTCTCTCCCTCACCTCCACCTCCTCATCCTCCTCCCCTTTCACCACACCCAGCACCACTTTAATACTTTCCCCCTCTCCTCCTCCCCTCTCCTCCCCCACCCACTCATCCACCTCCACCCCGACAGAAGCAGCCTCGTGAACTGCCACGCCTCCCACCGGCACACTTGCTGCACCGTGTCTGTTAACCCTAGAACTTTTAGAGCGGTACCACCGCGCCCGGTGCGCTTTCTTGCGACGAGACTTGCTCGGCCTGCTAGACCCGCTCGCCTTGTGCGACCTGTGCGACTTGGCACGGTGGCTGCTTCCGCCCCCCCCGTCTCCTGCTGCTGCTTTCCTCTTGTGGGAGACGGATGGCAGAGACCCTGCTACAGCCGCAGCAGCACCGGCTGTAGCCTCAGAAGCAAGCGCAGCCGCAGCAGCAGCGGCTCGCTTGGTTTGAAGCAGGGAGAGCGCGGAGGGGGTGCAGGGCCATGCCATGGCAGTGGCATGGGAGGGGAGGGAGGCAGAGGGAGGGTAGGAGAGGCGAACCGAGAGATGGCTGGAGGGGTGGGGAGGGGTGGGAATGGGGAAGAGGGTGATGGAGAAGGTTGACACGAATGCATGTGGTTGATTTGATCTGCGGTGCAAGAGGGCACGTTGCTATGATGGACTGCATCTGGCGCTTACACCACATGCATATGTACGGCAAAAGGATTTGGCGAATGGTTTTGGCGAATGGCCTTTTGGCGAATGCTTTTGGCGAACAGTTTTTGGCGAATGGTTTTTGGGGAATGGTTATGGTGAATGGATTTGGTGAATGGTTTTGGCGAATGGTTTTGGCGAAATAGGTTTGGTGAATGGTTTTGGCAAATGGTTTCAGTTAGCTAGACGCCAGACCAGTTAGCTGGACGCCGGGCAAGTTAGCTGGACGCCGGGCAGGTTAGCTGGACGCCAGGCAAGTTAGCTGGACACCAGGCAAGTTAGCTGGACGCCAGATAGATTAGCTGGACACCAGGCCGGTTAGCTGGACGCGAGGCAAGTTAGCTGGGCACAAGGCAAGTTAGCTGGACGCCAGGCCAGTTAGCTGGACGCAAGGCAAGTTAGCTGGACGCCAGGCCAGTTAGCTGGAAGCCAGGCCAGTTAGCTGGACGCAGGCAAGTTAGCCGTACGCCAGGCAAGTTAGCTGGAAGCCAGGCCAGTTAGGCGGCGGACGCCAGCCAAGTTAGCTAGACGCCACGCAAGATTGCTGGACGCCAGGCGAGATTGTTGGACGCCAGGCAAGATAGCTGGACGCCAGGCAAGATTGCTTGACGCCGGACTGTGGCACCGGGCTGTAACAATTGCTGTAGCACCGGGCTGTAGCGTCGGGCTGTGGCACCAGGCTGTGGCACTGGACTGTGGCACTGGGCTGTAGCATCGGGCTGTAGCACTGGGCTGAATGGTTTTGGCGAATGCTTTCGGCGAATGAGTTTTGGCGAATGAGTTTTGGCGAATGGGTTTTGGCGAATGCTTTCGGCGAATGAGTTTTGGCGAATGAGTTTTGGCGAATGGGTTTTGGCGAATGGTTTTGGCGAAAGGTTTTGGCGAATGAGTTTTAGCGAATGGTTTTGGAGAATGGTTGTGCCAAATGGTTTTGGCGAATGGCTTTGGCGAATGGATTTGACGAATGGTTTTGGCGAAAGGTTATGGCGAATGAGTTCTGGGGTATGGTTTTGACGAATGGTTTGGGCGAAAGGTTTGGGCGAAAGGTTTTGGCGAATGCGTTTGGCAAATGGTTTTGGTGAATGAGTTTTGGCGAATGGTTTTGGTGAAAGGCTTTGGCGAGAGGTTTTGGCGAATGACTTTTGGCAAATGAGTTTTGGCGAATGGTTTTGACGAATGGTTTTGGCTGAAGGTTTTGGCGAATGAGTTTTGGGGAATGGTTTTGGCGAAAGGTTTTGGCGAATGGTTTTGGCGAATGGTTATGGCGAATGGTTTTGGCGAATGGTTTTGGCGAACGGTGCGAACGGTTTCGGCGAATGGTTTTGGCGAAAGATCTTGGCGATTGGTTTTGGCAATTGGTTTAGGCGAATGGTTTGGACGAAAGGTTTTCGCGAAAGATTTTGGCAAATGGTTTGGGCGAAAGGCTTTGGCGAAAGGTTTTGGCAAATGGTTTTGGCGAATGAGTTTGGCGAATGAGTTTTGGCAAATGGTTTTGGCAAATAAAATGGCGAATGGTTTTTGCGAATGGATTTGGTGAAAGGTTTTGGCAAATGAGTTATGGCTAGACATGGTTAAATCGCATCGCATCGCATTATATCGCATTTTGCAATAGCGATTTTTATTTTTATTTTAAGAATATCGCGGCGATGCGATGCACTAATATCGCGCGATATTTGCGATATCGCGTTTTTATCGAGCTTTTTTTTGCGCGATAAAATGCGATATGCGATTTAAAAAAATCGCGTGCAATACTTCTGCGTATCACGCGCCTATGTTGCAAAAAACGCGGGAGCCGGGGGGCAAACGCCAGGAAAACGCTACGTTGGGCAGGGCGCTTAGACTAGAGACTGCTGTCTAGGTCAATATCGTAGCAATGAAGTAGTGCTAACAGTGCAGCAGGGAGCGCTGAGGAGCGCCTAGGTCACCAGATCTGTACGATTGACCTGTTTCTGGTGAGTAGAAGTATGTGAGGAGTGGTGGTTGGGTTTCCTAGATGAGATGGGGTGGAGAGTGGTTGAAGCAATTTTAGGTGTTTGGTTGGCATTGAACCTTCATTAGATTTCACGATGTTCCTGGTTGGATTCGCCACATCGCGAACTGACGCGCAACTTTTTCGTTTTTTTTTTTCGTCGAGCTGCCCCGAAATAAAAAAACCTGAGCGTTTACGTTTTTCTAGCGTTTTGCGTTTAAACGCCACCGTTTGAACGTAAAACGCTCGCCTGGCAGAGCGTTTTGCGCAACATAGTCGCGCGCACGAAATTGACAGATTTGGGGGTGGGGGAAACGAAGCCCAAAAAGGGCTGCAACAAATTCTCTTTGAGAGAACCCCCACCCCAACACATTCCCACCTCATTTCCCACCACCACCTCACTCCCATTCCCAAGCTAGCATGCAAACACAATATGCAAACCCTTGGAACTCCCTTAGCCACCTAGCCACACCTCCACTCCCGCATTCCCTAGCATAGGTACCTCCCAGTTAGTTACCTATCCAAATTGCTACTGTAGTTTACTTTGACTGAAATTTAGCCCTGGTGATGCGATATCTTATCGCATCGCGCGATATATCGCACTCTATAGTGCGATATTTGAAAATATCGCACCCAAAACGCGATATGCGATTTCGGGTTTTTCAAATCGCATCGCCGCGATATAATGCGCGATAAGTCAAAATGCGATGCGATATCGCATCGCATCGCATTTTGACCATGTCTAGTTAAGGCGAATGGTTTTGGCGAATGGTTTTGGCGATTGGTTTTGGCGAATGGTTTGGGTGAAAGATTTGGGCGAAAGGTTTTGGCGAATGGTTTTAGCAAATGGTTTTGACGAATGGTTTTGGCGAATGGTTTTGGCAAAAAAAATTGTGAATGCTTTTAACGAATGGTTTTGGCAAATGGTTCTAGCGAATGGTTAAGGCGAATGGTTTTGGCGAATGGTTTGGCGAACGGTTTGGCGAATGGTTTTGGCGAATGGTTTTGGTGAATGGTTTTGTCGAATGGTTTTGGCGAATGAGTTCTGTCGAATGGTTTTGGCGAATGTGTTTTGGCGAATGCTTTTGGCGAATGCTTTTGGCGATTGGTTTTCGCAAATGGTTTGGGCGAAAGGTTTTGACGAAAGGTTTTGGCGACTGGTTTTGGAGATTGGTTTTGGCGAATGGCTGGCGAAAGGTTTTGGCAAATGGTTCTGGCGAATGGTTTTGGAAAACGGTTTTGGCGAATGAGTTTTGGCGAAGAGTTTTGGCGAATGGTTTTGGCCAATGGTTTGGGCAAATGGTTTTGGCGAATGGTTTTGGTGAATGGTTTTGGCGAAAGGTTTTGGCGAATGAGTTTTGGCGAATGGTTTGGGCGAATGGTTCCAACGGGAAGGAGTTCCAAGTAGAGGTGCATGCATGAATGTGTGTGTGTGTGCATGCGGGGCTGTGGTAGAGCTGCACCACACACAGATAGGCTCGATTGCATAGGCTCTTACCAGGAAGCAGCAACCAGCGTGTGTGCGCATGTGCGCGTGTGTGTGCGTGTGTGTGCGTGTGTGTGCATGTGTGTGCATGTGTGTGCATGTGTGTGTGGGTGTGTGTGCGTGTGTGCGCATGCGTGCAGGGTCGTGGTACAGCTAAACCATGTGTGTGCTGTAGGCATGAGCACGGGGCGAGGCGAGGATTCCTTGACCCGAGGATCTCATCCTCGCGCCATAGCCGGGGCGGGTCGAGGAATCCTCGCCGAGGATTTTTCTTGAAATTCCCCCCTCGACCCCTGGGTTTTGGGGTTGAGGATTGAAATCCTCGCCTCGAGGATTAATTCCTTGACCCGGGGCGAGGATTCCTTGACCTGGGCGGCTGGGGGTTTAGGGGGGGGGGGGAATGGGAACATGTGCGGGAAGAATGAGCCTTATCCAGGTTTTCCTCGCGAGGATACAAAATCCTCGCCCATTTGCCTCGAGGAAAAGTCGAGGCCTCAAATCCTCGCCGGGGCGGGGCGAGGATTCCTCGCGATGATTTTTCCCAGAAATCCTGCCTCGACCCCCGGAATTTCGAGGCGAGGAAATCCTCGCCTCGTTGCTCATGCCTAGTGTGCTGCACTACAAGTGGCAGTCACCTTTGCCACACACCAGAAACGGATAACATACCAGGAGTCACCTTTGCCACACACAAGTGCTCGCCACATTACCACAAACGGCAACGTACCAGGCGGCAGCAACGAAGTAGAGATGCGCGCATGTGTGTGCGGGGTCGTGGTAGAGCTGAGCCAGGGGCTTGCTGTGGACCTCGCAGGCCTGCTCCAACTGTTTAAGGAAAGGATAGGGGGTTGAAGGAAAGTGCACTGCGTGTCTCGTGACATCTCTCATGCGTGTCTCGTGAGCCTGCTCCAACTGTTAAGGGAAGTAGAGGGTGATGCAGGGGGCAGTGCAGGGGATGGGGATGCGAGTGTGCTGCGGCGATGATGAGTGTCTTGTGCTGTCTCTTTTGCGGGGTATGGCTTAGTCAGGTAAGTCTAGTTATCGCGCATTGTGCTACCAGCAGGCGTGCTCAACAGTTGGGGGCGCAAACGCACACATATGAGGACGCTTGCACACACGAGTGTGATGGGTATTGCACACACATGAGTGTGATGGGTATTGCACACACATACGAGTGTGATGGGTATTGCACACACATGAGTGTGACAGGTATTTCACTCACTCACTCACTCACAGGTATTGCACACACACACGAGTGTGATGGGTATTGAACACACACGAGTGTGATGGGTATTGCACACACATGAGTGTGATGGGTATTGCACACACATAAGTGTGATGGGTATTGCATACACATGAGTGTGATGGGTATTGCACACACATACGAGTGTGATGGGTATTGCACACACATGAGTGTGATGGGTATTGCACACACATACGAGTGTGATGGGTATTGCACACACATGAGTGTGATGGGTATTGCACACACACATGAGTGTGATGGGTATTGCACACACACATGAGTGTGATGGGTATTGCACACACACATGAGTGTGATGGGTATTGCACACACACATGAGTGTGGCAGGTATTTCACTCACTCCCAACTCCCCACCCCCAATGGCTCACCCCCAGCACCCCACCACCCCCAATGGCTCACTCCCAGCTCCCCAACCCCAATGGCTCACCTGCCCCCTTCGTGAGACGAAGCAGCTAAGCACACGGGCCAGATGAGACGCGAAGAGCTGCAGGTCGGGGATGGGGGATGGGGGATGCGGATGCAGGGGGGGGCAGGACAAGTTAAAACCACTAGAGGAAGGAAAGGAAGGAGTAGGAGGAAAGAGGAGACAATACATTTTCAAGTTACCTACAGCCATGTGAAACCCATGCACGACAAAGTGCAGCTCAGAAATGAGATGACTTTTGAGTCTTCTCAAAAGAGAAGCGTCATATTTTGAGTCGACTCAAAAGTCAAGAGTCCTTTGAGTCGACTAAAAAATCCTCCTTAGAACCATTTGAACGCCATGAGCAACCAAGTGCAGCTCAGAAACTAAGCACACCGACCTGAGGCTGACGTGGCAGAAACTCCTGCTCCAACTGGCTGATAGGGAGAAAAGGAGGCACGCTAGACTCCACCAATCTCAGCCCGCCACGTGTCGCATCATAAAGTCCCCTGCGCGTCTCTCTGTCTTCCTCTTGCTGTTTCCCCTCGGCGCTTTCTAAGTGAGCAATGCGCTTTCCTCGATGCTGTGGTTGGATGTGATCCAGACAGGTGTGCTCTGGGGGGGTGTACTCTGGGGGGGGGTGCTCTGGGGGGGTGTGCTCCTGGTGCAAGGAGCAGAAGAAGCTCTCCTTAGGCGTCCCTGTCACACGCACACGCAGCATGAGGGGCAGGGGCACAGCACACGAAGGAGCGTCATGATGGCTGTTTCAAAGGGTGTGCTCTTGGAGCTGGTGCAAGGTGCAGAGGAGGCGCTCTCTGGGTGCTCGTACTGACCTTGGAAGGCGGTGTCAACGCGCAGCAGCACATGATCCCTGTCCGCCAGAAGCATGGCCAGCCCTTCACCTTTGAACCCAAATCCCCTCCCAGTGTGCATCACAACCTCTCCCCCCTCCCCTCCACCCGAATCTCCGCCTCCTTTCCCTTCCTCTGCCCTTTCCTCTGCCCTTACCTCTGCCCTTTCCTCTGCCCTTTCCTCTGCCCTTTCCTCTGCCCTTTCCTCTGCCCTTTCCTCTGCCCTTTCATCTGCCGCACCCCTTTCATCTTGTCCTCCCCTTTCGCCCTCTCCTTCCTCCTCTTCTGCTTTCACTTCAGTAGTCGCCACAGCAGCAGCAGCAGCAGCACCTTCTGCTGCTGCTGCTATTGCTGTTGCTGCTGCTGCCACTGCTGTAGGTCGTGCGGCTGCACGCACACAAGTCTCTGCTGCTGCTTCCATCCTCACTTGCGCTCCCGCCTTCACTCTCTCCCCCACACCTCTCTCCAGCCTTTCTCCATCCCCCCCCTCCGCCTTCTCTCCACTTTCCCCGCTCTTCCCCTCTGCAACCATCCCTCTCTCCTCTTCTTTCAACCGTTTTACCCCCTTCGCGCTCTCTTCCTCTGTCACTTCCATTTGCTTTTGAGTCAACTCAAAAACATCCATATTCCTCCCAACATCTTCAATCCGCTCCTCTGCCCATCCCTCTGCCACCACTCCTCTCTCCACCTCCCTCAACTCCCCTCCACCACCACCCTCCACCCCCTCGCCTTCCCTCCTCTCCCCATGTATACCTTCACCACATACCACCCCCATCGCCTCACCATCTGCCTCCTTCTCGCCACTCCCATCGCCTGTCCTCTCATCCCACTCCACATCCCTCTCTGATCTCTCCAGTCTGCTTCCCCTTTCGTCCACCTCAGCACCAGCAGTGCTGACATCAGTACCAGCAGTGCCAACATCAGCAACAGCAGTGTCCACATCAGCATCAGCAATGTCCACATCAGCAACAGCCAGTTCCACATCAGCAACAACAAGTGCAGTCTCCATGAAGCCCCTAGCAGCAGCCATCAGCCAATCAGAGCCCTCCACAACCCCTCCCGTCCAATCCTCCCCAGCATTTGCGCCAGTGTTAGGCACTGAACTATCCTTAGAACCAGAACCAGCCACCAAGGCACCAACCCCAGAAGCAGCAGCAGCAGCAGGAACACCAGCAGCAGGGGCTTCGACAGCAGCACCCAATGAACCAGTTACTTCTCCCCTTCTCTCCCTTTCTCCCACCCCACTCTCCCCTGCTCTGCCCACAACAACCTTTCCTTCGCCTTCTCCCCCAATCTGCCCTTCCTCCCTCCCCTCACCCCGCAGTGCAGGCACCCCCTCACCTCTTCCCCGATCATCTCCTTTGACAACGTCTTTGGACATGCCTCCATCTGCTGTTTCTTCTCCCACCAATTTTTCCCCACCCTCTACTCCGCTGCCCACACCCAACTCCCTTCCCCTCCCCTCAGCACGCAGTGTGCCATTCCCCGCACCACGTGCCATATCACCTCCTTTAACAACACCTTCGGCAGTACCCCCACCAGAATTCTCAGCTGCTTTGTTGGCGGTACCCTCAGCGCCACCAATCTCTGCTGCACCCTCAGTTGCTTTCTCCGCCGCCAATCTGGCAGTGCCCTCCTCCCCCTCAGCAGCATTCCCAGTGTCGCCTGCAGCAGCGGTGCGAGCTGCCGTGTTGGCAGTTCCCTCAGCACCTATCTCTCCTGGTCCCACCACTGCAACCTCCACCGCTCCTCTGGCAGCGCCCTCAGGCTCAGCTGCATCTCCAGCACGGCCTGCAGCAGCAGTGTGATATGCTACTCTGGCGGTACCCTCAGCACCAACCTCTGTCGCACCCTCAGCTGCCCCTCTGCCAGTGCCCTCCGCACCCTCAGCTGCATCTCCAGCACCGCCTGCAGCAGCAGTGTGGGCGGGGGCAGCGTCTGGCGGTGAAGAGGGGGCGAGGCGGGAGAGGAGGGAGGACCACTGACGAGAAAACCACACAGCGGGTGATGCTGCTGCTGATGCTGATGCTTCTGATGGTGCAGCCGACAGTAATTCTGCTGCTCCTGCTGCTGCTGCTGCTGCTGCTGCTGCTGCTGACGTATCTCCTGCTGCTGCTGCTACTGTTGCTGGTTCGTCTAGTGGTGGTGGTGGTGCTGCTGCCGCTGTGGCGGGCAGCATGTCACAATGCTGTGCATGCTGCTCGAACTCGCCCTGCAGCCGAGCCACCCGGGTCATGAATGCATGCCTGCATGCCACAGAAAGGGGTGTCAACATGCCATGCCATGGAAGGGGGTGTCAACATACCATGCCATGGAGGGGGGTGTCATCATACCATGCCATGCGGTGCCATGCCAAGCAATGTTAGGGTATGCGGGTCATGCCATGCCATAGCATGCCATAGCATGGCAGAAGTTGCGCTCAGGCATCCCAGGTCATGCCACATCGATGATGCCACATTATGCCATGAAGAACCAGCCACACAGGCGAGTTTGCTTGGTGGGGAAGCATAAGAGATGCGGGTAGGAGCATGAGAAGAACCAAAGGACAAGAGAGCGAGCGGGGAGAGGGAGGGGGAGGAAGGAAGGTCAAGCTCGCCCCAGCATTTCCTGGCGCAGCCTCACAAGCCACAGCAAGGGATTGCGGGGGGAGGGGGGAGGGGCAGATTGGGCGGGGAGGGGGAGGGGGCGAGCTCACCCCAGCATTCTCTGGCGCAGCCTCACGTGTCTCTGTTGCAGCGCTGCCACTGCCGTGGGATTGACACATGCAGCGCAGATGGGATGTGAGAAATGGGGAGGGGAGGGTCAGTGGGTTTGCCCAAGCGTAAGACGGACTTTCAACGTGCTGTGTAAATCTGTCTATGTGCATGGATCTAACCATCAAATCGACCATTGATGCAATGAGCTCGATGGCAGGGTGTGCCAGAGGTCACTCGTCTCACTTACGCCGCCACGCCACCTCCGCCAGCCCAGTCGTTTACGCGAAAGTGTGTGACATAATAAAACCAAGGTGACTTATAAGTCCACTCAAATGTGTGTGCCAGACAGAGAGGCAGGTCCCTCGTCGCACTTACTCCGCCACTCCAGCTCCTCCAGCGCACCCGTTCCAAAGCTGCCAGAAAACACCTTCTCCTCCTCTTCCCCTTCCCCCTCCCCCTCCCCCTCCCCCTCCTCCCGCTGCTCCCCCTCCTCCTCTGCCCTTCTCTTCCTCCCTTCAGGTCGACTGTGAGCCCCAGCTAACATGCGCCTCTCCTTCTCAGCCGGCTCCACAGTCCCCTTACTCTCTAAACCGCCCATCAGGCCGCCTCCTACATCTCTCGCCGCGCTTCTGCTGGCCGCACAGCTGGGATCTCCGCCTGTAGCCAACCCGTTATTGGCCAACCCACTGCTGGGTATCACTCCCTCAGGCAAACCGCCTGAAACCGCAGTCGTCACGAGCCTTCCTCGCAAGTTCCCCCGCCTTCCCGACCTAATAGTGGATCCGTGTGATCCGCCGCCCGTCCCGCCACCTGCGGCGACGCCAACGGCGCTGCTGGCAGGAGTTCCAGCGGCAGGGGTTCCAGCAGCAGGGGCAGCAGTGCCTTCTCCTGCAACGGCGACAGAAGGGGTTCCAACAGCGGGACCTGCGACTCCTGACCCCGCTAATGCCGCCGCCATCCCCGCTAAAGGCGCGTCTGCTGCGGCTGTTATGGTCATCCTAGGAGACCGCGGGGAGATGGGAGCGGCTCTCGCGGCGCTTACCCCGGCGCCATGCGCGCTCCTGGCGGAGTGCTCGCTCGCAGCGGAGCTGGCGCGAGAGCTGGCGGAGTGCGCGATCCTAGACTTGGATCGCGCGGGGATGGCGCGCGGACTGAGCGGCTCCGCGCCGTCGAGCGCAGGGACGTTGAAGCGCCTCTTCGGAGCCGCGGACTCAAACGCGTCGTCGAAAGCAACGCGCTTCAACTCGCGGCCGCGGCTGCTGCGCCGCGTGCCGTCCATGCTATACGCGATACTACCTGCTTCGCTACCGATGTTTCGCTCGATATAGCGCCAGCGTGTAATGGGATGCGGTGACTTCAACGCCTCGGTCGTGGCGACGGGGACGATTTCGAGGTGGAATCGTTAGGGAGGAACGGCATGACACGCGAGGAATTAGGGCTACTAACGGCACAATGACTGAGTAAATGTGACACTAAGAGGATTTAGTTAGAAAGAGCCCTGAAGTTAGAACTTTGAGATGAGTTGAAAACGGTGTTGTGTGATGCAGGCTACGAAGGTGTGATGCAGCGCGGTGGAGGTTGCGAACGCGGGTAAGAATTTGAGGGAAAGCGCTCGACAAATCCTGCAGACCCAAATGAGGGTTGCGCTTCGCCTGAGCTGAGTTGCCCGAGTGCTCAAGTGTAGAAGTGGATAAATTCAATCCAATCACTTTACAACTATAATATAAAACTCGCTACAAGTCTTACAATAACGAACACACTTGCACCCACGCCAAGTTCCGTTAACATACGGAACCAGAAGCTCAATGCAATAAGCTGCATTATGCAGCTGGATAGATTTAAAACGACTATTGTAGCAAAAAAATAAGTAAACCCTGGCACGATAGATGTCGCAATACAATAGGGCGTGTGTGTGGGCCCTAACCATTTGCCGGGCAAGTATATCCCAGGGATTTTAACCTCTCTCTTGTGAGCTTTCCAGCCTCTGTCTTGCCTCTGTGCCTTTCCCCCTGCATACTCGCTCTGCGTCAGCTTTACTTCCTTCTACCTCTCCCAGCATCGTTCACATCCTCACTCAACAAGTCCTAGAGTCAGTAATCAGAGCTCCCCTTACTCGCACCTACCACTAGGACTGCCATCCCAATCTATTGCACCTCTCTGACCTTACACCAGCAGCAAGGCCTCTCCCTGTTCTGATCCGCTTCACCCTACTCGCTAATTACCCATCCCTCGTTCGCCATTTCATCTGGTGAGCAGCCATACCTTACCAGAACACCCCAAAGCACACCGGCAGGAGAATCCGAACCATAAGGGGTTCAATCAACCTTCCTCTTCCTGCCCTTTCACCATAAATGAAGGCCTGAATGCCCCTTGTACCGTACCACCCCTGCAGAAGGGCGGTTGAAACTTGAAACTGATCTGTCCCTTCTACCTGGAGAGACCAGCCCTCCTCCGCCTTTCTCTTCCCTCGCCCTTCACTCCACTGAACCTTGAGCTGGGGTGTTAGAAAAAACCCCCATCTGTTCGCCCCCCATTCTCGATACTCTGCGGGTATCCGATCAGTCCTCTCGTTCAAAACCTTTACTCAACATGTCATAACTACACTTGGGCTGTTAACCCCCCCCCCCCCCCAAACAACCCTCTTACCTCTACACTTGGGGCTGTTAACCCCCCCCCCCCCCCCCCCAAACAACCCTCTTACCTCTATAGTTGCGATCTGACCCCCCCCACCCGTCTCAATGCCCTCTATAGTTGGGGCGTAAAACCCCTTCACCCGTCTCACTCACCTCTACAGTTGGGGTCAGTCCCCCCCTCACCCATCCCACAGTGGAAGGGATCAAGCAATGAGCCACATGATGGGCTTACTGCATACTGCATACGGCATACTACACATGATGGGCTTACTGCATCAGGCAACACGTGGGGCATCATCTTTGCTGCCGGTTATGTGGAGCTCTAGGGTCAACCCTTCCCCTTCCACTCACCCACCGTAGGGACGAAGAAGGGGGTGAAAACCCATGGAAGCACGAGGGCAAGACACAGGAGGAGGGCTGAAACTCCCAAGGAAAGGCTATTGAGAGGCAAGAGAGGGGGTTTGAAACCCCCAGGCTAAGGCGAACCGAATGAAAGAAGGGGGGGGTCCCTCTGCCCCTTGCTCGCCTCAACCTGAGGGCTTCAAACCCCCTCTACCCCTCTGCCCCTCGCATGCCTTACCCTGGGAGGTCAAGCCCCTCTCCCCAGCCTTGCTATCCTATCACCATGGGGGTTTCACCACCCCTCCCCTTCGCTGCTCACTCAAATCATCCTCTGCCCTTCACTCAACTCACCCAGGGGGGTTTCAGCACCCCCCCCCTCCCCCCCCTCTCACTCAAGTTACAGTGGTTGGTTGCAGAGATGCCTCCATTGCTCATCACTCTACTCACCCCAGGGGGGTTTCGGCCCCCCCATTCCCCTCTCCCCCTCACTCAACTTACAGTGGTTGTTGCAGACTCCTCCTTAGCCCCTCGCTCAACTTACCCCGGGGAGTTTCAGCCCCCCTTCTTCTCCCCCTCTCACTCAACTCACAGACGCCTCCTTTGCCATTACTCAACAAACCCCGGGGAGTAGACCCCCTTCCCCATTCCCTCTCTCCCCCTCCCCTCAACCTTGTCATCTCTATAGTTGGGGTCTGAACCCCCCTCACTCGTTTCGCCTCAACACTTGAGGTCTGAACCCCCCACACCCATTTGGAGTCTGAAACCCCCTCACCCATGTCACCTTTGTAGTTGGGTTCTGAACCCCCCTAACCCCTCGCACTCACCTTTGTAGTTGGGTTCTGAACCCCCCTAACCCCTCGCACTCACCTTTGTAGTTGGGTTCTGAACCCCCCTAACCCCTCGCACTCACCTTTGTAGTTGGGTTCTGAACCCCCCTAACCCCTCGCACTCACCTTTGTAGTTGGGTTCTGAACCCCCCTGACCCCTCGCACTCACCTTTGTAGTTGGGTTCTGAACCCCCCTAACCCCTCGCACTCACCTTTGTAGTTGGGTTCTGAACCCCCCTAACCCCTTGCACTCACCTTTGTAGTTGGGTTCTGAACCCCCCTAACCCCTCGCACTCACCTTTGTAGTTGGGTTCTGAACCCCCCTAACCCCTCGCACTCACCTTTGTAGTTGGGTTCTGAACCCCCCTAACCCCTCGCACTCACCTTTGTAGTTGGGTTCTGAACCCCCCTAACCCCTCGCACTCACCTTCGTAGTTGGGTTCTGAACCCCCCTAACCCCTCGCACTCACCTTCGTAGTTGGGTTCTGAACCCCCCTAACCCCTCGCACTCACCTTTGTAGTTGGGTTCTGAACCCCCCTAACCCCTCACACTCACCTTCGTAGTTGGGTTCTGAACCCCCCTAACCCCTCGCACTCACCTTTGTAGTTGGGTTCTGAACCCCCCTAACCCCTCTCACTCACCTTAGTAGTTGGGTTCTGATCTTATCTGATCTTTACCCCCTTTACCCATCTCACTCTCCTTTACGGTTGGGTTCTGAAACCCTCTCACCCATCCCACAGTGGAGGGGTCAACCGACGAGCCACATGACAGGGCTTACTGCATCAGGCAACACGTGGGGCATCATCATTTGCTGCCTGCCATGTGGAGCTCTAGGCTCAACCCTTTCCCTCCATCCACACCTTACAGCAGAAGAGGGGGGGTGAAAACCCAAAGGCGGCACGAGGGCAAGACACGGGAAGAGGGCTGAAACTCCCAAGGAAAGGCAATTGAGAGGCAAGAGAGTGGGGTTAAAACCCCCAGGTTAAGGCGAGCCGAAGGCAGAGGGGGGGGGGGGTCCCTCTAACCTTTGCTTGCCTCAACTTGAGGGCTTCAACCCCCCTCTCCCCCCCTTGCTTCTCACAAGCCTTACCCAGGGGGTTCCAACCCCCCTCCCCTGCATTGCTCCCACACTACTGTGGGGTTCTCCCACACATTCCTCGTTGCCCCTCACTCAACTTACCCTGGGGGGATATCATCCCCTCCCCCCTCACTCAACTTACCCTGGGGGGATATCATCCCCTCTCCCCTCACTCAACTTACCCTGGGGGAATATCATCCCCTCTCCCCTCACTCAACTTACCCTGGGGGGATATCATCCCCTCTCCCCTCACTCAACTTACCCTGGGGGGATATCATCCCCTCTCCCCTCACTCAACTTACCCTTGGGGAATATCATCCCCTCTCCCCTCACTCAACTTACCCTGGGGGGATATCATCCCCTCTCCCCTCACTCAACTTACCCTGGGGGGATATCATCCCCTCTCCCCTCACTCAACTTACCCTGGGGGAATATCATCCCCTCTCCCCTCACTCAACTTACCCTGGGGGGATATCATCCCCTCTCCCCACACTCAACTTACCCTGGGGGGATATCATCCCCTCTCCCCTCACTCAACTTACCCTGGGGGGATATCATCCCCTCTCCCCTCACTCAACTTACCCTGGGGGAATATCATCCCCTCTCCCCTCACTCAACTTACCCTGGGGGGATATCATCCCCTCTCCCCTCACTCAACTTACCCTGGGGGAATATCATCCCCTCTCCCCTCACTCAACTTACCCTGGGGGAATATCATCCCCTCTCCCCTCACTCAACTTACCCTGGGGGGATATCATCCCCTCTCCCCTCACTCAACTTACCCTGGGGGGATATCATCCCCTCTCCCCTCACTCAACTTACCCTGGGGGAATATCATCCCCTCTCCCCTCACTCAACTTACCCTGGGGGGATATCATCCCCTCTCCCCTCACTCAACTTACCCTGGGGGGATATCATCCCCTCTCCCCTCACTCAACTTACCCTGGGGGGATATCATCCCCTCTCCCCTCACTCAACTTACCATGGTGGGATATCATCCCCTCTCCCCTCACTCAACTTACCCTGGGGGGATATCATCCCCTCTCCCCTCACTCAACTTACCCTGGGGGAATATCATCCCCTCTCCCCTCACTCAACTTACCCTGGGGGGATATCATCCCCTCTCCCCTCACTCAATTTACGGTAGTTGCTTGTAGACGCCTCCATCGCCCATCACTCTCTCTCCTCACCCCAGGGGGGTTTCAGCCCCCACCTTCTCCTCTCCCCCTCACTCAACTTACAGTGGTTGGTTGCAGACGCCTCCATCGCCCCTCACTCAACTTACCCCAGGGGTGTTAACTCCCAGCTTACCTCCCAACCCCACCTTCCCCTCCCCACCTTCCCCTTCCCAGCACTAGGAGCAGCATGCTACCCACCCCCTTTGGAAACAGCGCCCCCCATGGCTCTGCCTTGCAGGGCGAGTAGTGGCAGTGGAAAATGCACGGGCGGCCCAAGACTCAAATCCCGCCACATTCAGCGTCGTAGGAGGGGACTCCCAACCAGAGCCGGCGCGCACGGCTCTGGCCGGTTCCATTATACGATACGCCACTAGTGTTGGTACTTGAGGAACGACTGCCGTGCCACGCATTTTCCACTGCCCACCACCGACCAACAAGACACGAACCACAGAGGGTGCTGCCCCCTAAGGGAGTGAGTTGCATGCTTGCTCCTATGCCCTGCCCAAACACACCCCCCCTTTCCCCCAAGCAACGGCCCTTCCCCGTAACTTACCACCACCTTACCTCAACCTACCATAGCCGAATGGATCACCATGCTGCTGCAACCTGCTAAGGAGGGGGGAGGGGATGTGAGGGTGAGAATTGCACTCTCCTCACAGCACGATGCTTCTGGGAGAAGGACAGAGGGAGAGGAGAAGAGGTGAGAGAGGAGGCGGGCTCCATTCTCCTGCCCGTGCTCCAAGGCTCCTACCCGTGCTCCAAGGCTGCAGATCCACATGCTGCAGGAAGGAAGGACGGAACAGAGAGATGAGACGACCATACCTGACCTGCTACCATACCTCTCCTACTCCTACTCCTACTCCTACCCTGCCGACTAATGACCCGGCCCCAACTGTTGCTGCTGCTGCTGCTTCTGCTGCTGCTGCTGCTGCTGCTGCTGCTGCTGCTGCTGCAGTTGCTGCTGCTGCTGCTGCTGCTGCTGCTGCTGCTGCTGCTGCTGCTGCTGCTGCTGCTGCTGCTGCTGCTGCTGCTGCTGCTGCTGCTGCTGCTGCTGCTGCTGCTGCTGCTGCTGTTAGCTGCTCTGCTTCCACAGCTGCAATCTTCAAATGATGCCAGCTGACCTGGTAGGGGCAGGAGGGAGGGAGGCAGAAAACAAAGTTAGTGCATGGCAGAGACAAAATTCCAACAGCTATACCATTGAGAGTAACATGAGGAAAAGCATGCAGAAAAACGGCAGGCAAAACAGGAAAGACAACGAAGGGGCATAGGAGGGGCTGGTGAACAGGGGCTTACCTTGAGAGGCCAACCCCAACCCAGATGCTCTCCCTCATGGCAGCATTCCTCCCAGCTTCCCGTGTGCATGTACCTGCACGGCCGCAGGGGAGGGGTGCAAGGGAGAGGCGGTGTCGACCCCCACACCCCTCTGCTCAACACACAAGGACAAAACTGTAGAGAAGTTAGTAAGCGGCTACGGGTAGAAGCGTCAGAGGTGTGCATGAGTGGGGTGGGGTGGGGTGGGGTGGGGTGGGGTGGGGTGGGGTGGGAGGTGATGGCAGCAGAGGGACCACTGGAGCAGCACTAGGCACATGGTGCAGATCCAAGAGTAGTATGTATTAAAAGGGAGGGGGGGTGGAGTACCTAGTAAGTCTTTTAGAGTTTCGGTGTAGGCTTAACCTGGAGGTGTAAGGGGGGGGGGGAGTTACCTGGAATAGGGGGTCTGCGCCACGTGGGCTAGGCTGCTGCAAGTGGTTTGGTTTCAAGAGAGGAGGCATGCAGGATGGATGGAATGATGGGGTGCGGATGTATGTGTGAGCGCATGTGAGAGTGTTGAAGTCAAAGAATGCGAGTGAGAGCAGTCAAAAAGCAAAGCGACAGCAAGGAGAAGGGGCGGGTGTAGTACTTATCTGCTTCCGCTGGATGTGTACTTGAGCTCCCAGCCAGCACCTCCACCCCTCTCTGCTTCACCCCTCGCTGCTGCAGCCATCTGCTTCCCGCCACTCCAGCGTTTCACAGCACCCACTTCCCGCCCCTCCCCTCCCCTCCACCTGCACTGGCGCTTGCAGACCCTGCTGGGGGAGGGGGGTGGAGGGGTGGGGGGGGGGGGGGGGGGGGGGGGGGAGGGGAGAGGTAGTTAAGTGGAGGTGAAAGGCTCAGGCAGATGGAAATCGACATGCGCAAGCGATGCAGCGAGAAGAGGAAGAAGGGAGGGCGCCACTGGAGGAGGCACAACCACATTGCCACAGACCCCCAAGGGGACCTGAGAGATGACCTGAGAGGGTAACCTGCAGTAGGGGGTGAACCTGAGAGGATGTGTGAGGCTTTTAGAAGGCTGAACCTGAGGGGATTACCTGCTATAGGGAGGGGGTCTGTGGCTTGCGAGTCGGGCCCCAACCAGTGGCGAGTTTTTTAAAGAGAAAGCATAGACAGACATGGGACAAAAAACAACAGTAAGAGCAGCAAGAAGCATGCAAGGCTGATTCTAGGGAGGAAGGTTACTTAGCCGGAAGTTGAAGCACCGCTTGGAGTGGTTCTGACCTATCCCTTCCCCTCCCCTCCCTGCTCTCTGCAGCCAGCAGCCGCCACAAGCAGGAGGCCCTGCAGAGGGGAGGGGGGGTGTGGCAGTGTGGGGGGGGGAGGGAAGGAAGGGGGGAGAGGAAGAGGAAGAGTGGGTGACAGGGAGAGGAGCAAGCAGGTGGAAGTCACACAGACAGGTGCAGTGCAGCGAGCAAGGGGGAGAGAGGGGGCCACTGCTGCAGCGTTGCTCCAAGGGGCACAGACCAGAGGGTGAGAGGGGTCCTATGGGGGGGGGTATACCAGCATGTCTCTAAGGCTCGAGGCTTAACCTGGGGGGGGGATTTACCCGGGGGGGGCTTTACCTGCCAGTGCTGTTCTGTGCCCCACGAGCCACGCTGCAGCAAGTGGCGCATTGAAAAGGGAAGTGTGAAAGCGAGAACAAGGAATGGCGCAGCGTGAGGGGAGTGGGTGCAGTGCAGGGAGGTCGGAGCACTTACCTGGTGCTTTGGGGGGGAGGAAGTCCCCACCTGGCTGGCGGGATACCTGCCTTGGCGTCTGCTGCCGGCCCTGCCTCTCTGCCTCTGCCTTCCCCCGCTGCTCCATTGCCCCTTCTCCTTCTCCTTCTCTCCTCTTCCCCTCCCTCTGCCCCATCGCCCCACCTGGCGAGTCCTGCCAGGCGACAGGGATGGGGGAGGCAGCAGGGGGGAGGGGAAGAGGCGAAGGCCAGATCAGGGGGAGGGGAGACAGATGCGGGCGGATGCACCGAGAAGCGAGAAGCAGTCAGCAGAGGGGCGACACAAGGGCTGACACAAGGGGCCACCATTGCAGCTTCACCCACAGGGCACAGACCAAAGTGTGGGGAGGGGAAGGGGGTTACAGGGGGGGGGGGGCGGGGGAGACCGGGGGGGGTACGGGGGGGGGATTACTGGGTAAGGGGAATACCAATGGTCAAAACCAGGGGGGGGATCACCAAGTGGCTGGTCTGTGCCCAATGAGATCAGTTGCAACAAGTGGCCCAGTTTTGAAGCATGTGCAGGCATGGTGTGCCATGGTGTGCTATGGTGTGGCATAGTGTGGCATGGCGTGGCATGGTGTGGCATGGTGTGGCATGGTGTGGCATGGTGTGGCATAAATAGCGAGGGAGCAGGGAGGTGAGAGTACTTAGCTGATGCGTTGCATGGGCCGATACCCCCCTTGCCGGCTGGATACCCACATGCTGCTTGTGTGCTGCTCCCTTGCCTCTGCCACTGCCTTCCTTCTGCCGCTGCCCAACGCCCTGACTCCTGCCAAGAGTGAGCGTGGGGAGGGAAAAGCAGAGGGGAAGCAGAGAAGGGAAGACAGTGAAGTGAACCCACATGGCAGAGGCGATTGCCAGCGAAAGGGCACAGCGGATGGGAGCAGGAGGAAGAACGCGAAGCAAAAGAGTGCAGGCAAGCGATGAACTCGAAGGTGCTGAAAGCACGACTTGGGGATGCAGAGAGAGGGCGGGTGGTGGAAGAGGGGCGTTGGGGAGAGGCGGGCGGGGATTGGTGTGGAGGGAAGGAAGGAGGAAGAGGCGGGAGGCGGGGGTAAGGGGGAGGAAACCCATGGCACACAGGTGCTAGCTGTGCAGCAGCAAGCGGACGACAGCATGGCGGCGGGGGTGGGAGAGGGAGGGGGAGGGGGGGGGGAAATGGAGATGCGTGCATGCATGCGGACAGGACCCTAAGAGCTAAGTAGCCTAACCCATGACCTGGACTGGACTGGACCCTATGCGCGCTGCTCACGCCATGTGCCACGGGGTTGAGAGGGGGGTGGGCGGCGAGGGGCGGTGGAGGGGTAGGCAGGTGGGAAGGGAGTGGGTGGGCGGGAGGGAGTGATGGGGCTGGAGAACGCGGGAGAGGGGGGAAGAGTGGGAGGGAGGGGGGAAGAGCATGAGGGAGGGTGGGAGTGCATGAGGGAGGGTGGGAGTGCATGAGGGAGGGTGGGAGTGCATGAGGGAGGGTGGGAGTGCATGAGGGAGGGAGTGGGCATGGTTGGACTTATTGTTAGGTGGCGTGGCGTCGCTGTTGCCATTGCTGCTGCTGTTGCAGCCACTGCAGCCCCTGTTGCCACTGCTGCTGCTGTTGCAGCCACTGCAGCCACCACCTCCACTGCTGCTGTTGTTGCAGTCACCAGTGAACCACACGCTGCCCTAGGCGCTGGTGGGTGTGGGACTCCTGGTCGGGGATGGGGGGTGGGAGGGCGGGGGGGCAGAAGGGGCAGAGGAGAAAGTGGACAGTGGACATGAGGTCAGAGAGTGAGAGGCCCGCGGGGAAAATCAGAGAAGCGACTAGAGGTGAAGCGGCAGATTCTGATTCGCATGCAAGAAATGATTCCAGAGTCTGATTCTGATTCGCATGCAAGAAATGATTCCAGAATCTGATTCTGATTCGCATGCAAGAAATGATTCCAGAATCTGATTCTGATTCGCATGCAAGAAATGATTCCAGAATCTGATTCTGATTCGCATGCAAGAAATGATTCCAGAATCTGATTCTGATTCGCATGCAAGAAATGATTCCAGAATCTGATTCTGATTCGCATGCAAGAAATGATTCCAGAATCTGATTCTGATTCGCATGCAAGGCAAGCAGGAAATGACGGCAATGACGAGGTGCGAGGTGCTTGGCGTGAGACGAGCGAAAGACGTTGAGGAGGAACGGAGGAGGAGGGGAGGAGGGCGAGGAGGGGTGGGATGGGGGTGTGGGGGAGGGGGGATGGGTGGAGGGTACCCATGGCACACACGCGCGAGCTTCGCAGCAGCAGGGGGGGGGGACAGCAGCAGCACAGCTTGCAAGCGGACAGGACCCTAGAGTATTCTGGTTCTAGAGTAGCGTAACCCGCGACCTGGACTGGACTGGACGCACGCTGCTCTGCGCTGTGTGCCATGGGGATGAGGGCGAGGAGGCGAGGTGGCAGGCGGAGAGGTGCGGATGGGGGAGGAGCGGATGGAAGAGGGCGCGGGGGTGGTTGGGAGAGGAGCGGGAATAAAGGTGGCGTGAGAAATGGGCGAATGGAAGAGGCAGGCACGGAAGAGCGCCAGGATACTTAGCCGAGGCTGAACGGATTGAGGGAGACGCCAGTGACGCCAGTGTTGCTGAGACGCCAGCGCTGCTGAGACGCCGTGCTGCTGAGACGCCAGTGCTGCTGAGACGCCAGTGCTGCTGAGACGCCAGCGCTGCTGAGACGCCAGTGCTGCTGAGACGCCAGCGCTGCAGAGACGCCAGCGCTGCTGAGACGCCAGCGCTGCAGAGACGCCAGTGCTGCTGAGACGCCAGCGCTGCAGAGACGCCAGTGCTGCAGAGACGCCAGTGAAACGCCAGCAGCAGCACGCGCGGAAGATCTCGCCTCTCACGAGGGTACACGGGACCACGCCTCTCACGCCGCGCCGTGGCAGCGAGGACTGCCGCCAAGCACCTGCGCACAGCATGGGGAAGGCAGGCAGGCAACGCAGTGAGCGGCGGACAGGACGCGCATGGAACGGATAAAGGGAACGAGAGGCTTGAAAGGGAGATGCGCCATGGGAGAGCTTGGCGAGATGCTGATTGAACGGAGCGAGAAAGAACAGACGAGCGCAGTGAGCGTAAATGATGGGCGGTTAAGGGGGAGGAGAACCACGTTGACTGGGGCGTACCTTGAGACAGGGGTCAGCGACTCCGCGAATCCCCGTTGACAGGGGTCAACAGCCTAGATGGAATCCAGAGCGAACACCGTCGCGAATGACCTCGCGAACGACGTCACGAAGGTCGTCGCGAATGTCGTCGCGAATGTCGTCGCGAAAGTCGTCTCGGATGTCGCCACAAACGTCATCGCGGCGAGCGTCGTGGCGGGTGTAAAGCCATGGCGGAAGGTGTAGATGTTAGAACGTCTGCCATGAAAAACAAAAATAAACGTGAGAAACGAGGCACTTTTACCAGGAAAAACGAGGGGACGATGAGCACGGGAGATGCTCCATGGAAGAACATGAAGGGATGCTGAGCGGAGCGAGAAAGAAGGAGCGCAGGGAATGGGTGGTAGAGGGAGAAGAGAACCGGAGGAGCTTACCTTGAGACAGGGGTCAGCGACTCCGCGAAGCCCAGCGTCAACGGTCGGGATGGACTTCACTGCGATTGTCGTCGCGAATGTTGTCGCGAATGTTGTCGCGAGCGTCGACGCGCGGATACCGTCGCGGATGCCGTCGCGAACGTCGTCGCGGATGTCGTGGCGGATGTTGAGCCACGGTGGAAGGTGCAGGTGTTAGCAAATCTGCCATGGAAAACAATAAAATAATGAGAAACGAGACACTTTTACCACGGAAATTGAGGCAGCAATGAGTAAATGTAAGCGTAGAAAAAGGAGGCATCGTTACGATAGGTAACGTGAAAAAACGAGACACCGTCAACAGAGGAGGAGGAAAATAATAACGCGAACAATCGTCGTCCAATTACCTTGAAAAGACGGACAGCGAACAGCGACGAGAGCGGCGTATAGCGAACAGTGAGCAGAGAACAAGGAAACGAGGAGCGACGAGGAGAAGCAACGACGAGCTGCTGAAGACGAGTCCGCAACGACGATCAGCGCACGACGAGCAGCGGTCACTTCAGCTGAACGCTTTCGCCGCGCTTCTCGTCGTAACGGCGACCAGGAAATGCGTGAATCCAAGCAGAAACGGCGAGATTTCGAGCAAAATTGCCGTAGATTCGAGAAGAAACGGCGTAAATCCGAGGCAGGGATGGCGTAGTTTTGAGCAGGAGGAGCATAATTGCATGAGCAGGGAGCGTGGCTCGTGGAGCAGAACCCGAGGGATTGGGAGAATGGAGTCGAGGGGAATCCCGAGGAATGTGAAATGGAGGCGAGTGGCGAGGCGAGAAACCGAGGCAGTGAGCAGGCAGAGTGGCGAGGGAGTGCGGATTTGGGAAGACAGCAGGTTTTGGCCGAGCGACCAGGCGACAAGCAAACGAACCGGGCGACAAACCCCAATTAGTTCCTCCGCCGCCCAAACCTGCGGCCGCTGTGAGGAAAAAGACGGGAAAGGGTGCCGAGGCTAAGGGATTTGCGGCGAAACGAACCGTAACAAGGCTTGCGGAGGTGTTTTCAGTCGCAAGCGGCGGGAAAACGGAGGTTCGGATATGGAGCTGAGGCTCGTTTGGCTGATTGACGTCACAAAAGTCGCCAGTGAACCTTCGCCAGGTGCAGCACGATGTCGCATGAAGCTGCCTTACGACTTGGCGAGCACGGCGACCATTTTCCGCCGCTTATTTTGCTCCGGCTGGCGATTGGCGAGTGAAGTCCCGCGCTGTGGTGTTTGAGGCAATGGTCGTCAATCTAAGCGGTTGGGTAACAGGAAAACTGATTCTGTAACATAACCATATTATAGCTACAGTTTGTGCAATTTTCACCCTTCAATTCCTACAGACATATCCTCGTTATTGAGCATCGACGCTCAGAAATCGTCATCAAATGCCACGTCTGCATATACTGGCAGATCGCCACAGAGCCCAGGATTTCCCATAATCCAAAGTGGTAACCATCTGCTTACATCACACTCACTAAACTCATCACACTCGCCAATCACATTCCGCACCACCCCTCCACTTGGTTATCTGGGAGGGACTGACTGATCACTCGCACAAACCCTCTCCCCTTATCTTACCTCCAAAAACACCTCGGGAACTACGTGCTGCATCAACGTGCCTAGCATCCGCAGATTTAGTTCAGAGATACGTTAGGGATGGACTCGTAGTGCGTGGTGATCGAGCGAAGCATTCGTTTTGCGGCGTCGAAGCGCGCGACGTTGCACATACAGTAGAAGCGTGCGACCTTACCAAGCGTGCGACACTATCAGACAGGAGCGTGCGATCTTACCAAGCGTGAGACACTACCAGATAGGAGCGTGCGACCTTACCAAGCGTGCGACGTTACCAGGTAGAAGCGTGTGACAGGGCTCTAAGATGGCGTTTCCCCCGCCAGTCGCCACCATTCCGTCACAACTCTGCTCGCCGCCTGCGGCTCTTCCGATTCCAACCTCTCTTAGTCGTCCACAGGCCTGCCACTCTCTCCCCTCTCTTCCCTCGTCGTCGCCGTCACGCCTCGTTCACCATAGCACCGTTCTGTCTCCGTTATTAACTGCCACCACCTCCTACCGTGGACACAGCCAACATTTAGCCACCGCCGCAGCCGCTGTTGCAGACGGAGACGCGATCGCTCCCACGTTTTCAGGCGCATCCGGCGCCGTGATCCCCGCCGTTGACGCTGCCAGGGCCAGTCCGTTCGCGGTAGTTGCGCCGTTAAGCTTCGGCTCTCATGATCGTGGCGGAAACCCTAATAACGAGGCTGCGGCTTCAGCGGCAGCGGCAGCGGCGGCGGGGCTGTCGCGAAAACCATCGCTGCTGCGACCCAGTGCGACGAGTGGGCTGGAATGCGCGACAGCCAGCGACTCTTCGCCAGTTTTCGCGCAAAGTTTCAGTCTAGAGGCGAAAAGGGTCGCCCGTGTTACCACGCAGACCGCGGGGGCGATATCCAGCGTGCTTCGCCTGGCTCCTTCCGCCGACGCCACGCGGGGAAGCGACGGGGACGACAGCGGGTTGAGTAGAGAAGCGCAGAGGCGCAGAAGGGAGCAGGCGGAGCAGCAGCGAGGGGAGGGGGGAGCGCGGGCGGAAGATGAGGGGAGTTTGACGGACGAGGAGGAGGAGGCGGGGCATCGGCGGAGGGTGCGCCTGGGGAAGGAGCGGCGGGGGGGGCAGCCGTGGAACTTGGGGATTTCCCCCGCCGGCCAGCGCGCGTTCCACCGGCTGCTGCACGGCGCGGACGGGGAGCGGGGGAAGGCGGAGCGGGTGTTCCGCGCATCTCCGGAAGCGGGGGCGGAGCCTCCGCCCGGGGAGGGTGCGCAGGCGGAGAGGCAGCGGGGAATTGCAGGGAAAGGCGGAAGAGTGGACAGATGGTCGCGACGTGCGCAGGGGCGGGTGGGTGCGCACGCGCAGGGAATCCGCGGACAGGGCGGGGAAAAAACGGGGAAAGGGGGAGGGGGATCGTCGGGGGAGATTTCCGCGGGTGACATTATGGCGATTCTCAAGGGGTTGGGGAACAAGGGGCGGTGGCGGGATGCACTCGCGGTGTTTCACTGGGCGCGCGGCTGCGGAAAGATCGGCGGAAGCTGCGCGGAGGGGGAGGAGGGCTGGCGTGAGCGCGGGAACGCGATGGTGTCGCTGGTGCTGCGCATTCTGAGCCGATGCGACCGACCCAATGTGAGTATAACGTGGCAGGGGAGCGATAGACCTAATGTGAGTATAACGAGGGAGGGAGGCGATAGACCTAATGTGAGTATAACGAGGCAGGGAGGCGATAGACCTAATGTGAGTATAACGAGGCAGGGAGGCGATAGACCTAATGTGAGTATAACGACCTAATGTGCCTCACTTCGTCCCTCTTCGTGTTCCCCCCTGCCCTCCCTGCCCTCCCTGCCCTCACTGCCCTCACTGCCCTCCCTGCCCCCCCTGCCTTCCCTCCCCCTCCCCGCTCGCCTTTCCCCTGGCAGGAAGCGGACGACCTGTTCCGCGCACTAGTGGCAGACGGCTGCGCCCTGGACGTGTACGCGTACACCGCAATGATGAGCGCCCTCTCCCGCGCGGGGCGCTTCAACGACGCCATCGCGCTCTTCCACTCCATGCGCGCCGATGCGGGCGTGGCGCCCTCTATAGTCACATTCAACGTGGTGCTAGCGGCGTACGCGCGCAAGCGCGGGTGCTTCCACCACATGGCCTCTTTGCTTCAGGAGATCCGAGCCGTTGGATTGACCCCAGATGAGTACACTTATAACACGATGATCTCGGCTTGTGCCGATGCCATTGCTAACGAGGACACGGGGGCTGTAGGGGGGGGCGCTGCTGCTGCTATAGTGACAGGGGCGGCAGCAGCAGCAGCAGCAACGAAAAAAGCAGGAAGAGGATTGTTACAACGACAGGGGGGGTTACCAGCAGCAGCAGTTTCAGCGACACTAGCGGATGGCAGCAGTGACAGTAGCGATAGTGACACTGGCTACAGTGCCATCAGCTACAGTGCCAGCAGCAGTGCCGCCCAGTACATCCAGGAGGCGGAGCGAATCTTCGCTGAGATGCGGGCGGCAGGCCTGAAGCCGACACGTGTCACCTACAACGCGCTCCTAGACGTGTATGGGAAGGCAGGCCACGTGGCGCTCGCCCATTCGGTGCTGGAGTCCATGCTGGCAGCGGGCGTGCGGCCAAATTTAGTTACTTATAACGAGCTGATCAGCGCGTGCGCGCGTAAGGGGCTGTGGCGCGAGGCAAGGGGGATCGTGGAGAGTATGCTGCGCGGGGGGGAGGGGGGGGAGGGGGAAGGGGAGGCGGAGGCGGAGGGGAAGGGGAAGGCGGAGGAGAAAGGGAAGGGGACGGTTGAGGGGATGGAGGGAGGAGTGGCGGTGGGGAATGGGTTGAAGAGTGTGGATGGGAGTGGGGGAGAGAAGGGGAAGGAAGGGGTTGGGGGTTTGGAGAAGGAAGGTTCGAGGAAGAGGGGACGAAGGGACCCCATCCTCCCTCCCAAGCCAGATGTTTTTTCCTACACTGCCCTGATTGCAGCATACGGGAAGGCCGGGCAGGTTGAACAAGTGAGGGAAATCTTTCAGACCATGCAGCAGCAGGGCTGCTCACCCAATCTCTTCACCTTCAACACTCTCCTGGATATCTACGGGAAAGCCAAGCTCTTTGCTGACGTGGCATGGGTCATGGATGAGCTGGCAGCCAGCAAGATCCAGCCCGATGTGGTGACGTGGAACACCCTGATTCGCTGCTACGGCCAGGCTCAGATGCTGCCAAAAGTCGAATCTACGGTCGAGGCCATGAGGCGGTCCGGCTGCCGCCCGAATCGGCGCACTTACAACGGTCTGATTGACGCATTTGGACGGTGCGGATCGGCTGCCGACGCAGCAGCAGTTTTCGAAGCAATGAAGTGTGCCGGGCACACGCCCAACTCAGCAACCTACATCGCCCTCCTAGCAGCACAGTCCCGAGAAGGCCTGTGGGAAGAGGCAGAAGAAACCATCGACACAATGCGGCGCACCGGCTACGCTCCCGACGCCCTCGCCTATTCCTGCCTCATCCACGCGTACGCTACAGCTGGCGACGCCAGACGGCTCCTAGACACGGTCGCTCGGCTGGAAGCTACGGGGAAGATCCCCAGATCGACCTCCCCCAGATGCCCCTGGGAGGTGCATAAGACACTGGTTCTGGCGTTTTGCAAGTGTGGGTGTGTGGGGGAGGCGGAGGAGGCCTTGGAGAGGATGAGGGGAATGGGGCACGGGCCGGATTTGGTGGTGTGGAATGCGGTGCTGGGGATGTACGGGCGGTTGGGGAGGGTGGAGAGGGCGGAGAGGGTGAGGGGGGAGATGAGAAGGGGGGGCGTGGGGGGGGACGTGGTGACGCATAACGTGATGATGAGCGTGTATGGGCGGGAGGGAATGAGTGAGAGCGTGGAGAGGGAGTTCGAAGGCATGAAGGCCCGGGGGATCGCCCCTGACGCTGTCTCCTACTCTTCGGTGGTTCTAACCCTCTGGTAAGTGCTTCTTTTGCTCTGGTGAGTGCCTCAATCGCTCTGGTGTGGTGATGCGCAATGTGATGATGAGTGTTTATGGGCGGGAGGGCATGAGTGAGAGCGTGGAGAGGGAGTTCAAAGGCATGAAGGCCCGGGGGATCGCCTCTGACGCTGTCTCCTACTCTTCGGTGGTTCTAACCCTCTGGTGAGTGCCTCATTCGCTCTGGTGAGTGCCTCGATCGCTCTGCTGCTATGTGGCAGAGTGTGAGGCAACCGCCCTCTCCCTCTCTCTCCCCTGCACCCAACCCCCTTGATGCCCTCTCGCTCGCTCTCCCCTGCAGCTACCCCCCTTGACGCCTTCCTTCCCTTCCCCTCGTACCAACCCCCAACCATCCCGCAGCAAGGTGGCAAGGGTGGAGGGGACCAGCCGCTATGTGGCGGAATGCGAGGCAAGCGCCCTCCCCCTCTCCCGTGCATCCCTCCCCCTCTCCCGTGCATCCCTCCCCCTCTCCCCTGCATCCCTCCCCCTCTCCCGTGCATCCCTCCCCCTCTCCCCTGCATCCCTCCCCCTCTCCCGTCCATCCCTCCCCCTCTCCCCTGCATCCCTCCCCCTCTCCCCTGCATCCCTCCCCCTCTCCCCTGCATCCCTCCCCCTCTCCCCTGCATCCCTCCCCCTCTCCCCTGCATCTCTCCCCCTCTCCCGTGCATCCCTCCCCCTCTCCCCTGCATCCCTCCCCCTCTCCCCTGCATCCCTCCCCCTCTCCCCTGCATCCCTCCCCCTCTCCCGTGCATCCCTCCCCCTCTCCCCTGCATCCCTCCCCCTCTCCCGTGCATCCCTCCCCCTCTCCCGTGCATCCCTCCCCTCTCCCCGTGCATCCCTCCCCTCTCCCTGCATCCCTCCCCCTCTCCCCTGCATCCCTCCCCCTCTCCCGTGCATCCCTCCCCCTCTCCCCTGCATCCTCCCCCTCTCCCGTGCATCCCTCCCCCTCTCCCTGCATCCCTCCCCCTCTCCCCTGCATCCCTCCCCCTCTCCCGTGCATCCCTCCCCCTCTCCCTGCATCCCTCCCCCTCTCCCGTGCATCCCTCCCCCTCTCCCGTGCATCCCTCCCCCTCTCCCCTGCATCCCTCCCCCTCTCCCCTGCATCCTCCCCCTCTCCCGTGCATCCCTCCCCCTCTCCCCTGCATCCCTCCCCCTCTCCCCTGCATCCCTCCCCCTCTCCCGTGCATCCCTCCCCCTCTCCCGTGCATCCCTCCCCCTCTCCCCTGCATCCCTCCCCCTCTCCCGTGCATCCCTCCCCCTCTCCCGTGCATCCCTCCCCCTCTCCCCGTGCATCCCTCCCCCTCTCCCGTGCATCCCTCCCCCTCTCCCCTGCATCCCTCCCCCTCTCCCCTGCATCCCTCCCCCTCTCCCCGTGCATCCCTCCCCCTCTCCCGTGCATCCCTCCCCCTCTCCCCTGCATCCCTCCCCCTCTCCCGTGCATCCCTCCCCCTCTCCCCTGCATCCCTCCCCCTCTCCCCTGCATCCCTCCCCCTCTCCCGTGCATCCTCCCCCTCTCCCTGCATCCCTCCCCCTCTCCCCTGCATCCCTCCCCCTCTCCCCGTGCATCCCTCCCCCTCTCCCGTGCATCCCTCCCCCTCTCCCCTGCATCCCTCCCCCTCTCCCGTGCATCCCTCCCCCTCTCCCGTGCATCGCTCCCTCTCTCCCGTGCATCCCTCCCCCTCTCCCCTGCATCCCTCCCCCTCTCCCCTGCATCCCTCCCCCTCCCCCTCAACGCCTTTTTCCCTCATAATAGGCGCCTCGAATCTCGTGCCATTTCCCCCTCCCTGATCCCCTTCCCTCCTCTCCTCCCCCTCTGCAGCAAGGTGGGAAGGGTGGAGGCGGCCAGCCGCTATGTGGCGGAGTGTGAGGCAGCTGCCCTCCCCCTCTCCCCTGCGGCCCTCAACGCGTTTGCCTCAGCGTGTGTGGCCACCGGGAGGCCTACTGACGCCATCAGGGTGTTGGAGGGGGCAGAGAGACGAGCCGGCAGGTGAGCAAGCAAAGGTGGGAAGTGACACCCTTGCTGTTCACTGGGAAGTCTGCTGCGGCCCTCAGCGCCTTTGCCTCAGCCTGTGTGGCTGCTGGGAGGCCGACTGACGCATTCAGGGTGCTGGAGGGAGCAGAGAGAAGAGCTGGCAGGTGAGCAAGCAAAGGTGGGCGGTGAAAATCCGTGAAAAAAACGACCGGGAAAGGGGAAATACAACCATGTAATACGCCAACTTTTTATTCCAGGAAAAAAAAAACTTTTTGAAAAGAAAAAATAGGTAAAAATCAAAGCCGCCCGTCACCACCCGTCCCGTCACCGCCTGCCACCGCCTGCCACCGCCTGCCCTGTCACCGCCTGCCCCACCTGCCACCGCCCGTCACCGCCCTTCACCACCATCACCACCCGTCACCACCCATCACCGCCCGTCACTGCCCGTCACTGCCCTTCACCGGCCTTCACCACCCGTCACCACCCCGTCACCGCCCCGTCACCACCCGTGACCGCCCATCACCGTCCGTCACTGCCCATCACTGCCCTTCACCGGCCTTCACCGCCTGTCACCGCCCCGTCACCGCCCCGTCACCGCCTGTCACCGCCCGTCACCGCCCTTCACCATTGTCACCGCCCGTCACTGTCCGACACCGCCCTTCATTGCCCTTCACCGCCTGTCACCGTCCCGTTACCGCCTGTCACCGGCCGTCACCGCCTTTCACCGCCCTTCACCACCCGTCACTGCCCGTCATCGCCCGTCACCGTCCTTCACCGCCCGCCACCGCCTTTCACCGCCCTTCACCGCCCTTCGCCGCCCGTCACCGCCCGCCCCCCCCCGCCCGTCACCACCCGTCACCACACCGCCCGTCACCCCCCTCCACCCCCCTCCACTGCCCTTCACCGCCTGTCACCACCCGTCACCGCCCATCACCGCCCGTGCTGATGCTGATACTGATGGTGATGGTGATGGTGATGATGATCGGTACTACCTGCTCTTCTCCCCTCTTTTTCCCACTCTGCCATCCGCTCACTCACGTCTTCCCCTTCATTGCACCCCCATCCCATCCCCCCACTTCCCCCTTCCTGCCCCCCTACTTGCAGGCTCGACCGCGAATCCTATGCCCTCTGGATGCAAGCACTCGAACTGGCTGCTGCTGCTGCTAGCAGCACCAGCACCAGCAGCAGCAGCAGCATGAGCAGGAGCACCGCCAGTGATGCAGCAGCTGGTGTGGATTCACAGGGTGCCACAGCAGGGGATGCAGCACGGGACAAGGCAGGAGCAGCAGTGGCAGCTCATGCCACTGTAAGCAGCAGAAAGAGCCAAAGCAGTCTCTCCGCTCCCAGCCCATCTTCCCCAGCACACAAAGTCCCTTCCTCCTCCTCTTCCCCATCGCCTCAAGATCACTACAGCGCTCAGCTGGCAGTGCTTGGTGCTCGGATGGAGGCGTTGGAGATGACAGGGGGAGGGGCGGCTGGGAAGAGGGGCAGCAGCAACAGGAGAAGCAGCAGCAAGGGGTTCTAGCCCTACAACCAGGGTGCAGGGGAGCACTACCAGCAGCAGCTGGCAGGGATGGCAGCAGCACGTGTGGAAGCAGTGGAGATGAGAGGGGGAGGGGGGGCTGGGAAGAGGGGCAGCAGCGGGAGAAGCAGCAACAAGGGGTTCTAAGTTCTAAGTTCTACCCCCCTCGAGGTGCCCTGCAGCACACAGTTGCCAGTGCTTGCTGCGAGGAGGGAAGCACTAGTGATGGGGGTATACTGGTAGCTCTAGAAGTAGCTGTCAGAGCATTAGCAGCAGCAGCAGCAGCTGAAACAGCATCAGCTGCAACAGCGCTGCTGTTTTGTCACTAAATAGGGGAAAATATCTTCCCCTACCATATCACCTACGGTACATGGTGTATTGCCCTAGTTTGGTGTGTGAGTGAGTGTAGCAAAGTATCAACTCAAAACTTCTTTGGTTTCATGCAGCAAGCGCATGCAGGCGAATACAAAATCAGGAGCTGAAATAGGCAATAAAACACAAGTCCTACTCAAACTGCCTCAAAGGTACTGCTTATCTACTGTTGGAAATATCTCAAGGACTTAAGCGTTTCTGAAGTGTAACACTGTACTCGAGGAAGATTACAGGGGAGCACGCGAGTCAACGGAGGTTACACGAGGGGGCGGACAAAGAATGCGAAAGGACTCGAAAGGTCGCAACTGGAGGTTGCGACTGACCGTTACAACATCACGGATGGTAACCGAAGCGGCAATCGAGTCGCTGTGCGACTCGATAAACCGTTCCTGTAACTGTATTCTACAACTGCTTTCTTATCTTCTATATATTGCTGTATGCTTGTTTCTTTAATCAATCACTTGTTCTCACATACTAGTACAAGGGTTCAACTGCCTCAACTTCCGCTGCACTACTCCAAGTCTCAAGTCTCTACAAGCTGGGACTTAGTCTCTGCAAAAGATCCTAAGGGCTTTTTCTCAGCCCAACATGGTATGAGAGCTGGTCAGAGACCAAACTCCCAGCAACTACGTCCTATCAACAACCTGCAACTCAACTCAATTCAACGACTTCATTGATTACAAGACATGGACAACAAGGGCAAGAAAGTCTCTACGGGCTCACCCAGCGCCCAAGAAACTCAACACGGCAACTCTGGTCTGCACACCTCAGGATTGCAGACAGAGACCGGGACTGCTCAAGAAACAACAGGAAGAGTACCAGAGATGGTGACTCCGTCTCCCTCTTCAAGTGTGGACCCGAATCTCATGGAGAGATTCTTCAGCTTCATGTCACACTTCGACCAGCAACAGCAGACAAGGACACCTGCGCATTCAACACAGAGCAATGGAGGAAACATGGGATTAGCGCCGATGAGCCTCGACAACTCATCCTTCGGGCGACACAACCAAGCACCTACCTTTGCGCCTTATCATTCTTCACCGGGGACGTTCGAGTTCATGCCGCCCCGCGCCCAACCAACAGCAGCTGCATCACAACAAACACCAAACGAGATTCTCAGTCTTCAAGCTCAATTCTCACACGTCATCAAGTTACAAACATCCTCACCGTTCAACGGACACGACTTCTTTACCTGGAGCTTCGAGTTCGAGCTGCTGATGGAGGCCGCGCATCTTCTGGGATACTTCAACGGGTCCCTGCCATTCCCAAGCAACGGCACTGGAAAGGAACAAGAGATCTTCACGTATCAGTCGCTACTGGCGTATACAGTCCTCCTGCGGAACCTGTCACCACAAGAGCAGCAGAGCATCAGAACGTATCGGAGTTATGGAAACTCCGCGGAACTCGCATGGCATCATCTCAAATGCCTCTACCAAGCAAACGACAGCGTGACACAAAGCAGACTCATGCTACAGCTGACAACAATACAGATGAAGACCGGGGAAAAGGCGATGCAGTATATGAGTCGCTGCCAGACCCTGCGCGACCGCCTGCTTCGGTGCGGAGGAACGATCACTGAAGAAAGCTTCGTCACACTTGTCCTCGCCGGGCTCGGACCAGAATGGAGAACCACACGATCGCTTCTTCGCGCCCACGGAAGGATCTCGGAGATGCACCTCTGCGCCGAGCTTCACGCTGAACAACAGGAGATGGATCTGTTCGAGGAAAGACAACCAAGGAAGCAACAGCAGTTAGTCTTCTACACTCAAAGAAGAAATGACATAAACTACAACCGACGCAGCAAGCAAGATCAACGCGACAACCGAGGACTCACCATCGTGCCGCCGTTCTGCCACAACTGCCAGACTTCCGGACACTCCAAAGTCAACTGCAACCGCCCTCGCGTTTACCGAGCAGCAGACCCACAAGTTGCTTCCACTCAAGCAAGTTCCCCAAGGCGCTCTTCAACATCTGCACAAGGGACACCAAATATCATCAACTGCATGGTACACATCGACAACTGCGCACCCAGATCACCACCCACTTACGCACCAGACGAAGAGGAATTCCCGCCGCCGCGCTCACAAGGACTTCAGGTCAACCCGACATACGCTGCGGTCGCCAACGCCGAACCCACCGGGCGAAACACCTGGTTCTTGGACAGCTGCTGCGGTCAACACATGTGCTCCTCGGGACGCTTCGTACAACAGGAGAAACGACTCAACCGCGACGTCGTCATCACCGTCGCCAACAACGAAAACCTGAAGACAAACAGACAGGGCGTGGTTCAGTTACAATCAATGGAGACGAATGTCATACTTCAACTCAACAAGGTGCTCATTGTCGACAATCTGGGATACAACCTACTAAGCGTAAGCCAACTAATGGCCAAGGGGATTCACCTGGAGTGCGACTCTTACTCCAACGAGTTCCGGCTTTACCACGGGAAGGGCGGCCTCTTCATCGGTCGTGCCCTCCTGAAGTCCGGTGTCTTCGTGTTGGACTTCGTCCCCGACCGCGGAACTGCCGACAGCGACGGTATCGTATCCTTCGCCGCCTGGACTCATCCGCCAGATCTTGATCCCGACTTCGACAGCGACGGCTTCTGGCACTCCAACACCATACCTGCAGCAGAAAGAACACGAGCATTAGCAGTTATCAGACAAGAAAGACAAGTACCCGCATGTGTCCCAACAAAACCATCACCTGCAGTATCGGCAGCAGGACCCAGCCGAGTACCACCACCAGCGACACGAGGACAGCCAACCGAAGCAGACCAACTTATGCCCGCCACACGAGAAGCTTGTCGAAGTCCCGCCTCAGTCGTCGCGTTCTTCTCCAACGCCGACATCTACCACCGCTCGCCCGGTCACCGTGCTCCCGACGACATCTGGCACCAACGCCTCGGACACCCTGCAAACAGCACAATACTTCAAACAATCCAAGCAGAGGTGTTAGAACGTAACGCCCTTCTAACGACGAGCGGCCAAGAACTTCGCCGACCAAGAGCACGATGCTTCACGTGCCCCGAAGCAGATCTTCCTCATCAACCCTTCCCATCCCATCATAATCCAAGCGCGCCTGCATATGCAACGATGGAAAAAGTCTACAGCGACATCTTGAACATGCCTCGAGACGACACGGAAGCCGACTTCAACTACGTCATCACCTTCGTCGATGCAGCAACAAGATACACTTGGCATTACAACCTCAAGACGCGCGATCAAGCCTTCGACGCCTTCACAACATGGCTCCCCATCGCCGAGCGGGAATCAGGAACCAAGCTCAAAAGCTTCCAGTCAGACGGTGCCCTAGAATACCAGTCACAACGCTTCAGGACCTATCTGGCGGAAAGAGGAATCAAGCGCCTGGTGTCCCTACCATACGCTCACCAGCAGCAGGGGGTCGCCGAACGCATGAACCGGACCTTGCAGACGACGATGCGAAAGCTGCTCCTGGGGATGAGACTGCCCACCACACTGTGGCCAGACGCGATGACACATGCAGTCCACCTGCACAACCTGTTGTCCTCGTCATCGCTCCCCAACAACGCATCACCGCACCTGCTGTGGACGGGAAAAAGGGGCAGCACAAAATTACTTCGAGTTTTCGGCTGCATGGTACAATACAGACCCCACACAGCTCGAGCAGGACGCTTCACTCAACGAGCTCGGTGGGGACTACACCTCGGCATCGCCAAACATTTTCACGCGTGGAAGATTCTCGACATACACGACAAAAATACGGTGGCATCACGTGATGTTATCTTCTACGAGCGACTGACGCTGCAGCATTACCTGGACAACATTGCCAACTCAGACGACCCCACCGACGGCTTCGCGGGCCTTCGCTCCTTCGCTGACCATGCTGCCGAGGCTGACGCAGCAGAAGAAGACGTCCCTGGAGCCTCGGAGGCTGCCGGACCACTCCCCTACTGCTCCGTACCTGTTCCACTCGATGAAGATAATCCCCTCGATAGCAACAACCTCGACACCTTTTACCACTTCGCTGACCAAGGCTACGCTACACCACACCCCGTCGACTCGAATATTTCCGAACGCATCGGGCCAAACTTCTTACCCGATCCTGAAGACGGTGATGAAGCAGCTTATCCCGAGAATGAAAACTCCCCTCGACACACAGCCACGGGACTGCAGATCCTAGGACTATGGGTCTCCGTCCAGCACCCGCCGCCGCCTTCTCCGCGCGAGCCGTCGACCCTGTCGCAGGCTCTGGGGGGGGAACATAAGGCACAATGGAAGGAAGCGATGGAAAAAGAGTTAAAAGCTCTGCAAGACCGAGAAACATGGAAACTGGTACCTGCAACGAGCATCAACGGGAAGAACATTCTCTCGGGGAAATGGGTGTACCGCATCAAGACCAACTCAGACGGCTCCATCGAACGATTCAAAGCTCGATGGGTCGTACGAGGTTTCGATCAACGATACGGAACCGACTACACAGAAACCTTCGCTCCAGTCTCCCGTCACACCTCCCTGCGCATCCTACTCGCCATCGCGGCCACGAAGAAACTACCACTACGGCAAATCGACGTTGCAAACGCCTTCTTGTACGCACCTGTGGACGCCGAAATCTTCGTCGAACAACCCCACGGATTCATCGACGACCCTTCAAAAGTATGCCAGCTGGAAAAATCCCTTTACGGGATCAAGCAAGCCCCACGGCTCTGGCAGCAGCACCTTCACGGCCGGCTCGTAAAAATCGGATTCCTACAGTTACCACATGACCAAGGCATGTACCGACTACAGAAGGGAAGAGATTACATTCTGCTCATCGTCTACGTCGACGACCTGCTCTACATCGGTTCTACCACCGACATCGTCACCTGGTTCGAAGGGGAGCTGAAAAGGGACCTAACGCTCACGGTGTCCGACGAGGTGACGCAGTACCTAGGACTGAACGTCGTCGAAGACGACACGGCGTTCTACCTACACGCTGGAAAGTACTCAAGCACCGTCGCGAAGAAATTCGGTCTAACACCGACTGCGGTCCCAACTCCCTACCGCTACGGGAACAACAGTAGCGCCTCCACAAAACTCCCCGCGAAACAAATCCAGGAGTATCAACAGAAGCTCGGCTGCCTACTATTCGCAACAGTAACCTGCCGACCCGACCTATCCTATAGTGCGAGTCAGCTGGCGACACATCTGAAGCAGCCGCAACAGGAAGATCTCGAAGAACTCAATCGAGCGCTACTCTACTTCGTCTCCACGCCGACGATCGGGCTCACCTACAGCAAGGCAACAACACCGTCCGTACGACTACTCGGATACGTCGACGCCGACCACGCGGGAGACAGCGAAAATCGACGGTCTAGGACGGGCTACATCTACCGACTAGAACCTATCGGAACTATCTCCTGGCAGTCGAGCAAGCAGGAGTTAATCGCACTATCCTCGGCTGAAGCAGAGTATATCGCCCTTTGTACTGCGACCAAGGAAGGACTCTACCTACGAGAGTTACTCGAAGAAGCGAAGATCGCGACCCTGCCCACCTTCTCACTCCTCTGCGACAACCAATCTGCGATAAAAATCGCGAACAAGGACGGCTTCGCCAACCGAACCAAGCACATCGCCCTGCGGTACTTCTTCGTCAAGGATGAAATCGCGAAGGGGAGACTTCAACTCAGTTACTGCCCGACGACAGAAATGGCCGCAGATTATCTGACGAAGAAATTGGCGAAAGCAAAATTCGACTACTGCATGCTCCTAACCGGGCAAACAAACGTCACCGGATCTGAACACTCCAGCACTCCAGAAACGAAGGGGAGTGTTGGAAATATCTCAAGGACTTAAGCGTTTCTGAAGTGTAACACTGTACTCGAGGAAGATTACAGGGGAGCACGCGAGTCAACGGAGGTTACACGAGGGGGCGGACAAAGAATGCGAAAGGACTCGAAAGGTCGCAACTGGAGGTTGCGACTGACCGTTACAACATCACGGATGGTAACCGAAGCGGCAATCGAGTCGCTGTGCGACTCGATAAACCGTTCCTGTAACTGTATTCTACAACTGCTTTCTTATCTTCTATATATTGCTGTATGCTTGTTTCTTTAATCAATCACTTGTTCTCACATACTAGTACAAGGGTTCAACTGCCTCAACTTCCGCTGCACTACTCCAAGTCTCAAGTCTCTACAAGCTGGGACTTAGTCTCTGCAAAAGATCCTAAGGGCTTTTTCTCAGCCCAACATCTACAATTTGCTTTGCACACTAAATCATACAAGTGCAATTATATACATTGCAGCATTACACTTTCTGTACAAGCATACACACAGAACATCTCATGCGCTTTTGTACAAACGTGCCTCCTCCTAGGCTTGTGCCCCCGAAGGAGGTACACAGCTCTACAGTATACGATCGATGGACAGGGGAAGACAACGAGGGTGCTAGGTAGACAAGGAGAAGCAAATGCCAAAGAAAACTATTGGCTCTTTTCCAGTGAGGGAAATGTTGGGGGGATGCATTTGAGGCAGATGCTCCATATAGGCCCAGCTTGCGGACGCCTTGAATCTCAAGGCTGTAGCTGCCCCAGGTTGAATAGTAGCTACAGATGCCTCAAGACTAGTCCACCGCAGCCTGCAGAGCAGACGCCTTGAATTTAAACGCTGCTGTGCTGCCCCGGGTTGAATGCCCTGAAATGAACCGTTGACTCAACTCAACTCAAGCTGGCGGCAGCAGCTGCTCCTCTATCTCCTCTAGAGAGCGACCCGCTGTTTCGACAAGAGACGTGCTGGTGAAGAGTGCACCGGCGAAGCATATGCAGGCGAAGAATGAGAAAAGCGTGACGGGGCCGAAGCGGACCATGAGAGGGAGGAAGGAGAAACCGACCATGAAGTTGAACACCTGGAGGGGAAGGGAAAAGGAGGGGAAGGAAATGGGGCACAGGGCACAGGGGTAGAGGAGGAATGAGAGGAGTGGGACTCGGTCGAATCAATCGGACCATGAGGGGCAGGAAGGAGAAACCGGCCATGCAGTTGAACACCTGGAGGGGAAGGGGCAGATAGGGAGGGGAAGGAGGATGCGGCAGAGAAGGGGAGGCGATGCAGGCGAGGAATAAGAAGAAGATGATCGGACCATGAGGGGCAGGAAGGAGAAAACAACCATGAAGCGGGGCATAGGGGAACACCTGAGAGGGAAAGGAAAGCGGGGCATAGGGGGAGAGGAGGAGGAATGAGAAGTGGGTGGGAGAATGAGATGGGAGTGATGGGCGTGATGGGAGTGATGGGAGTGATGGGGCTGAATCGAACTACGAGGGGCGGGAAAGAGAAACCGACCATGAAGGATGATGCAGCATGCAGCATGCATTGCCACCTTTGACTCACCCAGTGCACACACATGGCAAACGCCATGCCCTTGGCTCGGATGTGGTTGGGCAGCATCTCAGGCAGCATCAATCCAGGGACAGGCCCCGCCCCCATGGTGAAACACGCCACGTAGCTGATGGGGGGGGAGGGAACGGGAGAGGGAAGGTAGAGGGAACTTGAGACGAGGCACCCGAGCGGCATCTCAGGCAGCATCAATCCGGGGACAGGCCCCGCCCCCATGGTGAACGTGAAACACGCCACGTAGCTGATGGGGGGGGAGTGGTAGAGAGGGATATGTGGGTGCGAGCCTGGGAGGAAGATGATCCTGGGAAACAGCATTGAGGAGTCTATTTTTGAGGCGCCTCAAAAATATACTACATTGCAATACTTCAGCAGGCAGCATCCGGCTGGGCACACGGCCCGCTTCCTATGTCTCATTAAGCAACCACTAAGCCCCACTAAGCACCCCCAAGGCCCATTAAGCACCCACTAAGTACCAATAAGCCCTACTCACACGAGTGTGGCAGCGAGGGTGACAAGTGGTGCCATGGGCGCCATCCACGGTACTGCCTGCACTGCTGCCTGCACGGCCATGCACAGGCCCTGGTGGGGAGAGAGGACGGCAGAAACAGAAAATCACACGGAGGAAAAGATAGGAGGAGTCTATTTTTTAGGCGCCTAAAAAAAAGCACGAGGAGGATAAAGATAGGCGGACAGTGACTACCGGGCGGTGCCATGGGCGCCATCCAAGGCACTGCCTGCGCTGCTGCCTGCACCGCCATGCATACGCCCTGATGGGGAGAGGGGAAGGAAGGGTTGTGAGGTGGCAGGGACGGGCAGAACGGGGGGAGGCAGAAAGGAGGAGGGAGGGCCCCGGGTGACAAGCGGTGCCATGAGCGCCATCCACGGCAGTGCCTGCGCTGCTGCCTGCACCGCCATGCACAGGCCCTGGTGGGAGGGAGAAGGAAAAAGGAGGGCATTTGGTAACAAGCGGTGCCATAAGCGCCATCCACGGCAGTGTTTGCACCGCCATGCATAGGCCCTGTGAGGTGAGAGGAAAGAGGGGTTGTGAGGTTTTAGGGAGGGGCAGAAAGATAAATGCAGAGAAGAGGGCAAAAAGAGACAGGCACTGCTGGCTGAACCAATATGCGGAGAGATGCCGCATGAAAGAGTGATATCGTGAGCTACAAAACCATGTATGCATCTGCGCATAGAACCATGCACGCATACAAAACCATGTATGCATCTGTGCATAGAACCATGCACTCATACAAAACCATGTATGCATCTGTGCATAGAACCATGCACTCATACAAAACCATGTATGCATCTGTGCATAGAACCATGCACTCATACAAAACCATGTATGCATCTGTGCATAGAACCATGCACTCATACAAAACCATGTATGCATCTGTGCATAGAACCATGCACTCATACAAAACCATGTATGCATCTGTGCATAGAACCATGCACTCATACAAAACCATGTATGCATCTGTGCATAGAACCATGCACTCATACAAAACCATGTATGCATCTGTGCATAGAACCATGCACTCATACAAAACCATGTATGCATCTGTGCATAGAACCATGCACTCATACAAAACCATGTATGCATCTGTGCATAGAACCATGCACTCATACAAAACCATGTATTCATCTGTGCATAGAACCATGCACTCATACAAAACCATGTATGCATCTGTGCTATCAATACGAAGGACCGTTCGAGATTGACATTGACTCACCATGCCCACGAAGCTGCCTGTGATGAGGGCCTTCCTCCCCACACGGTCTATGAGAGCAGAGCATACCAGAGAGGCTGAGAGGGGGGGAAGTTGAGGGAAGGAGGGGAGGAGGGGAGGGAAGGGAAGGGAGGGGAAGGGAAGGGAAGGAGTGGGGGGGGGAGGAGCTTAAGACAGAATCGGCAAAGGCTCTGCATTGGACGTGGGTTGCAGTGAGCCTAATAGCCAATGCATGCATTTTCTGGCGCAGAGGATTAATTGCAAGCGCAACAGCTTACCAACTAGGTTGAGTGTGCCCATGGCAACGCTGGCCATGGCGCCAGACTGAATCCCGGCCGACTTGAAGAGATGAGAGGAGAAGAAGAAGATGGCATTGATGCCACTAAGCTGTTGAAGGGCAAAGAGAGTTGCTCCGATGGTGACGACTGGGAAGAGGGGGAAGAGAAGCGAGGTAAGGAAGAAAGGGAGATAAAGAGCAGGGAGGCATGTGGGGAGAAGATGAGGACAGCGTTGATGCCATTCAGCTGTCGAAAGGCGAAGATAGATGCACCAATGGGAAGGGAGAGAAACAACGTGTGCTAAAAGTAAGACAAGAATAGTGTGTCGTGCTAGCTAGAAAACAAGCACTAGAAAAAAATGTACGTTATTTGGAACAAAACCGACTCACAGTTGGCAAAATCTAGTGTGGCACCTCCAAACTAAATTTAACTCGGAAGAGGGAGCTGCCATCATTGTGCAGCCAATGCATCTGACCTTTAAACCAACAGCTTTCCCTCTGCCCTACACGCTCTTGACGGTGGAGGATGTTTGATACCTTCTAACTCCACCACCGTCGATAGCGTATAGGGCAGAGGGGAAAGCCGTTAATTAAACGGACATAAACACTAGCTGCAAAATGATAGCAACTTCCTCTTCTGAGTTGAAACCAGTATGAAGGTGGCATCCCCAGACTGTTGATGTAATCCTACAAGAGCCGGGATTACTCCCCACAGTAACTTTCTCAACTACTCTCTCCATCACACTTTCCTCCTCTCCCTTCCCCAACACACCCACCTTCTCACCCCTTCTCCCCTCCATGCAAGAAGCTACGTGAAGCAATCACCTCGGACATGCTGCTCGGAGACGCGGCTCAGCCGGACCACCTTGGTGACTTTTGAGTCGACTCAGAAGTCAAAAGCTACATGAACTGGTCACTTCGGACATGCTGCTTTGAGAAGACGCTCTGCCGGATCATCTTCTCCACTGCTAACTCGTTCACTTACCACCCTCGCCCCTTCCGCGCTATGCGAGAACCTACACCAACCACACCCACCACTCACTCACCTCGCACGTGCCGCACGTGTCGCACGTGTCGCACGTGTCGCACGTGTCGCACGTGTCGCACGTGTCGCACGTGTCAGCTTTTCAACCGCTAACTCGTTCACTCACCAACCTTGCTGCTTACACCGCATGCAAGGATCCATACCAGTTACCAGGTACTCACCTCGCACATGCCGCTTGGAGAAGAGGCTCCCCCAAGTAACCTTCTCTCCTACCATCCCCTTCACCACTGCTGCTTCCTCCTCTCCTTTCCCCACCACAACCACCCCCTTCCCATTCTCCCCTCCGCCTACCACCTCATACACCCCTCCCAGCTCTCCCCTCCCCTCCTTCCTCTCCCCCTTAGCCGCACCCTCCCACCCCCCGTGCCCCTTGCTGTGAGCGCCAAACGAGTGATGCAGATCGTCCATGGTGGCTTGGACCTTCGCCTCACCCAGCAGCTGAGACACGGTCGCTGCTGCCTCGGCCCACTTGCCGTGCTGCCAAAGGGAGGGAGAGGAGGCAGGCGATGAAACAGATCACGAAAGGATGATGATGATAAACGCTTGTTCGGTAGCACCTAGGCACATGTAATCATGCAATCATGCCATCATGCCCTCATGCCCTCATGCCCCATGCCCTCATGCCCCATGCCCTCATGCCATCAAATCATCATGGCACCAAACTGCTGCGGGCGCTGAAGCTACAGCTGTGTCCGTTCCAACACATAATCATGCGAGCACACCAGCGCCAGTCATCTGGGGCTATCCACCAGAAATCCACACGCCATGCAGAACAACACTGCTGGCACTGGTGCTACGCCTGCTACCATACCACCACTCAATGCCCCATGTCATGGGGCATCCACCTGACTCCTATCCTCACCTGCGCCAGCCATCTGGGGCTTTCCACCAGGAATTCACATGCCATGCAGAAGACCACTGCTGGCACCGCAGCAATCCAGAAGCACAGGCGCCAGCTGATTGAGGGGAGAAGAGGAGCCGAAAGAGCGCGTGCAAAAATTTTGAGCACATTTGCAAGACGAGTACAACCAGAACTAGGCTGATTGCAGCTGGTTGCAGATGTGATTAAGAGCTGATGACATTCGTATTTGTCACAAAAGAAGCCACTGGCAAGCACTGGACCGTTCTGAGGCACCTCAACGCAGATTACAGTCAGAGAGCAAGTGGCAGAGAGCAAGCGGCACACATGTAGGAGCAACGACTTACGAGGATGCAGGGAGGAGCGCGGCAGCAAGGAGGGCAGTGAGAATGCCGGTGCACGTGAAGACCTGGGGGATGGCGCCGAATGTGCCCCTCTGCTGGGCCGGGGAGATCTGGAGCAGTGAGGAGCGGGAGGGGTACAGGGGAGAGAGAACGGGAGGAGCAGATGGGGTGAGAAGAGATGGCAGGGAATGCCGGTGCACGTGAGAACCTGGGGAATGGCGCCGAATGTGCCCCTCTGCTGGGCGGGAGATATCTGGAGCAAGGGACAGAGCGGGAGGAGCGGAAGGGGTGAGAGGAGAAGATATGGCACTGCCAGTGCACGTGAGGGCGCGTGAGGGATGGCGCCGAATGTGCCCCTCTGCTGGGCTGGGGAGATCCGTTTGAAAGGCCAAAAAGAGACACCGATGTTGTTGAGCACGGAAAGCTCATGAACCACGCACCTCGGGAATGTAGAGCGCCATGATGGGAATGGCCATCCCCAGCCCAAAGCCTCTTGAAATGCCGCACAAATTAACACACTTTTTGTGGCGCTTTAAAAGCTCATGAACCACACACCTCGGGAATGTAGAGCGCCATGATGGGAATAGCCATGCCCAGCCCAAATCCCAGCAGGAATCGGCCCGTGACCACCAGAGACAGCGACGACGCCATGGCGCTGTTGACAGGAAGCGGTCGGGGAGAAAAGGAGAGGAAAAGGAACAATTACTAAGGTTTATGTGAAGAGTGGGCACAAATTATGATTAGGGTTGTGCTCCCCCTAATTTGCATTTATGGAGAGTGGGCACAAATGAGACAGAAAGATTGCCTAACTCTTTCACGCCTTGGCCACATGCGCACGTGTGCCATGAAGCTCACCAGAGAATGGAGCCCAGCAGGATGGGCACATTGCAGATCTGCAACCCCTTCCTCCTGCTGGCCCAATTGAGTCAGACTCAAAAGCCCCCTCAATACTAACTGATGTGTGCAATGAAGCTCACCAGAGACTCGCCAGAGAATGGAGCCCAGCAGGATGGGCACACTGCAGATCTGAAACCCCTTCTTCCTGCCGGCACTGTCGGCCACTGTGCTACTTGCAGAGAGCCACCCGATGAACGCACCAAATACAGAGTGATATGTATGCGATATGAAACTTACCAAAGAATAGACCCAAGCAGGATGGGCATACTGCAGATTTGGAACCCCTTCTTCCTGCCGGCACTGTCGGCCACTGTGCTACTGGCAGAGCACCCGAGAAACGCGCCGAGGAGAAAGATACTGACCACCGAAGCTGCACATTCAAAGGAATGTGAAATCTACCTTGTCAGATTGAGAGCATGAAACTAATTTCGATTGTACGTCACTCAACCAACTAATGTTGAAATGTGACAGCACTTCAGGTTGGTTGGTAATATCATACCTTTTGCTATCGCACTGTCAGCAAACAGCAGCTCTACTGCCATAGACTCTAGTGGCCCATTCACTACACTGCACATTGCACAAAAGATATACCAAGCGGAGAGGAAATATTAGCAGTGAGACAATGGATGGGTTAGTTGAAGTGTGAGAGCCAAATGTTTATTCAAAGCTTATACTTTTCTATTAGGGGTGTTACTTACGACATGTGGTAACCGAACAAGAACGCAATTATTGACGAAGCGAGCACATGCGGCAACACCCCTCGCCACGCTAGCGACGTTCGCGGCGCTCCCCCTCCCACAACCTTCCGCCACCCTCCGCGCTGCTCCTTCGTCCCGCGCCCTGCCAATAATCGTGAGCATCGAATAGTGAGACCAGCTCCACATAAAACCTGAAACATGTAACCTAAAACAGCCAGGCACTACTAGCAGTTCCTGCTCGGACACAACGCACTGGAAGACCTGAGAGCGCCTAGATTGAGAGATATAACACTACTTCGCTCACCTTGCGGCAGCAGCGGCCTCCCAAGATTGTTCGAGTCCGCGCCAGCTTCCATCTCCGCTGCGGCGTGCTCGCCTCTGCGCCCAGCTGCGTGTTCGTCGCGCCCCTCGTCGCGCCTCTCCTCCGCGCGTCCTTCCTCGGCCGTCTCGCGAACCAGACCCGCGCGCCCCTTGCTGCTCTTCTTGACGCCGGACGCAGCACGATCCGCGCTTCGCTCCCCTTCGGCCGCGCCACTCGCGGATGCTGCGACTGACGGCGTGCGACGCGGCGGCGATTGTTGCGACCGTTGCGACCGGCCTGAGCGGAACGAGGCACCGCAGACATATCGAGGTGTTCAATCCATCAGACGATTGGTGAGACAAAGCTGTCTTCGCCACACTGTGGCGATTGGCACAATTGGCCGTCGTTGGACGATTGGTAACACGATTGATCGTCGTTGGACGACGAGCAAGGGCGATCATTTTTTAGAATTCTAAAAAATGACTCCACTATCACGGCGGCAGCAGTGACCATCATGCCGGTCGTCGAGAAATCGCAATCGTCCGCAGTTTTCCGTCTACCCAAAGTGGCACAAAGTTCACGATGCTGCTCAAAATTGGCCCTTTCAGCCTCGCATTTAAGTCCCTCGACGTTCACCTTTCGCGTCGTTCGATCCAGTGATCGCAGCAGATGCGGCGCCCGTCCGCGCCTTTCCACCGGATGCACGAGGCGAATTCCCTCCACTCGTGCCCTGCGATGAAATTAAAAAGCGCACATTAAAGTTCGAGAGAAGCGCACCAACATGGAAACTGGCGAAGTGGCTTGCGGCTAAAGCGAGTAAAACATCCTCTGCCGCAAGAATGCCGAGTAAAGAATGCTGAGTCTAATCACATCATGCAGATGCACCTGCAAGAATGCAGGTGCATCTGGAGTCGAATCACATCATGCAGCTGCCTTCTTTATGCTGCCTTCTTTATGCTAGAATACGCGTTTCCCGAGTACTAGTACTGCGGACCACCGCAATCCTTCCACTAATAGTATTAGCACCGGCGCACCTGGTGGTCGTCCTCGTTCGACCCGCCCGTCGGTTGCAACAATCCCCCAGCAGCAACGACGCGAGACTCCGCGCGAGACGGCCGAACCCAACCGCCGCTTCCGCTGGAGCCCGCGCGCGCAGCAGCAGACGGCGCGTGTCCGAGGCCGACTGGAGCGCGACGGCCGAGAAACTGAGCGCACGCGTTCAGGTTGAACCCGGTTGCCGTCCTGGTAAGAGTATCAGCAAACGACGAGCCGGGCTGGGTCGAATTGTTCCCAAGAGTGTGGAGTGTGTTGATCGCCGGGGCGGGATGCAGGCGAGCCGAGCTCCCGTGTCCCAGTGCGGATAAACCTGCAACTCGATGGAAGAGGGGCATTGCGTGCGCATCGCACGGACACGGAGGCTCACTATGTTGGACAGATGGACAGAATATGGGTGGCGAATCACAAAGTTGGGAAATTTAGACAGTAGAGATGAAATACAACGCAAGGCTCGCGCGGATCAAAGACGACTTTTGAGTCGACTCAAAGGCGGGTCAACGAGGACTCTGTGCCCCTATTTTCGCCGACGGATCTTGAGCCATACCGAGTTTTCGAGAAGCCAGAAAGGTGCGGCGCGAGCCTAAAGCCAGATCGTGCTGGCAAGAGAGAAGCGAGGAATTCGACATCGTCATCATGATGATGGTGTCGATGCTGAATTACCGGGGACTCCGAACTACGACTACTGCTGATGGAAACTACAACTGCTTTCACGAGTCAGACAGGTAAGACCCTTTCTGTTCTTCCAGTAAAGGGATTTAAACGACGATGACTAGAACGACCACCTCTGAAGGGCGATGGGGGGGAGGGGGTTATCTGCCAGTGCTCTCTTCGAACTGAATAGCCTGGGTTCGTCGTTCTAATTGCTAATCATGGCACCTCGTTGAAGTAGTACTCACACGAAAGGGTCCTCTTAGAAACCACGCTCTGGATCTTGAGCCGACAGTCGGTCCAGAATTCTAAGAGTGGGGAGCACTGGGCCTTGGAAGACCCGCAAGGCGCAAACCGGCCAACTCTATTGTCCCTTGCGGCGCAATGCAAGGGACTTTTGAGGGGAAGGGGATTGGCTGGAGAGCAGGGATGATGGTGAGAAAGGAGAGAAGGGACCAGAGGAGATGAGAGAATGGAGGGATGGGGAGGATGGAAGAAAGAGAGGCGAATTCAACACACGAAATGGGGGAATGGGGAGGGAGGGGCGAATTTCGAGAGATTGCCGAACACGTGTCGCGTACGGGCTGCATGTGCGGCAAGTCGGACCATCGAACGGCTCATGAAGGCTGTCACGAAGGGTAGCGACAACTGGAGAAATTTGCGGCTCGTCAAGGCGCTCCAAGTCTAGGGCCCGAGCCCATGCCTGCGATTGGGTAACATTACGAGGGATTTCCGGCAAGGAAGAAGGCATGGAGTACCCTGTACGTGACAAGGAGTACACTGTTTGAAGAAACGTGTTTCACTTTGACCAAACTGTAGGCGTCCCTTTGCTGTCGTAGGACTTCTTGCAACTACAATCAATATATAATTAAATTCATGTAACCATGCGCTATTGTCACAATTCAGCACAGCTGCTTGAGATTCACTGGTGTGACATTATCCGTATGTAGGTTTCATACCAGGGTAATTTGCTGCTAGATGGGCAACGTCGGGCTGCTGATTTGTACGGACACGATTTGTTCTCAGAACTAGAATACGTCATCTTTCAGATCAGCGTCATTACGAACAGTTCTGAATCATCAAAATTTGCGTGGTTTTCCGTTATGATCGATGGAAAGATGTATCGACCATTCAAAACGTGACACATAGGCACAAACATGTTTCAACCCCCAAAACGCAACCGAGCACCTCGGTTTTCGTTAATAATTTCGGTGGACCTTCTTCGTTATCCGTGCCACAAATGACCCAGTACTACTACTAGTATAAAATGTATAAGATATTAATTGAGCTTACACCTTAAGCCTTGTTGCATCATTGGATCTATCTGTCTGAATGCTAGCTTAACTAGGAAGAAAGGCCGCCAAGAAATGGCGGCCAGAGGTTTAGTTAGGGGAGGAAAGTGTCGAGAGAAAAGGTGTCGATTAGAAAGAGAGAGGGGTACAAGGAGGGGATTGTACCCTCTACAGTAAGGTTCAATAACAACTATCAAGCCTATCAATTATATATAACTTATATAATCTTAACACACCCCCTAGGCTTGGTAGTTACACGCCCACCCAACCCACACACACACCCCCTAACCCCGGACACCCTCATTCTCGTGAGCAGCCGGGTATCGACCCCTCGTGCTAGGCGATGATACCCCCGGACGAGAGGCAGCTGGCCGCATCTGGGCGGCCTCAATGACGACAGCGGCGGAGCTCGTGTTCAAGGCGGCTGTGTCAATGAGGACAGGCGGCGACTGCGGTGGCTGAGGGCTCTCGGCGGTGTGGCACTGGCTGGCGATGACCGAGCCGAAGACAGCAGCTACGGCAGGAGCAGGAGGAGAGGCAGGGGAGGGAGAGGTGGTGGGGCTGCTGTGGTGGGGCTGCAGGACTTCAGCGCGGCGCCATAGGCGCGTCGCTTACTGGCGGGCAGACGCGCTGCACGTCCAGCAGCTGCGGAGGTGAAACTCCGCGGCTGCAGCTCGACGACACCGCCGCGGCACCAGAATGATGCCACAGCAGCGTGGCGTCGGAGCCGCAGCTGCTCGTCGAGCTCGGGACGGCAGCATCAAGGGGCCACCGCGACATCTTGGTGCCACGACGGCAGGCAGGCAGAAAGCCGCGAAGGCGGCAAACGCAGCAGGAATGCGCAGCGGAAACATAGTGAGCAGGGCCGGGACGGACGGCCTGCTCTGAAACCATGTCTGAATGCTAGCTTAACTAGGAGGAAAGGCCGCCAAGAAATGGCGGCCAGAGGTTTAGTTAGGGGAGGAAAGTGTCGAGAGAAAAGGTGACGATTAGAAAGAGAGAGGGGTACAAGGAGGGGATTGTACCCTCTACAGCAAGGTTCAATAACAACTATCAAGCCTATCAATTATATATAACTTATATAATCTTAATACTATCTCAACATATTTTATTATTTCTGAATCCAACCAAAACAACTGGGGCTAATAAACAAGCGAACGGGCTGATTTTCATGGATCAAACTCACCAAATTTCAACATATCTTTAAAAGCTTCCATATTTCTTTAGATGACGTCCACAATGAAAAAAACAAGAACACTTATGTGATACGATGATTTTATTTTTTTGGGGTGGCAACTCTGATTTTTTCACACATATAATATTTTTCTTGACAAAAAAACTTGCTGATAGCTCAAACATTTTTTTATTAAATTTTATTGTTTCTGTTTTGCAAAGCATGATGTCAGCAATATTGTATGACTATTCTGGAGAATGTACGTCAGCATGAAATTCATATTAACACTGTCCACTTAGTTATTTTTTCCAGAGTTCTGTGTAATTCATGGCGCGGATAACGAAGAAGGGCCACTAGCGAAATTATTAACGAAACCCGAGACGTTCGGTTGCGTTTTTGGGGTTGAAACATGTTTGTGCCTACGTGTCGCGTCTTGAATGGTCGATACACATTTCCGTCGATCAAAACGGAAAACCACGCAAGTTTTCATGATTCAGAAGTGTTCGTAATGACGCTGATCAGAAAGATGACGAATTCTAGTTCTGAGAACAAATCTTGTCCGTACAGATCAGCGACCAAACGTCGCCCATCTGGCAGCAAATTACCCTTCCTACCAGGCTCTGTGATATGGCACTTGTAAGATCTCGCCATGTGGAGAATAATTTCCAAGCTGGCAGGTAGGGCGTCCACGTTGGAGAAGTTTCACAACTGAGGTGCGGCACACTTCAGGGAACATTCACCCACCGATGGTTGGGGGGGAAGGGGTAGGGTGGGGGAGAGGGGGAAGGGGGGTCACCAGGGGCGCTCTTCCTCCCATCGCGGAAGGGCAGAACGGCCTACACACCATTGACCAGCGTAGGTCAAATCGCTATGTCGTAAGTGTGTGCGAACTCACGCGAGTTTCGTTCCCCGATTGTGCGCTCGCAGTCAGTCTGTTTGAGGGTAGAAGCAGGTTTGTTACCCATATTTCTTTCTGTTACATAGAGCTGAATCTTCGCGAACGTACACGAAATCTCGCGAACGTACACGACAGTTCGCGATCTATCCTGATGTCCCGGTTCACCACCGCTCGAGTTCGCCCGCACATTCTCGGCCCTTCCAGTTCCTTCCAGCCCCAATTCGCCCCTAGCCGCATCTAGTCTCCGCCAGCTGTTTCCAGAACATTCCCCCGTCATCGTCCCTATCACCAAGGCGTTCCTACCGCCAGTCGACTGAGCTATAAATAGCTTTCTGTGGCAGAAAGCAATCCATCAAAATTGCTCTCCTGACAAGCTTTCTCAGCGATCTATCTTATCTCAACAATCTCAATCCATTACTCGCACTCAGTGCTCCTGTTTCATTAGCCTTTTCCTTCTGAATCGCCATTTCTGAACGCCATTCTTGATTCGCCATGGATCCGAACACGTTCACTCACAAGACCAACGAAATCCTCGTCGAGGCGCGCGAGCTCGCCGAATCCAACGGCCACCCGGAAATCACGCCAGCGCACGTGGCGCTCGCGCTTCTGCAGGACGAGAACGGCGTTTTCCGCCACGCGGTGGCGCATTCCAGCGTCATCAACTACAACGCGTCCACGCCCGGCCACTCCCCGCGCGGCGATGGCGACACCATTCAAGCCTTCCAACGCGCCATAAAGCGCCTCTTACAGAAGATCCCCTCCCAGCAGCCGCCGCCAGACGAGATCCATGCGAATCCCGTGCTCGTGAAGGCGCTGCGCAAGGCGCAGCAGATGCAGAAGAAGGCGGGCGACTCGCATCTGGCCGTCGATTCGCTCGTACTCGCGCTGATGGAAGACTCGCAGATCGCGGAGGCGATGAAAGACGCGGCGGTGAATCCGGGGAAGGTGCGGGCCGCGCTGGAGCAGGCGCGCGGAGAGAGCAAGGTGCAGAGCGCGTCCGCGGAGGGGAGCTTCCAGGCGCTGAAGAAATTCGGACGGGATCTGGTGGAGGTCGCGGCGAAGCTCGACCCCGTCGTCGGCCGTGACGACGAAATCCGACGAGTTGTGCGAATTCTTTCGCGAAGGACGAAGAACAACCCGGTGCTGATCGGCGAACCCGGAGTCGGCAAAACCGCGGTGGCTGAGGGACTCGCGCAGCGCATTGCGCGCGGGGACGTGCCGAGCAACCTCCAGAACGTGCGGCTCGTCGCGCTCGACATGGGCGCGCTGGTCGCGGGCGCGAAGTACCGCGGCGAGTTCGAGGAGCGCGTTAAAGCGGTCCTTAAAGAAGTCGAGGAGGGCGAGGGCCGCATTATTCTTTTCATCGACGAAATGCATTTGATCCTCGGCGCGGGCCGCACGGAAGGCGCCATGGACGCCGCGAATCTCTTCAAACCGATGCTCGCGCGCGGGCAGCTGCGGTGCATCGGCGCGACGACGCTTGAAGAATACCGGAAGTATATCGAAAAGGACGCGGCGTTCGAGCGACGGTTCCAGCAGGTGCTTGTAGCGGAGCCGTCTGTACCGGATACGATCAGCATTCTCCGCGGGCTGCGCGAGCGGTACGAGGGGCACCACGGCGTGCGCATCCAGGACCGCGCGCTCGTCGTCGCGGCGCAGCTCTCCGCGCGGTACATCACGGGTAGGCGCCTTCCGGACAAAGCCATCGATCTTGTCGACGAGGCGTGCGCGAACGTGCGCGTGACGCTGGATAGTCAGCCGGAGGAGATCGACGCGCTCGAGAGGAAGCGGATTCAGTTGGAGGTGGAGCTACACGCGCTGGAGAAGGAAAAGGACAAGGCCAGCAAGGTGCGCGCGGACGAGGTGCGCGCGCAGCTCGGCGCGCTGCGCGAGCAGCTGCAGCCGCTGCAGCTGCGGTACCGGCGGGAGAAGGCGCGCGTGGACGAGCTCCGCCGCCTGCAGCGCAAGCGGGAGGAGGTGCTCGTGGCGGTGCAGGAGGCGGAGGCGCGCATGGACCTCGCGCGCGTGGCGGATCTCAAGTACGGCGCACTCACGGAGCTGGACGCCGCCATCGCGCGCTACGAGAAGGAGGCGGAGGCCTCCGCGGCGGCGCTGGGCGACGCGGCCGGCCCGGGGAAGCAGATGCTGACGGAAACCGTCGGGCCGGATCAGATCGCCGAGGTCGTCAGTCGGTGGACGGGTATCCCGGTTACCAGACTCGGGCAGAATGACCGCGAGCGGCTGTTACACCTGGCGCAGCGGCTGCACGAGCGCGTGGTCGGGCAGGACGAGGCGGTCCAAGCCGTTGCCGAGGCTGTGCTTCGGTCCCGAGCTGGACTCAGCAGGCCCGGGCAGCCCACAGGCTCGTTCCTCTTCCTCGGCCCGACTGGCGTGGGAAAGACCGAGCTAGCCAAAGCCCTGGCAGAGCAGTTATTCGACGACGAGAACCAGCTCGTTCGCATCGACATGAGCGAATACATGGAGCAGCATAGTGTCGCGCGGCTGATCGGCGCACCGCCAGGGTACGTGGGGCACGAGGAGGGCGGCCAGCTGACTGAGGCGGTGCGGAGGCGGCCTTACTCTGTGGTGCTGTTTGACGAGGTGGAGAAGGCGCACGGGTCGGTGTGGAACACTCTGCTCCAAGTGCTGGACGACGGGAGGTTGACTGACGGCCGCGGCCGCACCGTTGACTTCAGCAACACTGTCATCATCATGACGTCGAACCTCGGCGCGCAGCACCTGCTGGCAGGGCTGTCGGGAGAAGTCAGCATGGAGGAAGCGAAGAAGGCAGTTCTTGGGGAAGTGAGGAAGCACTTCCGGCCCGAGCTGCTGAATCGGCTGGATGAGATGGTGGTGTTTGAACCGCTCTCGCTCCCGGAACTGAGGAAGATCGCGCGGCTGCAGATGCGCCAGGTGGCGGCCAGGCTGGCGGACCGCGGGGTGGCGCTGGGGGTGTCGGACTCTGCTCTGGATGTGGTGCTAAAGGAGGCGTATGACCCGGTGTACGGGGCACGGCCGCTCAGGCGGTGGCTGGAGAGGAAGGTGGTTACCCAGCTGTCGAAGATGCTGGTGGAAGGGAAGATAGACGACAACTCCACCGTGTTTATCGACGCTCAGAGTGAGGGTGCTGCTGCTGCTGGTTCTGGTGCTACAGGGAATGGTGCTGGAGGGGAGGAGGTGGCGGTGAGTGGGCTGGTGTATCGGGTGGAGAAGACCGGAGGGATAGCAGCGGAGAAGGCCAAGGGGCGGCTTGGGAAGTTCTTGGTGCAGCCGGCTGAGGGCGAGGGGGATGCCAAGAGGGCCAAGGTTGATGGGGAGGAGGATGATGATGTGGATGAGATGGAGGACTGAGAAGAATGGCGATGTGGGGGGAGGGCTAAGGTTGACGATGAGGATGATGATGATGATGTAGATAAGATGCATGAATGAGAGGAGAACACATGCTGCAGAAAATGGTACTGGTAGTGGAGAAGAGGGGGTGGCAGTGAGGGGGCTGGTGTATCGGGTGGAGAATAGTACAGGAATAGCTGTGGGTGGTGGGCCAAGGTGGTTGAACATGATGATGCTGTGGAGGAAGATTCGAGGAGATGGATGGATGGCTCTGCTGAACAATGAAGGGTGAAGCTCGGTATTATTGTATTGAAGATGTGGGGAGTTATGTTTGTTTGTCAGTGTCATATGAAGGGGTTCCTTGCCTTGTGCGTAGGGTTCCCTGCCATGTGCTTGTGTTTGAATTAATTATATTAATATGGTACCGTATATCAGCTAGACTGCAGCTGAAACCAAAACACGCTGACTTTAGAGTTGACTAAGTGGAACAAGTGGTTACATTTAAAACGAGCTGACATCCAGTTGTCACATCAACTCCCCACCTGTGCTGACGTGTGCATTAGGAACACTGGCTGTCACATCACATGGCAGTCAAGTCAACCATAACCGTATGTACAGTGTACACTCAGTTGTACACCATGTATTTTGGTGTAGCGCTGAACTTCTGGTACCCCTTGATGACCTTGTTCACTGCCTCAAGGAAGTCCTTCTCCGTCACTGTCTTGCGCCGCGCTCTGATCGCGTACATGCCCGCCTCCGTGCACACACTGCGGATGTCCGCTCCTGGAGGGGGGTGGAAAGGGGTGGAAAGGGGTGGAAACGGGGAAGAGAGGGGGGGGGGGGAACGGTGAACACACATGGTCACGTGATGAAGCACCTCACACCCGGATCGCGCACATGCCGGCCTCCGTGCACACACTGCGGATGTCCGCTCATGCGATGGCGGAAGGAGGGAACCCACACACAAGTCAAGTCAACAAACAATTATGCACTGTCTTGCGCTGCGCCCTGATGGCGCACATGCCCGCCTCCGTGCACACACTGCGGATGTCAGCTCCTACAGGAGAGGGGAAGACGTGTGCATGAATGAACAATACAGCGCACAGAAGCATTGAAGCAGGCATTGTCTGTCTTGCGCCACCGTGCACACACTGCGGATGTCAGCTCCCGTGATGCATGCATGGGGACATACAAACGGACATGCACACATGGATAGTGACAAACTGTATGGTGTACATGCCATACGGTGAGCGGCTCGGCCATAGGGTGAGCGGCTCGACCACAGGGTGAGTGGTTTGGCCATGTGAGTGAGTGTGGTGGAGTGTGGATGTTGAAGATGTGAGGAAATGCGAGTGCCTTCAACACTGCATTGCACATTCGAGCACGAAAACTTACCAGTGGAGTTGGGGCAGAGTTGAAGGGACTCTTGAGTTGACTAAAAAATTGGCACAGAGCCAAGCCAGCAGCTTGAATCGAATGTCCCGTTCACAATTCATGGCGCGAGAGAGTGTGGATCTTGAAGATGGTGCCAGCGAGTGTGGATCTTGAAGATGGTACAGCGAGTGTGGATCTTGAAGATGGTACAGCGAGTGTGGATCTTGAAGATGGTACAGCGAGTGTGCGAGCGAGGGTACGGCGTGCTAGTTTTGAGGCCCCTCAAAACTGCGACCCCCCTGAAGAGCGGAAGCTCACCAGTGGAGTTGGGGCAGAGCCGGGCCAGCAGCTCAAACCGAATGCCCCGCTCGCAGTTTATGGTGCGCGCGTGGATCTTGAAGACGTGGGAATGATTGTAAGACGCCCGACAACAGTGAGTACCTTACAACACTGAATGCTCACCTTACAACACTGAATGCTCACCTTGCAACACTGAATGCTCACCTTGCAACACTGAATGCTCACCTTACAACACTGAATGCTCACCTTACAACACTGAATGCTCACCTTGCAACACTGAATGCTCACCTTGCAACACTGAATGCTCACCTTACAACACTGAATGCTCACCTTACAACACTGAATGCTCACCTTGCAACACTGAATGCTCACCTTGCAACACTGAATGCTCACCTTACAACACTGAATGCTCACCTTACAACACTGAATGCTCACCTTACAACACTGAATGCTCACCTTGCAACACTGAATGCTCACCTTAGAACACTGAATGCTCACCTTACGACACTGAATGCTCACCGCTCGCAGTTCATCGTGCACGTGTGGACCTTGAAGATGTGGCTTCTTCGAATTCTGTGAGGTGTCTACTGTGAGGCACGTAAGAACACAGCAAACTTACCGGTGGAGTTGGGGCAGAGCCGTGCAAGCAGCTCGAATCGGATATCTCGTTCGCAGTTCATGGTGCAAGTGTGGATCTTCAAGATGTGAGTGCTTTCAAAACTGTGAGGTGTCTAAAGAGACATAAGAACCCACCAGTGGAGTTGGGGCACAGCCGTGTCAGCAGCTCAAACCGAATGTCCCGCTCGCAGTTCATCGTGCACGTGTGGATCTTGAGTGCTCTGAATACTGTGAGGTGTCTACTGCGAGGCACATAAGAGCACAGCAGACTTACCAGTGGAGTTGGGGCACAGCCTAGCCAGCAGCTCAAAACGGATGTCCCGCTCGCAGTTCATCGTGCGTGTGTGGATCTTGAAGATGTGAGTGCGCCCCTCCAGGTCCGGCAGCCCGAACTCCACCTTGCGATCCAGCCGCCCGGGGCGGAGCAGAGCTGGGTCAAGGGTATCGGGCCTGGGGGGAGGGGAAGAGGGGTAGAAAGGGAGCTTGGGTGAGTGCTCCCCTCGAGGTCCGGCAGCCCCAACTCCACCTTACGATCCAGCCGACCGGGGCGGAGCAGAGCTGGGTCAAGGGTATCGGGCCTGGAAGGAGGGTAGAGGCACGAGGGCAGTAGAGTAAGGCAGAGAGGGGACCTTCAAGAAGGGGATCTTGAAGATGTGAGTGCGGCCCTCTAGGTCCAGCAGACCAAACTCCACCTTGCGGTCCAGACAACCACGGCGCAAAAGAGCGGGGTCCAGTGTGCCGGGCCTGTGGGTTTGACAGCATGGGGATGGGCAGTGGGGAGATGAGAGGAGGGATGCCATGCAAGGCCGGCAGCGGGGAGACGAGAGGCATACAGGCAGGCAGAGGGATGGTGAATGGGCTCGGGCCTGAGAGGGGAGGCATACAAGAAGCGTGAGGTAGTTCACCAGGCATACAAGAAGCGTGAGGTAGCTCACCATTCAGAAACAGGTGGGCTGGGCAGCACACCTGTTGGTGGCCATGAGGTCCTTGATGTTCCCGCGTGCGTCAAACCCATCCAGCTGGTTGACAATCTCCAGCATCGTGCACTGCGCTGCACCTCGGTGACGTGTGTATCAGTGCTGCTAGTTGTCCGGGGACATACATGTTGGTGGCCACGAGGACCTTGATGTTGCCGCGGGCATCGAAGCCGTCCAGCTGGTTGACGATCTCCAGCATTGTGCGCTGCACTGCACATCGTTGTGATGTGTCTCAAGTGTTGCCTGCTGAGTACTTTGATGTTTGTAGCCATGAGCACTTTGATGTTCCCCCGCACATCGAACCCGTCCGGCTGGTTGACTATTTCCAGCATCGTGCGCTGCACCTTGTTGTCTTCTTGATAAATACAAGCCAACACCTTACCTGTTGGTAGCCATGAGCACTTTAATGTTCCCGCGCGCATCGAACCCATCCAGCTGGTTGACTATCTCCAGCATTGTGCGCTGCACCTCGTTGTCGCCGCCCGCCCCATCGTCAAACCGCGCCCCACCGATGGCGTCCACCTCGTCGAAGAAGATGATGCACGCCTTCTTGGAGCGCGCCATCTGGCACAATTGAGGGGAAACAGGGTTAGGAAGAACAGGCAACACACCCTGTGAATTCACATGCAACACTCAACACCGAGAACAGTTGTCCCCTGCATCAGCTCTCACCTGCACCAGCTGTCACCTGCATCAGCTCTCACCTGCACCAGCTGTCACCTGCACCAGCTCTTACCTGGAACAGCTCCCACACCATCCTGGCCACCTCGGGATGGAAGAGGAAAAACATCCCAGCCACCCTATGAAACCCATGAGAACACAACTCTCACCTGGAACAGCTCTTACCTGAAAGAGCTCCTGCACCATCCTGGCCCCCTCGCCCACGTATTTCTGCATGAGGTCGCATGCTACTATAACGCGGATGAAGCACACACACACTTTGTCTCATAAAACGCCTTACAACAAAGTTTCTCACCTGGAACAGCTCTCGGACCATCCTTGCCCCCTCGCCCACGTATTTCTGCACCAGCTCGCTGCCTATAACGCGGATGAAGCATGCATCTGTGCGGTTCGCCACCGCCCGCGCCAGCAGGGTCTTGCCCGTGCCGGGGGGACCGTAGCAGAGCACTCCCTTGGGGGGATCGATTCCCAGCTTGACGAACTTCTCAGGGTGCAGCATGGGCAGCTCCACCACCTGCGAGTGTGGAGTGTGCATTGGGTGGGCGGTAGAAGGGAGGGCGATGAGAAACGAACTCGCTGCTGCCCTCGCCAGCAGGGTCTTGCCCGTGCCGGGTGGGCCGTAGCAGAGGACTCCCTTGGGCGGATCGGTGCCCAGCTTGACGAGCTTGTCAGGGTGCAGCATGGGCAGCTCCACCACCTGCGTGCATCAGTGGGCAGCGGGAGGGAGGGAAGTGAGGAGGTGAAAGGCTTTCCAAACACATATCACTCCCTTGGGGGGGTCTATGCCTGGCTCGACGAACTTCTCCGGGTGCAGCATGGGCAGCTCCACCACCAGCGAGCGTGCGTGTGTAGTGGGGGTTGTAAGACGCAAGCGAATGAGAGAGGTTGGGCACACAGAGGGTGCCAGGTGGGCCGTAGCACAGCATCCCTTTAGGGGGGTCGATGCCCAGATTTACGGACTTCTCCGGGTGCAGCGTGGGCAGCTCCACCACCTGCGAGTGAGTGTGTGGATCCGATAGGCAGCAGGGGAGCGAAGGGAAGGAAACACTCGAGATCGGGCACAGGGATGGTGCCTTTAGGGTGATTCCCAGCTTCACGAACTTCTGTCCACTGAGAAACGGGTAGTCCCACTCCTTAAAGCTCGCCTTTAACACTGCTGCTGGGCAGCATGGGCAGCTCCACCACCAGTGAGAGTGCATGTGTAGTGGGTTGTAAGATGGGATGCGTGTGGGGGTTCGCCACTGCCCTCGCTAGCAGGGTCTTGCCAGTAGGGCCTGAGACTCTTCCCACGGCCTTGTGAACCAAAACCCGAAACCCTGAACCAAAACCACGCATATTTCTTTACTCTGCCGCCCACCTCCCTCATCTTCTCGATCTGTTACACATCCCAGATAGGTCACATCAGGCTCCTCCACCACAGCCCTCGTCGCCACACTCTCTTGTCCACTGATTTACTAACACATGCACACACACTCCCCTTCCTCCACACTCCCGCACCCACCTCCCGCATCTTCTCTATCTGGTCCTTGCACCCGCCCACATCGCCATACGTCACGTCTGGCTTCTCCTCCACCGTCATCATCGTCACACTCGGATCGATCTTGGGCGGCAGGGGGATCTGGATCTGATACTTGTTGCGATCCACTCTGCCCATGGGACGGTTGAGAGTGGTTAGGGACGGTTAAGATGAAGTAAGATGGCTGGTAAGACCTTCCAAAGGGGATCTGGACCTGATACTTGTTGCGATCCGCTCTGCGCATGGGACGGATGAGCACGGGTATGGTGTGGACGTTATTAAGAAAGACGGATAGGAGAAGATTCCAAGGGGATCTGGATCTGATACTTGTTGCGATCCACGCTGCCCAAGGGACGGTTGGTTTGGGAATGAATAGGGACGATTGAACATAAGTGAGATGACTAATTAGTATTATGTTCCACACCCTCCACCCACCCCCCCCTCACCCACCCCTCACCCCCCCCTCACCCCCCCCTCACCCACCCCTCACCCCCCCCTCACCCCCCCCTCACCCCCCCCTCACCCCCCTCACCCCCCCCTCACCCACTCCTCGCACTTACCCCACTCGCATGCCCTCCTCAATGTCAGTGGGTGAGACACGGTCCCCCAGCCCCACCACGAACTGAGAAAAGAAAGGGTAGGATAGAGGCAAACATAGGGCAAAAGCACACGTACGATAAGGACCCAAGACATTGAAGCGGCTACACCACTCAGACGGAATCTTGATATGGCAAACAGAACAATTTTGGGGGTAAGGGGACGGCACTGGGTTGCGGAAGCCAGGGGGGGGGGAGCGGGGAGAAGGAGGAGCGGGGGAGAGAGGAGAATTAGAAAACATAAATAAAAGGATAACTGGAATGTGGAGGCAGAGAGAGCGCACCTTGGCGATCTGCTTGACGTTGATGACGTATTTGGCATCGTCCGTGTTGGGGCTGATGATCTTGGTGCAGCGCGCCACCTGCCAGCGTGTGGGAAAAAGAGTTCGGGTGTTGGAAGAGGAGTTTGGGTAGAGGCAAAGGCCAGCGTCGGGGGTGGGTTGGGAAGGAGGGTTGGCGGTCTGCTAAACGTATTTGGCGTCATCCGTGGACCGTGTTGGGGCTGATGATCTTGGTGCAGCGCGCCACCCGTGAAGAGGGGGAGGGTTACGAAGCGGGCCAGATGGAGAGGGGTTTGCGTAAGATCTTAACTCAGCGTGCAAAGGGTGGGTCAGTGATCTAATTGACGTATTTGGCATCGTCCGTGTTGGGGCTGATGATCTTGGTGCAGCGCGCTACCTAGTGCTTGTCCAACACTAGGTCCCACTGGCTCCGTGCCGCCAGATCCTCCTCGAGAACCACGAGAGCACCAAGTGAGTTTAGAAGGTTGAGAGGAGGGAGAGCCGGGGGGGAGAGACGAGCGAGCAAGGAGGGCTACGTGTGCTTGCCTGCAGCAGCGGCTGCTCCTCCTGCATCATCTGCTCGTCCGACACCAGATCCCACTGGCTCAGTGCTGAAAGGGGCCTATGAGAGCCAGGAGAGCATCAAGGGGTTTGAGAGAATTGAGATACGAGAGAGAGAGAGGAGGGAGGAGGAGAAGGGAGTGCTAACCTGCAGCGGCTGCTCCTCCTGCATCATCTGCTTGTCCGACACCAGATCCCACTGGCTCGGTGCCGCCAGACCCTTGGAGGCAACGAGAGCACAAAGAGACGGAGATAGAAGGGAAGGAGAGAATCCAGAAACGGAGAGAGCGAGGAAGGAATGGAGTGCTTGCCTGCAGCGGCTGCTCCTCCTGCATCATCTGCTTGTCCGACACCAGATCCCACTGGCTCGGTGCCGCCAGACCCGTGTCCGACTCCTTGATGCCTGCCATGCACGAACCACAGCCAGCCAGGCACGCATCACAGCCAGCCAGGCGACAGCATGCGACATAAGGAGACATCAGGCGACGTCATGCGACACAGTGCGACATCATGTGGCATCAAGTACATCAGGCGACGTCATGTGACATCAAACAACTACAAGAGACATCAGGTGACATCATGTGACGACAGGCAGCATCATGTCGCATCAGCTGACGTCATGTGACATCAGGCGACATCTCATGTGCATCAGGCGACGCCATGCGCAGAGTATGGTCGGAAGCACGAGGAATACATGGGGAAACACACGTCATGGTGACAACACCGGAGAACACAGTCACAGCAACAAATTCTGATGTCCGACTCTCATCTAAATCAAGGTAATAAGGCACTAGGTTAAAATTTAACACCAGCGTGCTGGAGCTAATGTGGTTGAGGTCACTAGGAGAAGAAATTCAGATTCTGCACGTAACAGGTCTGTCTTTCTAACGAATCAGGGACCTCCTGCTCAGCGATGGTAAGCCCACAGTATCTAATGGTTCACGAATCAGGCACCTTCTGCTCCATGTCAACCATTGTCAAGGGGAACCGCAGCTGACATGGTTAACGCCACTGGGCGAGGAAATTCGAGATTATGTACGTAACGGATCCGCCTCTCGAACGGATCAGGGACCTTCTGCTCCATGTCAACCATTGCCAGCCAAGTGAAACACGAAGAAAGAAGCTCAACTCGTGGCGAGGTTGACGGACCGCTGCTAGCATCGAATTCACGAACCTAGCTCAACGCGACTCAAGGGACGCGTGGAATCACCGTCAGCAACAGACTGACGAACATAGACGTCGAGCACGGGCCATGACATCGAATACGGAGCCTACGACTTACCGCACAGGTCGTTGACCTTCTTTGCCGTGTCTTTAATGCCCTTCTACACCTCCTTGATCGACGTTGACGAGGTGCCTTTGAGTCTGACTCAAGAATTCCCCAGGACCCTCCGACTTACCGCACAGGTCGTTGACCTTCTTTGCCGTGTCTTTAATGCCCTTCTACACCTCCTTGATCGACGTTGACGAGGTGCCTTTGAGTCTGACTCAAGAATTCCCCAGGACCCTCCGACTTACCGCACAGGTCGTTGACCTTCTTTGCCGTGTCTTTAATGCCCTTCTACACCTCCTTGATCGACGTTGACGAGGTGCCTTTGAGTCTGACTCAAGAATTCCCCAGGACCCTCCGACTTACCGCACAGGTCGTTGACCTTCTTGGCCATGTCTTTGATGTCCTTCTCCACCTTCTTGATCGACGTCGAGTACGGACCCAGACCCTAGACGTCGGAACGAATCGGGGGGACAGAGGGAGAAGACAAACGATATCATTCGCGAATGACAGCCTGAATAGCGTAAATATTGCACGATCGCGTGCAGTGATAATCTAAACACGCGTCTGATGGACGAAACCGTTCTAGCTGCCTGCAGATTATCTGAGAATGAAATCAAGCCTTCGCAGTCATCTACTGTCCTAGGATTCCTAGGTCTTAGTTTAGAACCTAGGATCTCTGTAAACGCACATATGTCTTTAGGAGAGCGATATCGTCCTCATCGAGGGCCGGGGGGTTCTTCTCGTCGAGATCGGGATCGATTTCCGGCATGATGATGGCCGCTCGCTCGCGAGACCCGACAACGAACGGTGACTGTGAGATAATAGATGGGCGAGGCGACGGCCGAGTTTAGGGACAGAAAATGCAAGAGTCGCGAGATCCAAGCAAGACGGCGACTGAGGAACCGTCAATGGTGAAGGCAAGGCCAGCAGATTCACTGAATTCTCCTCCAGTCTCGAATCTCGAGATAAGGGTGGGGAGGGGACGGGCTGGTTTGTCTGCTGGCGCAGACCCGATAAGGGGTGAGCGCTGTGCTGTATTGTGCCCTTGCCGCAAACAGATTTCATCATGGTAGTGCATATATTCGCGTTTATAAGAAAACTAAACCCCAAAGCTTGTAATGAGAAGTTGGTGGACAAGCTTCATAATTTTCTCCGTATTGACGAAACATAAGAAAAAATGACACGGTAAAGAGACTCCCGATTGCTTATCACCTCATACCTATCGTCAACTCGAATATTTTTTCTCTTATCTCATCACCATTAGGGCGGATTCCTACTAAGTTGGATCCAGCTAAGTTGGATCCAACTTCGCGTACCACCCTATTGAACCGCACTGAAATGGAAATTTCCGCGATTGCAACGCACTGTACCGCACGCGTTAGATCCAACTTCGCTGGATCCAACTTTGTAGGAATCCGCCCTTACAGAGACAGACCCCTCTAGCTGCCTATAAGCTCAACTCATGCTTTCTTCCCTGACTTCATCACCACTACGTGCAGCGAAGTAGCAGCATCCCCAGTTATACATCTCAGGGCAAACATTCTGGCCATCACTGTTAGCCCACGAATGGGCTCTTCCTCCTGCTCCTGCTTCTCTTCACCTCCCCCTCCCTGCTGCTCAGCCTTTCTTTCTGCTGACCACCTTCGGGAAATAAACTCAGGGGCAGCAACTATCAGGTTCTATCCCTCTACTTAATCTCACCTCATGCCTATCCCCCGTTCTAGTCTCTCTTCCCTGATCTCCGCTATTGGCCCACGTGTGTTCCCTTCATCCCTCCTCCTTCTTCCCTATCCCCCACTCTAGTCTTTCTTCCCTATCCCCCACTCTAGTCTTTCTTCCCTGATTTCAACACCACTTCGGCCGGCTGAATCGCAGCATCCACAGCAACAGCATTTAGGTGCGGCTTGTTCTGGTCGCCGTGATTGGCCCACATGCGCTCCCTTCACTGCTCCTGCTTCTCTTACCCCCTCCTTCCCATCCTCCTGACTCTCAGTCTTTCTTCCCTGATTTCATCACCACTACAGGCGGTGGAGTGGCAGCATCCACAGAGATCGAATTCAGGGGCGGCTTGCTCTGATCATCGCTATTGGCCCACGTGCGCTCGTCGAATACATTTTCCTGCCCGCTGCCGTCGCTGGCAAAGATTGCAGCGAACATGAGCACGAGCACGTTGCATATGATCACGCCGCAGCAGATGGCCTCCGTTGCTGTCACGTTCATTGCTTCCTGCAGCTGCTGAATCTGAGAGAAGGATGCGTCCTGCAGTTGTTGAATTCGTGAGCGCGAAGCTACTGCTGCTGCCACTCCAGGCATGCCCCTGCTGCAAAAGAGGGGGGTGGGAGGAAGAGAGTGTTGGAAGGAGGACACAGGGTTTCAAACTGGCAGGAAATATGAGCGAGCACGAGCACGTTGCATATGATCACGCCGCAGCAGATGGCCTCCGTTGCTGCAGCTGCTGAATCTGCGAGAGGGATGCTTCCTGAAGTTGTTGGATGCGTGAGCGCGATGTTGCTGCTGCTGCCAGTCCAGGCATGCCCCGGCTGCAAGGGAGGAGGGGAATGGGAGGTACAGAGTGTTGCTGTCACGTTCAATGCCTCCTGCAGCTGCTGAATCTGAGAGAATGATGCGTCTTTCGTTCCCAGCGAAGGGACGCAGGTGCGTTTCTTGCGTAATCTAGGCAACAGAGATCCCACCCACCTGTTTGGACGCGAAATGCGGAAGAAACCCCGACGAAGCGGCGCAAACAACTCGACGAAATTGGGATTTTGCTTGCAGGACACGACGATTGACGGGAAGACTGACGGCGGTTCGCGGCGATTTCTAAGGCGGCCACGGACACGGACACGGACACGGACACGGACGGCTCAGAGAAACACCGAGCTGGAAGGGCGACTTGACAGGCGGGGACCACGGCGACGAGCTGAAAGCTGGAAGCGCAGAGCCAGAAACGCCGCTGAACACGGTTCTATTTTGGAGGTGTTCTATTTTGGAGGCTCCTCCAAAACCAAAAGGTCACCTAAAACACCAGAAAGGCCTCGGAACACGATTCCAGTACACGAATTTCGACAGCGCTCGCGCAGCAGCGAGGAACTGGTACCTATCCCGTGACGCGCTTATGAAGGCTGAAGGAAATATCGTATCGGGAAAAAGGGCTTTTGAGAATTATAAAAAATCTGTGTCAAGAAATGCGCGAGGGAAGGTATGTTCCCGAGGGAGAGACGCGCGTCAGGGAGAGACGGAATGCGCGTCAGCGGAAGCGGCGGAGACGGCGAAATACGGAACTTTCCCCACCATCGCTGTCTCCTGGCGTCAACTTCAGAAGTGGTAAGACTGCGCTAGTTGCAGTCAAGGTCGAGGGGGTGGGAGCTACGCTATTCGTAGACGGTCATGGATGGAATCATGGAATGATGGGAGCTAAAAAATGAAATCCATGAAGCAGGGGAGGCGAGTGATGATGAACCTTCTCGATTGCATCCGTACAATTCGGATTCTGCTCGATCAAATACACCTCACGAAATATACAGGTTAAAAGTGATATCACGTGTTGAACTCATAGAATCACATCTCAATATGAGATGCTTTTGCATTAATTTGGGTATAGCGCCAAAGCATTTGTCTTGCCCTTTCCGGTTAAAATGGCAATGGCCAGCCTTCCATCGATGTGAGCTTTTTGTACGCCTCTTGAAGCCTCTGTGTGATAGGCCCAGCACTACCCTCACTATTCGCTTCGCAATCACTAATATTTACATTGTTCCCGATTGGCCGGTTGTCCAAAAGCACACAAGGTGTCAGCTCCCCCATCGTGCCCGTAGTGAAGATCTGGAGAGAGGCATAAGCGTGTTGAAGTACACAATAAAGAGCTTAAAAAAAAAGGGAGAATGAGAGAAACACACATTCACAAAAGAACTAGGTTCCGTGAACGAGCTGCTGCACAGGTGGATGGAGGGATGGAACATACGAGACAGGAATTTCCCAAGCAATGTGCTGTATCTCACCTCATCGGCAGCATGCAGCTGTGCTGTGGTGATGTTGCACTCCTGGATGGGGATGCCCTCCTGCTTCGCCAGCTCTATCACCTGCTAGGCATGGGTGGTGGATAGATGGCGTTTGATGTGCCCCATGATGCATGTACAATGTGTCATGCGCAGCCATCCAGAATGCATAGCCATAGCCATTTCCTCGCCTCTCCCTCCAACATCCTAATGTCCACTTCATCTATCCGTGAATACCGGGGCTCGCGTGATGCCCAGTAAGCTCTGGTGACTCCCTTACTTACCGTTTCGCGGGTGATGCCTAGCAGGCAGCTGTCTGCATGAGGAGTCAGGGACTCATGCAAGCCTTTATGACCTACTCCACTTTCCCTCTCCCTTAACTTCTCTCCTCTCTCCCCTCTGCTGTACCGTGGATCGGGTGATGCCTGGCAGGGATGCCTGGCAGGCAGCTGTCCGCAAGAGGAGAGAGAATGCACCGCCTAGCCATTTGAGCCCCTATTCCCTGTCGCACCTTCCCTGCCTGCTCCCCTCGCCTGTCCATTGCGTACCGTGGATCGGGTGATGCCTGGCAGGCAGCTGTCCGCATGAGGAGAGAGAATGCACCGCCTAGCCATTTGAGCCCCTATTCCCTGTCGCACCTTCCCTGCCTGCTCCCCTCGCCTGTCCATTGCGTACCGTGGATCGGGTGATGCCTGGCAGGCAGCTGTCCGCATGAGGAGAGAGAATGCACCGCCTAGCCATTTGAGCCCCTATTCCCTGTCGCACCTTCCCTGCCTGCTCCCCTCGCCTGTCCATTGCGTACCGTGGATCGGGTGATGCCTGGCAGGCAGCTGTCCGCAAGAGGAGAGAGAATGCACCGCCTAGCCATTTGAGCCCCTATTCCCTGTTGCACCTTCCCTGCCTGCTCCCCTCGCCTGTCCATTGCGTACCGTGGATTGGGTGATGCCTGGCAGGCGGCTGTCCGCAAGAGGAGAGAGAATGCACCGCCTAGCCATTTGAGCCCCTATTCCCTGTCGCACCTTCCCTGTCTGCTCCCCTCGCCTGTCCATTGCGTACCGTGGATCGGGTGATGCCTGGCAGGCAGCTGTCTGCACGAGGAGAGAGAATGCACCGCCTAGCCATTTGAGCCCCTATTCCCTGTCGCACCTTCCCTGTCTGCTCCCCTCGCCTGTCCATTGCGTACCGTGGATCGGGTGATGCCTGGCAGGCAGCTGTCCGCATGAGGAGTAAGGATGAGTCCCCTTTTCACCATGAACTGTCGCCATGCGGAGGAATGTCAGGGAGGCAGTGAGACGGGGAGGAGGAGAGCAGAAGGAAAGAGGAAAGGCGCGCTCACTTCACACGGAAAAAGGACATCAACAGCGAAAAGGGAGTCCAAGCAAAAGATGCCCACGCGTTGAAGAGAGGGAGAAGGCTGAGACAGCGGGGGAATGGGGGGGAGGGGGGGGGGGTTTGGTGTATTTATTAGGCACTTCAAGAATAGATAAGGGGGAATGGGGGGGAGAGGGGAGGGATGGGTGGTGTGGAAGAGGAGACAGTACTGTAGAGAAGCAGAAAGATGTGTCGAGGGATAGACTAACTACAGGGCAGTGCTGTGATTCTTCTACAAGTACGCAATTACTGTTGCAAAGGCTCGGAACATACAATGTTGGTCGCGTTGGTTTCGCTGACGTATCCATGCACATCCAGCATCACTGCATCATCTGCTCCTGCGTTGTTCCCCTCAATCTGTATGCATACATAAACCATGTGTTATCAGGATCATGTGTCGCACAATGGATCATCATGGTTGAACGACGGGTTCACATCCTGGAGTTGCTTATTTCTGTGAAGAAGGAATATGGGTTGAAACTCTTTCGGCCAAAAAGCCAAAACTCTAGCTCGCACCTTCACATTCAGAATTTTGAAACGTTCACACACTCCACCTTTACTAATCAACTACCTTAGCGAGGATGTTGTTAATGAGGTTGTTGTGATGAATGTGCGAATCCACACACTGCAGGAGGGGCAAACCAGCAGGGGGGGAGCAGGAAGAGGGGCAGAAAACTTTGAGGAAGTAACAGCTAGCCTGAACGCGGACGGTGTGTATGGAAGAACATACGACACGCCAGTAAGAAAATCGGAGGAGGTGAAAGGGCTCAAAGGTGAAACGGGTGGAGCAGTAAAAGGAGAGAGGAAGGGGGGGGGGGGGTGGGATGGGTTTAGTGGGAAAGAAGGGAGGAACGAGAAGGGGAGGAACGGATGGAATGGAATGGAATGGGGAGAGAAGGGAGGAAGAGGAGGGATGGGAGATCTAACTTGTGGTGACTTTCTTCGAGTGGAAGCCGTGACGAGCTTGATTCCGTGGGTTGTGTTGTCAAGCTTTGAGACGTCTCAAGGCTAGACTATAATCACACAGAGTGGAAAATCTCACTTGTGGTGAGTTTCGCCGAGTTGACGCAGTCACGAGCTTGATTCCCCGTGCGTTGTCATAGACAGGGGGTTTCCATTCCGCCAGGACTGCAAGAATCATGGGAGTGGGAGAGACGGGCCAGAGGATTGAGAGTGGATAGCTTTGATACCCCGAATGTTGTTGCACGCAGGGGGTTTCCACTACTCCAGAACTCTGACCTTCAGAGCTGTGACTGTTGGAGATAGGCCGCAATTGTGGTAGACTGAAATAGGTTGTGTAAGAATCGGTTGTTTTAGGGACTAGAAATCTTCTGATAGGTTGGGTGTAGATTTCTCATCCCCAACCTATCCAAACCCGATCCATCCAAAATCTCCACGATTTGGATGGATCCCCTTAGGATTTCCCTCCAATTGTCTCCTATTCCTTCCAACCCTCTACAATGTTTGGTACTTAACATTTGTAAGCCCTTTTCTACAGTCGATCAACTTCTGCACGTTTTCTAACACTGAGCCCCCCCCCCCCCCCCCCGCTGGTTCCCCATCCCACCCCCCCCCCCGCTGGCTTTTCCCTGTGCCCCCCGCGGGATTTTCCCTGCGCCCTCCGCGGCCTTTTCCCTGAGGCCCCCGCAGCCTTTTTCCCGTGCCCCCCGTGGTCTTTTCCCACACACCCTTTGGGCTTTTCTCAACCTCCGTTGGCCTTTTCCGTGCAACCCTCGGAGTTTCTTCGCACCCCCTGCAAGCTTTTCCGGCGCCCCCTGTGTGCTTTTCCAGTGCCCCCTGTGCGCTTTTCCCGCCCCCTGCGTGCTTTTCCCACGCCCGCCCGCAAGCTTTTCCCATGCATCCAACAGCCTTTTCCCTCGCTCCCTGCACGGTTTCCTCGTGCCCTGTGCGGCCCAGATAAATCAGCGGTATGCGTTATCTTAGCAGCAACTTCAAGACACAAAGGATGCAGGAGGTTGCAGCAGAAAGAGGAGCTGGCAGGAGGGCTGTGAAGGGTATTGGAGATGTGGCGGATAGAGGCATGGCGGGTGTGGTAGGGGGAGGCGGCGTGCTGCCATCCACCTTGCATCAAGACTGTATGCCCATCTACCACACCCGCCATGCCTCTGTTCGCCACATCTCCGGTACCCTTCAAAGTCTCTTGCCAACTCCTCTTCCGGCTGCAACCTCCTGCATCCTTCACCTCTAGAAGATGCTGCTAAAAGAACGCAACGCACCGCTAGTCTTTCAGGCCCATCTCCTTCTCCCTTCCCCCCGCCTTATCGTAACCCCTCTCGCCACTGCTGGTGCTGCTGCTGAAATGCTGTTCTCTGCTGATGCCGTATCATTTCCACCAGTCAAGCCTTCCTTCCTTCTTCCGCCTTGGACCCCTGGTCCACTCTCTCCACTCTCTCCTCGTTAGCAGATTTGCTCCAAGCTACTCGTGCAACAGGCCTCTGGCAGCTACCCTTGTGCTACATCCAGCAGGTTCGACTTCCTAGTGCCGCCCGCATCCTACGTGGGAAAACAAGCAAGAAGCAAAAGAGGCTATGGTACACACTGCTTACATCCCTGCACCCTTTCTAAGGAATTCACCTACCATCCTGTTGGCAACTCGAGCAAATCCCATGGCAATGGGTTGCGAGATTACCAATGTGATGGGTTACTAGCCCCTAGGCAGCCCGAGCTTACGTCATCACCTCCACCACCACCTCAAAGCCTCCTCAAGTGGTCCCTCCCTCGAACCTCTCGTCTTCGATACATCCAACCTCAATAACAAGTGTACACTGCTATCAATTATATCTGCCGTCTTATCGCGAATTGCACACTTCCCCAACTCTGCTCTCACCATCCTCACTGCTGTGTTAGCCGGGGAGATGCCATATCTGCCCAGATATCACGACAACCCTGCGGGCTTATCCCGCGCACCCCACGGGCTTTTCCGGTGCTCCCCGCAGGCCTTTCCCCGCAATCCCCGAGGGCTTTCCCCGCGACAAGAACAGCTGGGTCAGAAGAACAGGTGGGCAGAGCGACAAGTGGGCTCAACGATTAGAGCAACGGAGTAAGGCATGTAACTCCTGGTACCCCCCTGCATCCTTCCCATCTCGTTTCTCATCATCCCAAGGTACATAAAGACGTCCAAAGAGATGCTCGTCAGCTCTCACTCTCTCTCACACACATGAACACTAACCAGCACCCATAGAGACACAAACGTCTCCACACTCACTCTTGCACTGTACTCCCCATCCCCCACTGCATCCTTCGCACCTCGATCCTCATGATCCCTAGGTACCTGAGGCTCGTCTTAAGAGAGGCTTGTCTTACAAGAGGATCGCCTTGAAAGACACCCGACTTGAAAGACACCCGACTGAAGAAACTCCTGCCTTTAAAAAGGCTCATGTGAAGAGATGGTGTCTTAAGAGACGCCCATCTTACGACAGGCTCGTCTTAAGAAACACCCCATCTTAGGAGACGCCCGTCTTAAGAGACGCCCGTCTTGAGAGACAACTCTGAGCTTCACACTTAAAAGCCGTGGCAAATGACAAGAATGAATCTTTTGGGATTCCCCCACTAATGACAGTGCTAACGTTGGTATTCACTCACCAATGAGAGTGCAGCCATATAGATTGAAGTGAGGACTCATCCCTGATGTGACCTGAACACACATGCATGCACACTCGTGCACACAAACGCACGCACACGCAAGCATGCACACACACACGCACGCACAGACACGCACGCATACACAAACGCACGCACGCGCACACACACACACATGCGTGCACACTCACTCACACACACACACACAAACACACACACACACACACACACACACACACACACACACACACACACACACACACACACACACACATATGCACACAGGCATAGAACAGCGCCAATGGCGCCAAAGTTTGAGACCAGTGCACGCACCACATGACTGTTGTATAACACCATGTAGTGTAGCTTTACCACCTGCAAAGCCTAAGCCTAAAAAAAAGGTTGGGACCAGTGCACGCACCACATGACTGTTGTATAACACCATTTAGTGCAGGTTTACCACCTGCAAAGCCTAAGCCTAGGAAAAGGTTGGGACCAGTACATGCACCACATGATTGTAGTCCCTCATGCAGATTCTTGGGCATCTTCTAGTGAGCGCAGTGATAGGAGTATGTTTAAACCTACTTACTTAAACCGACTTGTCTGAACCTACTTGTTGAAACCTACTTACTTAAACCGACTTGTATGAACCTACTTGTTTAAACCTACTTACTTAAACCGACTTGTCTGAGCCTACTTGTTTAAACCTACTGCTGTCATTGCGCTCACTGGAAGATGTCCAAGGATCTGCACCACATGACCATTGTCGCTCATGCCATTAGTCGCCAAGGTTGGCACTAGCACATGCATCACGTGCCCCAGTGTTGGGATGAGGGACGGGTTCTTACCTTCTTCCTTAACTAGCTTCCTTCCTCCCCAACATTCCTATCTCTCCTACCTTCTTTCCTCGTGTGAGTGTGACTCAAGCATGAGCATTGTTCCTCATGCCATTGGCTGCTATAGTTGACACCAGATCATGCACCACGTGCTCACATGTTGGAGGGCGCAGAGGCTTTTACCTTCTTACCCACCCTAGCTGTCTTCCGCCCCATAGTGCTCCCATAATGAGAGGGGAGTGAAAAATTTACCTCCTTCCCTTCCTCGCCTTCTTTCTTCGAGTGAGTGTGAGACGAACACGGGTGTTGTCCCTCATGCCATTGGCTGCTAGGGTTGACACCAACGCATGCACCACATGCTCCCGTGTTGAGAGGCGAATGGAAGACCTACCCCCTTCCCGCCCATACCTTCTTCCCTCTTGTGAGTGTGAGTCGAACATGGGCGTTGTCCCTCATGCCATTGGCTGCTAGAGTTGACACCAGCGCATGCGCCACATGCTCCCTTGGGGGTACATTTGCAAACGCCATGGCCTTGGCAGAGTCAAACAGGCTGTATAGCAGGGGTGGGGAGGGGTGGGAATGGGGGTGGGGAGGATACACAGCAGGGGCAAGAGTCGACATCAGCGCATGCACCACATGCGGAGGGGAGGGGGGGAAGAGGAGGAAAGAGGGTAGAATCATACGGGGGCACGCATAGTGGAAGGGGGCGCTTTTGCACTGGATTGAACGCACTCACCAGTCCGGATGCCACTGTGAACCCAACACACACCCTCACCGGTCCAAGTGCTCCTGTAGGTTGAATACTCGTCCCTCGTATATCCTGAGCCCCTCCCACTCCCACACCACGTCCCCTCCCTGCAAATTTATCAACCTGAAGTGCCGTGAACCCAACACACACACTTACCGGTCCAGATGCTCTTGCAGCTTCAACAATCGCCCATCGCATACTCTAAGCCTCTCCCACCCCGCGTCCTCTCCATGCACTGCTGTGCTGTGGCCAGAGCTGCCATAAAAACAACCCACACAACAACTCACCGGTCCAGGTGGTCCTGTAGTTTGAACACTCGACCATCGTACACTCTGAGTCCCTCCCACACTGCATCCCCTCCTTGCACTGCGGAATCCAACACATGGATCTAGCGACCACAGAACAGATAGGGTGGACAGCGAAGGGGGGAAGGGGGAAAGTCAGCTCAAATGTCGCCCTCAACTCAACGACCGAAGATGGAAGACGAAACACGGAAGAGGGTAGACGGTCGACGGTCGACCGTGGACGGTGGACGGTGGACGGTGGATGGTGGACGGTGGACCGCATCCACCAGTGGATGGTGTTGTAAAATATATATCTATACAACATGCATGCCTAGATTAGGAGGTGTAGTCATTATAATTATTGGGGGGTTGTTGGTTGGGTTGACCAACCCCACATTTGGGTTGGTCAAGATTGGATTTGGTCCTAGACATTTGGTTGGCACTATTCCAACCAAATGGTCTTTGGTCCTAGGAACCAACCAATCACCAAGCACCACACTTTGTGGTTGCTTGCCTTCCAAGCAATCTCTCTCATTGGTCCACATTGTGACCAATAGGAGAGCACCACACTTTTGTGGTTGCTTGCCCTACAAGCAACCTCCCCCATTGGTCCACTTTATGGCCAATAGGAGAGCTTCCCTTCCAACTCTTCTTTGCTCCTTGTTTTGTACAAAAAGAGCCTCTTGGCTCCCTACTCAATTCAATCTTTTCTCTTCCAAGCTAGTTCCTTCATGGTATTCAGAGCCACAATGGCTCACGCCACCTCGATTCGATCCTAACTAGCACGGCCCTATGCTGTCCCTCCTCGTCTTCGAAGTCTAGCCCTTCCTTAGGCTACTTCCTGCGCCCCCCGTGCGCCCTTTCTCGCCGCGCTATTCCGTCGCGCCCGCTCTTCCTCCCGTCGCGCGCCTTTTTGCCGCGCCCGCTCTCCCTTCCGCCGTGCGCCTCCCGTCGCGCCTGATGACGCGCTTCCGGCCGTCGCATCCTCCTACTGCGCCCGTTGGTGCGCTCCTCCGTCGTGCGGTCCGTCGTCGCGCCCTCCCGTCGCGCCCTCCCGTCGCGCGCCCTCCGCGTTTGCGCACACCAGTCCGTCGCGCTCTCCGCGCGCCCGTGCGTCACGGCTCCCGTGGACGCCCGTCGACAAATCCTCTCAGCGCGCCCGTCGCCTTTCTGCCGCCGCGCGCGCGCGGTCGTCGGTCGATTTCTCCGCCGCGTGCGCCCGCCCGTCGTCGATTCTGCCGTCGCGTGCTCCCGTTCGTCGCGCCGTTTCGACGTGCAGCCTTCGGCGACTTAAGAGCTCACTCCGCGCACCTATCCTTCTCCTCCTCCTTTCCCTTTTCCTCCTCCTTTCTCTTTTCCTCCTCCTTTCCCTTTTCCTCCTCCTTTCCCTTTTCCTCCTCCTTTCCCTTTTCCTCCTCCTTTCTCTTTTCCTCCTCCTTTCCCTTTTCCTCCTCCTTTCCCTTTTCCTCCTCCTTTCCCTTTTCCTCCTCCTCCCCCCCCCCCCCCCCTTCCTTCCCCTCCTCCTCAATGGCGTCCGATTCCTCCGTGGACTTTACCTCCGTCGACGCTCTTGAGCTGCTGCCCGACAACACCGCGGTCAATTGGCATTCCTATGCCCAAACTGTCACGGTGCTTCTCTCCTCGGTGACGGTCAACGGCTACAACCTGAAAGCCGTTGTCCATCTCGAGGAGCGCGGTCTTCAGCCTGCCCAGCCGGATGCACCCGCGGGCCCTGCACCTCCTCCTCCTGGCGATCCTCCCGTCAGCCCCGGCGATCCTCCAACCTTCGCCCCTGACGTCAACGACCCTCAGAGCTCCGAGACCGCCATCCGCACCTACCGTGCCGGCCTCACCGACCACGTCCGCCAGCAGCTGCTCTTCGAGGCTTCCCGCGCCGAGCATGACGCCGCCACTGCCGCCTACAACACGTATCAGGCGGCGCTCGCGGAGTACGTCAGTCGCGAGCGCGCATACATCACCGACCTCGCTGCCTGGCGTGTCGCTGACCGGCGCGCGCTCACCATCCTCCTCGCCACCATTCCTCCCACCCTCAAGCGCGAGCTTGCTCCCACCTCCTCCTCCCACCTCTGGCGGCTCCTCACCGATCTCTATGATCGGCAGGACGTCGCCACCCTCTACTCCCTCATCAAGGAGTTCCAGAGCCTCACCATGGACTCTACCACCGGCGCAGCTGCCTTCACGCGTCGCGTCCTCGACCTCGCTCGGCGCCTGGCGGCTCTTGGCGTACCGTACCCGGACCCTGTGCTCTGCTGCCACCTCCTTGAAGGCTTGACTTCTGCCTTCGACACCCATAAGATCGCCTACATGCAGCTGATCGACAAGCGCATCACCCCGGCTGAAGTCGCCCAGTGGATTATCACCACCGAGGCCGACCTCCTGCGCCATTCCTCCTCCACTGCCGCTGTTGCTCAGCAGCGCAACACCAGGGGAGGGCGTGGGGGAGGGCGTGGCGCTGGTCGTGGTGGTGGCGCGGGTCGTGGTACCAATGGCGCAGGACGTGGTGCAGCAGCCCCCTTTCCTCCTTGCCAGTATCTCCCTCGCTATGGCCCCACGCGGGGTCAGCGCTGCGGCCAGACCACTCATGCCACTGATTCTTGCTTCAAAGCGCTCAGTGATGAGTGGTTTGCCCGCGGCAACACCGGCACCCCCCCCCGCTGGTCCTCCCTCTCCCCTCGCCCCACTCCTCAGGAGGTTCGTACCTCCCCTCTTTTTCAGCCCGTCTCCTCCCCCTTGGCCCACCAGGCCATCTCTCAGCAACAGCAGCAGCAGCAGACACCGCAGCAGATCCTGCCGCAGCCGTTTCAGCAGCAGCAGCAGCAGTTCCAGCAGCAGCAGTTCCAGCAGCAGCAGCAGCAGGGGCAGCATCACCTCTTCTCCCAGTTGCAGCAGCAGCTCCACCAGCTCCAGCAACAGCTTGACCTCCAGTCGCAGCTCCCCCTTGCACCTCCTCCTATGGCTCCCCCCCAGCAGCCCTACCCCGCTTGGACCGCCGGCACCGCCGCTTCCGCAGCTCACCTCTCGGGCGCGTCTCCCGCGCCCTCAGCCACAGGCAGTGTGACTCCCTTCCCCTCCTCTGGTTTTGTTGGCATGGTTAGTCAGGCTGGAACCCCCGCCCCTTCCATGTATTCGGCTGCTATTAATGAGAATGTGATTCAGTACTCCGTCCCACCTCCTCCCCCACATCCTCCCCCCTCCACCACGCTGGACTTTGTCCTTGACAGTGGAGCCACCGAGTCCGTCCTTCGTGATGCTGGTACCCTTCACCCTCTCCCAGCCCCCACCTCCCTCCTTGGTGCCGATTCCAGCTTCTCTATTCCCTGTCGCCACACCTCTACCCTCCCCTGTCCCCTCTTCCCCTCAGGTACCGTCACTGGTTTACACATCCCCTCCCTCCGTACTAACCTCCTCTCCCAGCGATCCCTGCAGCAGGCCGGTATCACCACCGTCTTCCCAGGTCGCGCTAATCACTGCCTCCTATACCATCCCACAGGTCGCCTCCTCTCCCGTATTCCCTTTTGTCCTCGCTCCCGCCTATATACCCTTCGAGTTCCTCGTCTTCCCTCTGCCCAGGCAGTCTCCCGCTCCCTCCTCCCACCTCACATCTCCCCCCCTCCTCTCCCTCCTTCTAACCCAACCATTCCCCCCCTCCCCCCTGACCCAACCTGCTCCTGTCGATCCCTCTCCCATCCCACCGTCCTCCTCCACCACAGGCTTGGTCACCCCAACTTTGCCACCCTCCGCTCGACCGTCTCCTCAGGTCTCCTTCGAGGTCTTCCCCTCACCCTCCCTCCCCTCCCTCCCTCCCTTGCCCCTCCCTGCTCCGTCTGTGTCCAGAGCAAGCTCAAGCAGCTGCCGCATCGGAGTTCCCCCTCCGCTGCTGCTCAGCCGCTTGATCTTGTTCACATGGACCTCTGGGGCCCCAACCCCTCCCCTTCCCGCCAGGGTCATCGCTACATGCTTGTTCTGGTCGATGATCACAGCCGATATTCTTCCGTCTCCCTTCTTCGCTCGAAGGGTGACGCTCCGACTGCGATCATCGCCTGGCTCAAGCAGGCGAGCACCCACTTTGGCCGCCCTGTGCGCCGCCTTCACTCTGATGGCGGTGGCGAATTCCTTAATCGTCAGGTAGCCTCCTACTGTGAGCTTCATGGCATTCGCCAGACTCACACCCTCCCCCACTCCCCCCAGCAGAACGGTGTGGCCGAGAGCCGTGTTCGGGAGATCACCAAGATTGCTCGGTGTCTCCTCGTCCATGCCTCTTGCCCCCCTTCTCTGTGGGGCTATGCCCTCCTTCACGCCACCCTCCTTACTAACCTGTACCCCCACCCTATCCTTCCCTCCACCACTCCCACCGAGCTCTGGACGTCGGCCAAGCCTGACGTCTCCTCCCTCCGTGTGTGGGGCTCCAGGGCGTATGTCCTCATTCACCCTGCGGACCGCCCCCGCACCATGGGAAAGCTCGCCTCCCGTACCCTCCCCTGCATCTTCCTTGGTCATAATCCCTCCTCACCGGACTACCTCTTCCTTCACCCCCCCTCAGGTCGTTTCCTCCGCAGTCGGGATGTAGTCTTTGATGAGTCCACACCCTACTATTCCACTCCTCCCCCCACTGACCCTCTCGCCCCTTCTCCCAGGCCCCTCAACTGGTCCGACACTATCCCACCCCCTCTTCTCCCTCCCCCTCCCATCCTCCCCCCGCTCCGCCTCCTCCATTCCCCGCCGCCTCGGCCCCTAGTGCTCCCCCCTCCTCTGGTGACATATTTGACCCTGACCCTTTTTTCCCCCCCGCCTCCCCGTCCCACTCCTCCCCCTCCGCTCCCTCCCATCCTCCCCCCTCCCCTCCTCCCCCCTCTCCCCCGCGACCCCCTCCCCCCCTGCGTCCCACCCGCTCCATCCTCACCCGGTATCCCCACACCAGGTCGCGTGACGCAGTCCTAGGTGCCCCGCCTCCTGTTATCCTCTCTTCCTCTACCTTGCCTCCTCTCTCCCCTCTCATGGACCTCCTTTTTCAGACAGTCTTACAACAAAACACTAGCCCAACCCTGCCGTCGAGCTCCAGTACAGCAGTCCCAACAGCAGCAGCAACAGCTGCAGCAGCAGTTCCACCCACCGCAGCAGCACCAGCAGCAGCAGCCGTCACTTCTTCCTCGCCTTCACCCGCAGCAGCAGCAGCGGCGGCAGCAGACGCAGCAGTAGCAGCCGCCTCAGCAGCAGCAGCAGCAGATGCATCCTCAGCAGCAGCAGCAGCAGCAGTCCTCCCATTCATTTTCCACTCCTCCTCCTCGAGGACTCCCATGAGGAGTTCCTCAACCTCCACATGCATGATCCAGCCGTCCTACCCATCTCCCCTGACCTCAGCGGCACACCAGTCTTCGCCTTCTCCTCCGCCCCCATCATCTTCGTCCCCGCCACGTACGAGGAGGCCATGGCGTGCCCTGACGCTCACCTCTGGCTCGCGGCCATCCTCAAGGAGTTGGAGGCGTTTATTGCCAACTCCTCCTTTGTGGATGTGCCCCGCCCTCCCTCTACCACGAACGTGGTCAAAGGGAAGTGGGTGTTTCGGGTGAAGCAGCTTCCTGGCGAGCCGCCGGTCTACAAGGCCCGCTACGTCGCCAAGGGCTTCACCCAGCGCTACGCTGTCGACTTCTTCGACACCTTCTCTCCCACCGCCAAGCCCGCTACCATTCGCGCAGTCCTCGACCTCGCTGCTCGCCTCAACATGGAGATTCACTCCATGGACGTCTCCAACGCCTTCCTCCAGGGGGTCTTGCGCGAGCTCATTTACATGGAGCGTCCTGCAGGCTTCCACCTCCCCTTTCCTTCCGACTCTGTCTGGCAGCTGCGTCGGCCGGTCTATGGGCTCAAGCAGGCACCAAGGGAATGGCATGCCAAGCTTGCTGCCACCCTCGCCGAGCTTGGCTTCAGCACCTCCCGTGCCGACCCCAGCCTCTTCCTCCGCACCTCCCCCTCCCCCTTCTACATCCTCGTCTATGTCGACGATATGATCCTCATCACTGCCGACTCCGCCGAGCTCGAGCGCGTCAAGCGTGAGCTTGGCAGCCGGCTCAAGTGTAAGGATCTAGGGGGGCTGCAGCACTATCTCGGCATGGAGATTACCCGCGACCGTGCAGCTCGCACCATCTCCCTCTCCCAGGGCCACTACCTGCAGCAGGTCCTGGAGCGGTTCGACATGGCTCGAGGCACCCCTCAGGTCACCCCTCTTCCTGTTGGGCACCATCTCACTCCCCTCACCTCCCCCTCCTCCTCCTCCCACCCCTACGCTGAGCTCATCGGCTCTCTCATGTATGCCATGGTCTCCACCCGCCCTGACCTAGCATACCCCATCAGCGTTTTGGCCCGCTTCGTTGGTACAGGCAAGCATGATGCCGCCCACTGGCAAGCGGCCAAGCGTGTCCTCCGCTACCTTCGGGGGACCAAGGACTACGTCCTTACCCTTGGCGGCCCCTCCCCTCCCCTCCTCACTGGCTACTCTGATTCCTCCTGGGCTGACTCTAGGCCTGACCGCCGCTCCTCTCAGGGCTATGGCTTCTCTCTTGGCAGCGGCCTCATCAGCTGGCGCTCCACCCGCTCCTCCTCCATTGCCCTCTCCTCGTGCGAAGCAGAGCTGTATGCCGCTACCATGGCTGCGCAGGAGGCCCGCTGGCTCTCCTTCCTTCTTGAGGAGCTTGGTGCCCCTCAGCGCTGTCCCACCATCTGGTGCGACAACGCCAGCACCATCCACCTCACGAAGGATGCTGTGTTCCACGGGCGCTCCAAGCACATTGAGCTTCGCCACTACTTCATTCGCGAGCTTGTGCAGGGTGGCCACCTCCAGCTGGGCAAGATTGACTCTGCTGCCAATCTTGCCGACATCTTCACCAAAGCCCTCCCCCACGCCGCCCACTCATCCCTCCTTCGCCTTCTTGGCCTCGCTCCCCCCGTTCCCTCGTCCGCCTCCTGATTCAAGCCCTCTAGTCTTATGCATGTTGGGGGGTTGTGTTGTAAAATATATATCTATACAACATGCATGCCTAGATTAGGAGGTGTAGTCATTATAATTATTGGGGGGTTGTTGGTTGGGTTGACCAACCCCACATTTGGGTTGGTCAAGATTGGATTTGGTCCTAGACATTTGGTTGGCACTATTCCAACCAAATGGTCTTTGGTCCTAGGAACCAACCAATCACCAAGCACCACACTTTGTGGTTGCTTGCCTTCCAAGCAATCTCTCTCATTGGTCCACATTGTGACCAATAGGAGAGCACCACACTTTTGTGGTTGCTTGCCCTACAAGCAACCTCCCCCATTGGTCCACTTTATGGCCAATAGGAGAGCTTCCCTTCCAACTCTTCTTTGCTCCTTGTTTTGTACAAAAAGAGCCTCTTGGCTCCCTACTCAATTCAATCTTTTCTCTTCCAAGCTAGTTCCTTCAGATGGTAGACAGTGGACAGTAGATGGTGGATGGTGGACGGCGTCCACCGGTGGACGGTGGAGGGTGGAGGGTGGAGGGTGGACGGTGGACGGTGGACGGTGGACAGTGGACAGTGGACAGTGGACGGTGGACGGCGTCCACCGGTGGACGGTGGATGGTGGACGATGGACGGTGGACGGCGTCCACCAGTGGACGGTGGATGGCGTCCACCAGTGGACGGTGGATGGCAACCACCGGTGGACGGTAGACGGAGGACGGTGGACAGCGTCCACCGGTGGACAGTGGACGGTGGACGGTGGACAGTAGACGGAGGACGGTGGATGGCGTCCACAGAGGTGAACGGTGGACGGTAGACGATAAACGGCGTCCACCGTTGGACGGTGGACGATGGACGGTGGACATCGTCCACCGGTGGATGGTGGACGACGTCAACAGGTGGACGGTGGACGGTGGACGATGGGCGGCGTCCACCGGAGGGCAGTGGACGGTGGGCGGCGTCCACTGGAGGACGGTGGACTGTGGGCGGCGTCCACCAGAGGACGGTGGACGATGGACGGCGTCTACCGGTGGACAGTGGACGGTGGACGGTGGACGGCGTGCAGTGGAGGATGGTGGACGGTGGGCGGCGTCCACTGGAGGACGGTGGACGGCGTCTACTGGTGGACGGTGGACGGGAGACGGTAGACAGTGGACGGTGGACGGCGTCCACCGGTAGACGGTGGACGGTGGACGTCGTCCACCGGTGGACGGAGGACGATGGACGGTGGACGACGTCCACCAGTGGAAGGTGGACGGCCGGTGGACGGTGGACGGCGTCCACTGGTCGACAGTGGACGGTGGACGGTGGACGATGGACGATGGACGGCGTCCACTGGTGGACGGTGGACAGTGGACGGCGTCCACTGGTCGACAGTGGACGGTGGACGGTGGCAGTGGACGGCGTCCACCGGTGGACGGGAGACGGTAGATGGTGGACAGTGGGAGGTGGACAGTGGACGGCGTCCACCACTGGACGGGGGACGGTGAACGGTGGACGGCGTCCACCGGTAGATGGTGGACGGTGGACGGAGGACGATGGACGGTGGACTGCGTCCACCAGCGGAGGTTGGACGGCCATTGGACAGTGGACGGCGGACAGTGGACGATGGACGGCGTCCACTGGTGGACGGTGGATGGTGGACGGCGTCCACCGGTGGACGGTGGACGGGGACGGTGGGCGGTGGATGGTGGACGGTGGACGGAGTCCACCGGTTCACGGTGGATGGGGGACGGTGGACGGTGGATGGCGTCCACCAGTGGACGGTTGACGACGTCCACCAGTGGACGGTGGACGGCTGACGGCGTCCACCGGTGGACGGTGGACGGGGACGGTGGACGGTGGACGGAGGACGGTGGACGGTGGACGGAAGACAGCAGACGGGAGACGGCAGACGGAAGACGGTGGAGGTACACGGTATACACTGAAGATGCCGCTATACCATATCTGCACTACATGCACGGTTCGACTCTACCTTGGAGTCTCGTCTTGGTACCAGTCCCTTCTCCCCCACCCACAACAGGAGCTTCTCGTTTACGGGCACATAGAGAAGGGCGGGGGCATTGTGACACTCGATCCTCACACTAGTAAACTCTACCTTGACGTCTCGTCTCGGTACAAGTCCCTCCTCCCCCACCCACACCAGCAGCTTCTTGTTTACAGGCACAGAGAGAAGGGCGGGGCATTGTGACACTCGATCCCCACACTAGTAAACTCTACCTTGGCGTCTCGTCTTGGTACCAGTCCCTCCTCCCCCACCCACACCAAGAGCTTCTCGTTGGCAGGCACGGGGAGAGGGGGCGAGGGCAGAGGCAAGGTGGAGAGGGAGGGGGAGGGGGAGGTGGAAGTGGTGGTATTGCTGCTGCTGCTATTGCTGGTGGTGTCGTTGGTGGCATTGGTGGTGGTGAGTGGTGCGAGGGCTTTGGAGTGGAGCAAGGAGAAGAAAGGCTGGCACTCCTCTAGTAAAGAATAGTGCTCCATGGGGAAAGGCTGGGGGATGGGGGCGGAAAATGGCAAAGAATGAAGGTATTGAGAGGCAGGAAGAGATAGCTGGTGGTTCTGGTATTGAAAGGCCGAAACTCCTTCAGTAAAGAGTAGTGCTCCATGGAGAAAGGCTGAGAGGAGGGAAGAGCGAAGGGAATGGGAACAGGAAACGATTGCAGGCTTTAGGAGGAAGACTTAACGAGCCGTTTTGAATAAAGATGGAGCCGAGAGAAGGGCACGGTTTCTCCAGTAAAATCACGCATTTCATGGGCAACGGTGAGGAGAGGGGAGTGTGGGAAGGCAGACGAAGAGAGCTAGGGCAAGTAAGCGAAGGTCTTATGGTAACACTTAGTGAAGGCACCGGGCCATGCTCAAGTACCGAGTGGGAAGCACCGAGTGGGAAACACCGAGTGGGAAACACCGAGTGGGAAACACCGAGTGGGAAACACCCAGTGGGAAATACCGAGTGGTAGACGCATGCGTTGTGGTGGTATACCACCATAGGCCCCTAGGGAACCTTGGGCACGAAGGTGTTAGTACAGGAGCAGGAAGGGACACCTTGGGGTAGAGAGCAGGAGGGGCGAAGCCAGTGGAAGCATGTGTGGTGGTATACCACCATGGAGCCCACACCCCGTCCTCTGGTCTTTTCCCTGAAGACCAGCTTAGGAATAAGGGGAGGGGGCAGGTTGGGATAGAGGAGAAAGAGAAGGAAGGGTTGGGAGCGCTGCCTCTAGCATATGTTGTGGTTACCACCATCATGGTGGTACCATGGAGCCCACACTCCGTCATCTGGGCGCTTCCCTGCAGACCAGCTGCAGGATAAAGGAGAGTGGTGGGGGCAGGTTGGAATAGAGGACAAAGCGAAGGAAGGGTTGGTTGGGAGCACAAGAAGATGGTGAGAACACAGACAAGTAGGAATTCAGTGTCAAAAGGCGCCTCACTGAGAGGTGCATGCTTATGTAAGAGAATTACTTACCAAAACAACACTTACGAGAGCATTTCTGGGTAAAAAGAGATGTCCAGCGCTTGGCAGAGTGCCTTGAGGACGCCCTGATGAATCGGGTTGGGTTGGGGAGTGCAGGGGCGCAGCGAAGTAGGGGGATAGGGACGATGAGGGAGGACACAACACCGAGCACATCTCTGAATTTTAGCAGGTGGTATCCAGTCCAGCGCTTGGCAGAGCGCCTCGAGGACACCCTAATGAATGGGGTTGGGGAAGGCAGGGCGTAGCGAAGTCAACAAGTTGAAACGTGGTATGCCACGTGGTTGCGGAAGGCAGGGCGCAGCGAAGTATGGCACATGCACATAGTTGAAACACGGTAAGCCACATGGTTTTTGAGAGACTGCAAACATGGAGAGATTGCAGAGAGACGGCGGAAGTGCCCAATCATGGTATGCCACGTGGTTGCGGGAGGGAGACAGCAAAACAGGTGCGCGTTCCAAAGAGAGAAGGCGAGAGAGACGGAGGGAGAACAGGGAGAGTACCCCCCGGTCTGATTGCAGCCGTGAGGCATCAACCGGGTCAACGAGCCGGGAGGCATCAACCACAAGAGGAGAACGGCGCAGTTGATGAGAGCAGTGGGGGAGGGAGCAGCGGGTAGGGGAGCAGTTCAGAGGCGGGGAGATCGCCCAACGCTCAAGATCGCCCAACGCCCAAGATTGCCCAATGCCCAAGATCGCCCAACGCCCAAGATCGCCCAGCGCCCCAAGATTGCCCAACGCCCAAGATCGCCCAACGCCCAAGATCGCCCAACGCCCAAGATCGCCCAACGCCCAAGATCGCCCAACGCCCAAGATCGCCCAATGCCCAAGATCGCCCAACGCCCAAGATCGCCCAACGCCCGAGATCGCCCAACGCCCAAGATCGCCCAACGCCCAAGATCGCCCAACGCTCAAGATCAGTACCTCCGGGTCTGATTGCAGCCGTGTGGCGTCGACCACAGGCGGGGGTCGGCCCATTTGAGAGAGCGAGGAGAAGATGGAGAGGAGGTGGGGGAGAGATGTCTCCGATAGCGATGGGGGGGAAACCTCACCGAAAGATGGCTGGCAGGGGGGTGGGAGCAGCAGAAAGGAGAGAAAGATACGCCCACAATGAACAGCATGCAGTCGCCAATGAGGATGACCTGCCGAAACGACCACTTACCAGGCGTCTGGTCTCGAGGCGGCTCAAAAACCCACCATTCGGTGAGCGCCTCGTTGTTGTAAGCTCACAAGGAGTTTACAACATGGGCAGCATGGGCTCATGTCACAGATGAGAATGAATGACCGGAAGGCCACTTTTCAGGCGCCTGATATTGAGGCGGATCAAGAACCTACGACTCTTTGCGTGTCTATTCACTGTACACTCACAATGAGCAGCATGGGATCGCGGACGAGAATGACATGCCGGCCGCGTGACAATAGCGAAGCCTGGAGCTCTTCCCGGCACTGCTTCGCCATGTGCTGCATATAGGGGGGGGGGGAGGAGGGGAAGGGGGGAGGGGGGGAGGGGGGTTGGGGGGGACTACACATGTGAGCAAGCAATAGCAAGGCGATTTTTGAGTCGACTCAAAAGCCTGGAGCTCTTCCCGACACTGCTTTGCCATGTGCTGCATATTGGGGGGGGGAGATGGGAGAGGAGGGAAGGGATGCGAAAAGCTTAGGGGGGGTAGGGGGAGCCTGTATGTAATGATGCATCGTGGCATTAACAAGGCTGCCGCGTTTACCACAACAGCCACACTTGCATGAGCATGGAAGAGAGATGCACAAAAGGTATTGCAAAATAATAAGTGACAACTGCAAGCACAAAAAGCAATGCTGACACATCCCGATTTCATGAGAAGCACAGAAGGCGCTTGTTTTGGCAATGGACTGCAGAAGAGACGAGGCTTAAAGGGTGCGAAACTGCAGGAGAGGAGGAGGGTGGTGACTCACACTGGGTGCTTGGGAAAAGGGTCTCTGTTTAATCACACCTTCACAAAACGGAGAGGTTTAGATTTCGTAGGGCTGTACACAACTTGATCCACCACCCGCTTGCCGTTTGAGTCCTAAGAGGGGTAGGTATGACGGGGAAGGAGCAGGAAGGGATAAGGAACGGTAGCCATATCTAGAGCTACTATCGTAGGATTGGACCATTTATGCATCATGATTTGACACAGCAGTATAGGAGCCAGTACTACTCACCATAACAGCTATCTTCACTCCATACTTTCCACCATCTCACCATGCCGCTACCCCCCCTTCTCTCACCATGCTCTCCAGCTCCAGCTGCCTGTACGGCCCGGGAGCACCCCATAACAGTCTGTCACGAAGGCAAATTTGATAACAACATTTCACCATCTATCCCCCTTTCTCACCATCTATCCCCCTTTCTCACCATGCTATCCAGCACCAGCTGCCTGTACGGCCGGGGTGCACCCGTGACAGTCAGAAAATCAGCATACAGGGGTTCGTCCACCACCTCTGTGTCTGGACGCTGCAGGGAAGGGGGGAGGTGGGGCGGTGGGGAGGGGGAGGGGGAGGGGGGTGTTGAGAGGTAGTGGGGTGCCAGTTAAGTCGTCTCACGAGGGTCAGGCAGTCAGCATACACTGGCTCATTCACCACCTGTGTCTTGGCGCGGCAGCAATGGGGAAAGGGAAACACGACCGGATGGAAGCCTGCGTACAGTGACCTTCAGGAACCCAGAATACAGTGGCTCTTCCACTTCGTCTGCGTCTGGACGCCGTAGGAAAGGGAAATGGGCGCCGGAAAAGCAAGCAGGAAATGTCTGCCGTGTATATAAATGACATTTCTGCTCCGGTTCGCCATTTCATCAGTCTAAATTAGACCACGGAGCCGTCTGCACGCCTGAGTGAAGAGAGTACTTAGGACCGTGCCTCAGCGGAGGAGTACTTCAGGCTGGCGCTGTTGGGTTGACGCAAGAGCAGCCTCAATCTGCCATTGAATGCCTCAGAATTAGACCAGGAGCCATCCGCACGTGACTGAGCGAAGGAGTGCATCAGGCTGGTTCTGAGACATCTCAAAACTACGATATGACCACTTGACAACGAGACCAAGATATGTCTAGCGGAGGCATACTGAAGACTACGACCGTGACTGAGCGAAGGACTGGATGGGATCGTGCCTGAGCGACGGAGTGGATGGGATCGTGCCTGAGCGACGAAGGACTGGATGGGGCCATGCCTGAGCGAAGGAGCACATCAGGCTGGTGCTGAGAGACCGAAACGAGATTCCAGTTGACTCTAAAGTCACCTCGGAGCCGTCCGCACATGCCTGACCCAAGGAGTGGATTGGGAAGGGTTGGATGGGGCCATGCCTGAGCGAAGGAGTACATCAGGCTGGTGCTGAGAGACCGCGGTCCTGACCAGAGATTGATCACCCAATCCGCGTCCGACACGTCACCAGCTGATGGCTTAAGAGAAGCCCCAGCGTGCTCCGAAGGCGTTTCCGACGTCATATCGACGCTGATCGATTATCTTCTGAACGATTAGTGTGATGGACTTTTGACGTGTTCTTTCACAGCAGAAACGTTGTTGCAGGACGCTGAACGATAAGGCTGTGAAACGATCTCAAGCAGGGAAAGTACGAACGTTCTATTGATTTAGGCTGTCGGAGCAGGTCGAGCGACGCCGTCAGTTAGAGCAGTTGATAACGCGTATGATGACGATGTCCAAGGAGAAAGGCACGGGAGCAATGCAATGTTCAGGAAGCGTGGCGACGATGTCTAGGGAGTGCCTAGGAAGCAAGGCAAGAATGTCTAGGATTTTTTCTGCTGAACGGCAAGTGGGATTCTTCAGCTGACAACCTTGAGAATTCCGTTTGACGGCTGCTTGTGCTCAGGAGCATTGCTGATATCGCCTTTAGTGCGGACATCATTAGCTAATTACACGAGTACAGTGAGTACATCATATGCATGTTGATAAATTCTAGCCCTTTTTCCCTTCATAAACCCTCTCTATTGCGTTTCTACATGTCCTCCAAATATGAGTATCCATGTGGCAGAGAAACCCCAACTGATCCCATCTCCCAGACCTGTACAAAGCGTTTCGTCCGTTGGATCATTTCAAGCTGAGCCAAGAATCGAGATGATACATGTGTCAGGAATTTCGAAAATGTTTGGCGGAGGCATGCAGCCTTCGTGTTGGAGCCTTTCGGGAGGCCGCACGGCTCCGTGTCAGGCTTCGGGGGTGGCGCTTCCACAATCTCGCGAGCCCCCCAGCCTGTCTGCTCGAAAGGCTTGCGGAAGGGTTTGTGTAGCGAAATCTCGCCATCGTCGCAAACTTCTGTGGTTGCTCAAATATGTGCTCAAACTTCTACTGGCGAGGGAATTCAGCTTTCCGCCAAGTCCGCCGAAACTGGTCCCACCCTTGCTGTGTGGAAAACTACTAACCCTCTCTGTTCTGTGTTCACCTCCCCCCATCATACCAAAAACTCCCAAACCGTTCTTTCTTACACCTGAAGGCAGCTTTGCTCATTTCACATTCCTGCTCCTGAGCACTGCTTTTCTCACATTTCTACGGCTGAATCCAGCAAACTGGGCTTGCTGGAGCTGCTCCGCGCCACTTGTAGCTGCTGATTCCTCCGTCTAGTTTGTTCTCACACTTCGCTCCGCTGCAAACTGCAACGAAACACTTACCCTGGCGAATATTTGTTTTCACTGGCGACAGTTTCGTCACTTGCGACGGGCGAGCGGCGCTTGAAAGCGCTAAGGGTGTTTTAAGACCTCGGCGTTACGTTATTCTGCGTCACCTCCTGCCGCTTTTAGACCCTCGCTCGATTTCGACGCGTCTCACCGACTGAGGTCCGACGACCTTCGTCAGCTTCGTCGCGTGCCCCATGGCGACGAGGTGCGATCGCCTCCAACGCCTTTCTGCGCTTGAACGTCGCCGCGCATTCGTTTCGACGCGCGTCTCACGGCTGCAGATAATGAGGATCATTTTAAACCGAACCGACGAGCGTGAAACGACGAAATTGGCTGTCCCTCGAGGGCCGTCACAGCGGTAGTGTCGGCTACTGTTCAACGGCGGAATCGCGGTCGTTTGACGGCAAGATTTGCGACCGTCGAGCGGCGAGATTGGCAAGTGTTTGACGGCGCGGGTGCATTTAACGACGACGAAGTCGGCTGCTGAGCCGTCTTGTCGGCGAGTGTGTAATGGCGGAACTGCGGGCGTTTGACGGCGGAATCGCAGGCGTTTGATGGCGGAATTGACGGACGTTGATCCGACGAAATCGGCGAGTGTCTAACGGCAGAATCCGTCAACAGCGAAATAGGTAGCCGCTCAACATCCGTCGAGCGGTAATTTCGGCGACCGTTACACAGCGAAATCGCGAGCGTTGACGGCGGAATTGACGGCCGTTGCGTGGCGATGCCCCCTGTTCTGCTGGCGACGCTCTCTGCTTTGCTAGCGATGCTCTCGACCCTGCGGCGACGCGTCTGCAGAGGCGAGACGAGGTGAGGCGAGGCATGTCGCGCGTCACTTCCTGTGAGGACTGACGACATGCTGTCAGAACCTAAGTCCCTCATGGCCCTCCCCTCACCGCCAATTGCTCTGAGTTGCTCCATGCATTGCCCCCCATACGTCGTGCACTATGCCACTGGTACCTTGCACCCCCACCCTTATCTCTCACGCTACCTTCTGGCATCAGGCAGCATACAAGCGCCTCACAGGGGGCAGCAGACTAGCTTATGGAATCAGGCAGCATACAAGCATCTCACAGGGGGCAGCAGACTAGCTTCTTGCATCAGGCAGCATACAAGTACCTCACAGGGGGCAGCAGACTAGCCTCTGGCATCAGGCAGCATACAAGCACCTCATAGGGGGCAGCAGACTAGCCTCTGGCATCAGGCAGCATACAAGCACCTCATAGGGGGCAGCAGACTAGCTTCTGGCATCAGGCAGCATACAAGCACCTCACAGGGGGCAGCAGACTAGCTTCTGGCATCAGGTAGCATACAAGCATCTCACAGGGGGCAGCAGACTAGCTTCTGGCATCAGGCAGCAAACAAGTAGCTCACAGGGGGCAGCAGACTAGCTTCTGGCATCAGGCAGCATACAAGTACCTCACAGGGGGCAGCAGACTAGCCTCTGGCATCAGGCAGCATACAAGCACCTCACAGGGGGTAGCAGACTAGCTTCTGGCACCAGGCAGCATACAAGCACCTCACAGGGGGCAAGCAGACTAGCCTCTGGCATCAGGCAGCATACAAGCATCTCACAGGGGGCAGCAGACTAGCTTCTGGCATCAGGCAGCATACAAGCACCTCACAGGGGGCAGCAGACTAGCTTCTGGCATCAGGCAGCATACAAGCACCTCACAGGGGGCAGCAGACTAGCTTCTGGCATCAGGCAGCATACAAGCACCTCACAGGGGGCAGCAGACTAGCTTCTGGCATCAGGCAGCATACAAGCACCTCACAGGGGGCAGCAGACTAGCTTCTGGCATCAAGCAGCATACAAGAATCTCACAGGGGCCAGCAGACTAGCTTCTGGCATCAGGGTTGGAATGTGTTGGATCAGGTGTGTAGCGGCCTCTTCAAGCCGATCTGCTTTGCCATCTGCACAAATGTGAGTCGCATCGCAGCACACCTTGAAGCCAAGGTGCTTTGCTGTACGGACAATTGTGAGTCGCATCGCAGCACACCTTGAAGCCAAGGTGCTTTGCTGTACGCACAATTGTGAGCCACATGATTGCCTCAGGCCAAGTTCTTGCACATAGGGCCCGATCTGGTGCGTTGAAGCAGGATGTTGGGAGTCGAACCATAAAAATACATGTTCCCGCTCTCCACCACTTTGGAATGTTCATCCCCTTTGCACGGGGTCACTTTCGTTGAGTGTTACAGATGCTCCCATAGCTCATTTCCATGCTCATATTACCAGGTGGATCTGTACCGTTATTGTTAATGAAATTCAAGATTCGATTGTATGCAAGGACTATGGATTGGACATCGTAATTTTAAATAGTACATCATAGTACACTTGCACTACAGGTTCTTACCCACTAATTCTAAATCCTACCAATTCTGCGTCCTCGTTACAATGTGAAAGAATGCGGTGGATTCATCTATCCCAACCTTTCTTCACCCCTCAGTCAACCTCCTCAATCTTGGGCTCGGCAACCCCGCTAGAAGCCGCTCCCCCCATGGGCACATCTCCCATGCCTCCTCCTTGCATTGGCCCAGCTCCTGACTGGTACATCTTCGCAATGATCGGGTTACAAATCCCCTCGATTTCCTTCTGCTTGTCCTCAAATTCGTCCACGTCCGCCAGCTGGTTCTTCTCCAGCCAATCAATTGTCTCGTCAACAGCCTTCTCGATCGCCTTCTTATCCGCAGGCGACAGCTTACCCCCAATCTTGTCGTCGCGAACGGTGTTACGCATGCCGTACGAATAATTCTCCAGCGCGTTTTTCGCCTCAACCCGCTTCTTGTGCTGCTCGTCGTCCTCCTTGTACTTCTCAGCTTCCTCGACCATTCTCTCAATCTCCTCCTTACTCAGCCGTCCCTTATCATTCGTGATAGTTATTTTATTCCTCTGTCCGGTAGTCTTATCCTCCGCACTGACGTTCAGGATGCCGTTGGCGTCGATATCGAACGTCACGGTGATCTGCGGCACGCCACGTGGCGCCGGCGGAATTCCCGACAGCTCAAACTTTCCGAGCAGATTGTTATCCTTCGTCCTCGCGCGCTCCCCTTCGTACACCTGAATCAACACCCCCGGCTGGTTGTCCGCGAATGTCGAAAACACTTGCTCCTTCTTAGTGGGGATCGTGCTATTCCTCGGGATCAGCACCGTCATAACCCCTCCCGCCGTCTCCAATCCGAGCGACAGCGGCGTGACGTCGAGCAGCAGCAGATCCTGCACCTTCTCGTTGCCCTCGCCGCTCAGAATCGCCGCCTGAACCGCCGCGCCGTACGCCACGGCCTCGTCGGGGTTGATGCTCTTGCAGAGCTCCTTGCCGTTAAAGTACTCCTGCAGGAGCTGCTGCACCTTGGGGATGCGAGTAGACCCGCCCACGAGCACCACGTCGTGAATCTGCGCCTTCGACATCTTAGCATCTTTCAGGCATTTCTCGACCGGGTCCATGCACTTTCGGAACATGTCCATGTTGAGTTCCTCGAATCGCGCGCGAGTGATGGTGGTGTAGAAGTCGATTCCCTCGTAGAGCGAGTCGATCTCGATGGTGGTTTGCGCGGTGGAGGAGAGAGTTCGCTTGGCGCGCTCGCACGCCGTGCGAAGTCGGCGAAGAGACCGCGGGTTGTTACTCAGGTCCTTCTTGTACTTCCGCTTGAACTCCTGAACGAAGTGGTGCACCATGCGATTGTCAAAATCTTCGCCACCCAAATGCGTGTCGCCAGCCGTCGCCTTCACCTCGAAAATCCCGTCCTCGATCGACAGAAGCGACACGTCGAAAGTCCCCCCGCCAAGATCGAAGATCAGCACGTTCTTCTCCTCCGAACCTGCATTCTTCTTATCGAGCCCGTACGCGATAGCAGCCGCGGTCGGCTCGTTAATAATCCGCATCACATTCAGCCCAGCGATAACGCCCGCATCTTTCGTCGCCTGCCGCTGCGAGTCGTTGAAATACGCGGGAACCGTCACCACGGCGTTCTTCACGGTAGTCCCGAGGTAAGCCTCCGCGATCTCCTTCATTTTCGTGAGAACCATCGACGAGATCTCCTCGGCGGCGAACTGCTTCGTCTCGCCCTTGTACTCCACTTGGATCATCGGCTTCTCGCCCGGGCCCGCCAGCACCTTGAACGGCCACAGCTTGATGTCGCTCTGCACGGGCGCGTCGGAGAATCGCCGTCCGATGAGACGCTTCGCATCTGCGGGAAAAGGGAGAGGTGAAGCGATGCAAAACGAATGAGCGAGGCTGGCACATTCCACGATCTGTAGCACGTGGACAACTCAGCAAGGGTGAACGGAATGAATATTCGAAGTAACGGCAAAACCAGCTAGTTGACTTGCCAAAAACGGTGTTGACGGGGTTCATGGACACTTGGTTCTTGGCGGCGTCGCCAATGAGGCGCTCAGTGTCGGTGAACGCGATGTAGGACGGCGTGGTGCGGTTTCCCTGGTCGTTGGCGATGATCTCCACGCGGTCGTGCTGCCACACGCCCACGCAGCTGTACGTCGTCCCCAGGTCGATGCCGATCGCCGGGCCCTGTCCCTTCGCCATGGTGGAAATGCGGAGAAACAAGTTCGAAGGTGCTGTACTGAACGAAACGGAGAGCGTGGACGGATTGGTTAGAGGGAACTGACTGGGGAGAGTGTCGGAGGGCTAGCTTGTGTTTGCTTAGGGAACGAGCGGGGTTAGGGTCGTCGAGAGAGGGTGCTAATAGCAGATTGGATTTTTAGTTGTCTCAAACGGCAATTGCGCCTGCATATATAGCCGATGCAGGCCGTAGCACTCGAATCCTGAAAAAGATCATGTGCCTGGTTCAAGAATCTTTCAGAAGTGGCGAGAGTGATCGAATCGAACAAGCAGGTTGAGAAGCCTGGAAGCTGTGGAAGCTGCGAGAATGATGAAGAACAGAGAGGATTGGTCGTCACACCCAGGATAGGAACAGAAGGTGCTGGAAACAGAACTGTTGCCTAGAGAAATGTGCATTGGGGATTTCACAAGCGGAAGCGCGGAACAGGAATGATGCATCGGGCGTCTCGAGAACATTCATTGTGCAAACGTGGCAATCATCTAAAAAGAGCACCTAAGATGGACGGCGTATAGCAGAACCAGCATTCAAGGAGCTCTGCTATTGAGTAAGCCGTATACTGTTATTAATCTATTTAATACATCTATTTAATCATACCTAGCGTGAATCAACATATGCAAAACGTATCATAAACTCCTTTTTTTTTTTTTTTTTTTTTTTTTTTCAAAATGTGAGACTTTTTACAACCTAATTCATTACTCTTAGGCAACTTCAACCATTTAAGCAATGCTATCTATCCGTATCATTGCAGTGCTCACTCCCTTTCTTGGATACTACCAAATAAAGAGTACGGCTGTGAGAGAGAATGCATAAAACACGTGTAGAAAGCTGTAGTTGCTCAGTCTTTACCTCATCATACCACATCACACCACACTGCACCACAACATAAAACAGCATACCACACCACTTCTAAAGCATGCCATAATTGAAGAGCAAGCCCCCGATGTCTAACATACCGTATGTGGAGGAACAAGCTGTAGGGAGGATGGTGCCATACATGCCTGCGTGCATGGGGCAGTCCAACTCAGCGAAACATGCATACCCACGCTGATAGGGGGCAGACACAAACACCTCATCAAGCGTCATTTCCAGCCCTGGCCCCACAAACAGTCCGATGCATCCATGCCATCATCACCTGAGACATCTCTGGGACTCACCCCACATCACCACCTCTCAAACCGCAGCACCAGGAAAGGTTGGATCGGATGCATTCCTTCAAAAATTTTCAAAAACTGTAATTTGCGTATGCACCGACCATCACCTCTTCCATGACCCCAAGACATTTCTGACACTCACACACCACCACCCCCTCAACTGGCAGCAGCAGGAGAGGCACATGCCTAAAAATCCCTCGACGTGCCAGCGGCAGGTTTGAATCCCATACCTTCGACGCGCCAGCGGCAAGTTTGAAGCCCATACCTTCGAGGCGGCAACGGCAGGTTTGAAGCCCATACCTTTGAGGCGGCAGCGGCAGGTTTGAAGCCCATACCTTCGACGCGGCAGCAGCAGGTTTGAAGCCCATACCTTCGGACTCAACACGCATGCAGTTTGAAACCTTCTCCCTTGACTCACTTTGTAACCCCTCCCTTGCATCACTCTGTAAATTGGGGTTTGAACCCGCTCAACACCGCCTATCCCTTAGAACCGCTAGACGCTAAAGACCGCCCAATCCCCACAACTTCCCAATTCCCCAAGACCGCCCAACATTCAAATCTGCCCACTGCACAAGACCGCAACCACTCAAGGCCGCCCAACTTGCATTGTCGGTCCTGAAACCCCCCCATCCATCTCCTCAGATAGTAACTTGGGGTGTGGCCCCCCTCCCTTCGACTCAACTACAACTTGGGGTCGGAAATCCCCGCTCTTGCCCCACGTGTTGCCTGGGTCCCTCCCTGGTGAGTGGGGCACACCCTAGTGAGACGGGTACAACCTAGTAAGATGGGCGCGCCCTAGTGAGACACGCGCGTCCCAGTAAGACGGCCGCGCCCTAGTAGTGAGCCGCGCGGGCCCTAGTGGTGGGACGGGCACACCCTTGTGAGACGGGCACACCCTAGTGAGACGGGTGCGCCCTAGTGAGACATGCACGCCCTAGTGAGACGGGCGCGCCTTGGTGAGACGGGCACGCCCTAGTGAGACTGGCACGTCCTAGCGAGACGGGCGCGGTCTAGTAGTGAGACGAGCACACCCTAGTGAGACGGGCGCGCCCTAGCGAGACGGGCGCGTCTTAGTGAGACGAGCACGCCCTAGTGAGACGGGCACGCCCTAGCAAGGCGGGGGCGGTGCGCCCTAGTGAGACGGGCACACCCTAGTGAGGCGGGCACACCCTAGGGAGACGGGCGCGCCCTAGTGAGACGGGCGCGCGCTAGTGAGACAGGCGTGAGACGTGCATGCGCTAGTGAGACAAGCGCTCCCTAGTGAGACAAGCGCGCATACCCTAGTGAGACAGGACACCCTAGTGAGGAGTGGGTGAATGGGTGAGTGGGTGAGTGGGTGGATCGGTGAATAGGTGGATCGGTGAATGGGTGAATGGGTGACTGGGTGACTGGGTGACCAGGTGAATGGGTGAATGGATGAATGGGTGAATGGGTGAAAGGGTGAGTGGGTGAATGGGTGAGTAAGTGAATGGGTGAATGGGTGAGTGGGTGAGTGGGTGAAGAGGTGAGCGGGTGAATTGGTCAGTGGGCGAATGGGTGAGCGGGTGAATGGGTGAGCGGGTGAATGGGTAAGTGGGTGAATGGGTGAGTGGGTGAATAGGTCAGTGGGCGAATGGATGAGTGGGTGAGTGGGTGAGTGGGTGAATGGGTGAGTGGGTGACTGGGTGAATGAGTGAGTGGGTGAATGGGTGAATGGGTGAATCGGTGAATGGGTGAATGGGTGAATGGGTGAGTGAGTGCGTGCTGCATGCGAGTGTACTTATTCGTTGTGACTGCTTGTGTGTTTCTAGCTGGCAGCCCCAAACCTCTCTGCTTCCTGCCTCTCAAGCGCTTCACAGCACCCACTTCACGACCCTCCCCTCCCCCTGCAGCCACAGCAGCCACTACACAGGCCCTTGTAGATCTGCCACCAGAGGCCCTGCTGGGGGATTGGGGAGGGGGAGGGGGGGGGGAGGAAAGAGAGGAGGTTGAGGGGGGTTGGGGAGGGGAGGTAGTTAAGTCCAAGAGAGAGTGGGTGGCCAATGGATATTGAGATGTGCAAGCGATGCAGAAAGGAGAGGAAGAAAGGAGGGTGCCACTGGTGGAGGCATGACCCCAAGCCACAAACCCCCCACGGGAACCTGAGGGGGTGAACCTGCAGTAGGGGCTTGAGGAGACTGTAAGGCTTTAGGGTGAATGACCCAATGGCCGAGTGAATGGCCCAATGGCCGAGTGAATGACTCAATGGCCAAGTGAATGACCCAATGGCCGATTGAATGACCCAATGGTCGAGTGAATGACCCAATGGCTGAGTGAATGACCCAATGGCCGAGTGACTGACTCCGTGGCCGAGTGACTGACCCCGTGGCGGAGTGACTGACCTCGTGGCCGAGTGACTGACCCTGTGGCCGAGTGACTGACCCAATGGCCGAGTGAATGACCCAATGGCCGAGTGAATGACCCAATGGCCGAGTGAATGACCCAATGGCCGAGTGAATGACCCATTGGCCGAGTGAATGACCCATTGGCCGAGTGAATGACCCAATGGCCGAGTGAATGACCCATTGGCCGAGTGAATGATCCAATGGCCGATTGATTGACCCAATGGCCGAGTGACTGACCCAATGGCCGAGTGAATGATCCAATGGCCGAGTGATGACCCAATGGCCGAGTGAATGACCCAGTGGTCGAGTGAATGACCCAGTGGTCGAGTGCATAATCCAATGGCCGAGTGCATGACCCAATGGCCGAGTGAATGACCCAATGGCGGAGTGAATGACCCAATGGCCGAGTGAATGACCCAGTGGCCGAGTGAATGACCCAGTGGCCGAGTGAATGACCCAGTGGCCGAGTGAATGACCCAGTGGCCGAGTGAATGACCCCGTGGCCGAGTGATGACCCAATGGCCGAGTGAATGACCCAGTGGCCGAGTGAATGACCTAGTGGCCGAATGAATGACCCCTCGATCGAGTGGATAATACCTTGGCCAAGCCAAGTGTTCTTGCACACCAGCTCCGTCTTTGCCGCACTTCGTTTGTCATGAACTTGCAATGCACCCCACGGTAGACTCCATTCAGCTGCTCTCACTCCCCCGCACCTCCTCACACTCCGCAACACTCCCTCACACTCCCTCGCACCCCCCTTCCTGCCAGGCCAGGTTCATCTAAACCAGCGGTGCATCCTGGCCGTTGATCACGGCAACATCAACGCCTCCCTACTCGCTGACACATTGTCCCCCGACTATCTCGAGGACAATGCAAGGCACCTCCCCTTGTGGCTCTCTTCTCAGCTCATCAACCAGTGAGAGGAAGGGAAAGAAGGGGTGGGGGGAAATGGGATGGACGAGATAGGATTAACGCCTCTCTGCTTGTGGACACATCGTCCCCCGACTACCTTTAGGACAATTCAAGGCACCTCCCGTCGTGGCTCTCCTCCCAGCTTATTGACCAGTAAGAGGGGTTGGGGGGGGGGGGGGTGTGGGGTTAGACGGGGGGAAAGGAGCGGAGGGGCGAGGGACGGAGGGGGGAAGGGGGAAAGAGAGCAGGTTGAGTGTTGGCCTTAAGAGGGTAGTTTTTGCTTGCTGACACCCCGTGACCCCGCTCCTTGTTGACATGCTGTTGTGGATTTTTGAGGCGCCTCAAATCTTGACATGCTCCCCCTCCCTCTGTCGTGGAGTTATCATCGCATCGTTGCATCACTGTTTGCTCGGCTCTGCTCCCCTCGCCAGGCTGTAAGCTGAGCGCCATTGGTTCACCTCCTTGTTGCTGGATTCGATCGCACCGATGCAGATAGGGTTACCAATGCGTCCTCATTCATTGTACTGCCAACCTGACAGCACATTGCTTTCTGCTCTCTCCCCCTCCTCGCCTCTGCACCCTCTCTCTCAGGCTGTATTCCGAGTGCCATGGGTGCACCTTCTACTCGCTGGGCACCATCGCACCTGCGCTGACAAGGCTATCAGTGCACCTCGGTTTTTTGCACTGCCGTCAAGTCATCAT